ACAGACGGTAAAAACAAGAAACCTCACCGCTGGATAGAAAACAAACAATAGAACGTAATCATTAACAATAGTGAAAATAGCGTCTTTGTGTGTATTAATGAACAGAAATAGAGGAGCGGCATACTCGCCGTGGCATTGGTGCAGGGCCTCAAGACGCACTGGAGATGCTCGCGGTACAGCGAAAAACAGGTTGTAAAATAGCTTGCTGAAGACAGATACAGTTAACGAAAACGAAGATAGAAAACGCAAAGATAGAATAGAAAAGACGGCGAAAACAATGACGGGGGAGGGAGGGTATCCGCGCCAGGGGCCGCAGAGGGTGCAGGAGGGGGAAGGGCGGGGGGCAGCCACGCTTTTGGCTGAGGGGGGAGGGGCGGGGGCGGGGGTTCGGCGCAGGGTTGGGTGGGTGGGCCCCCGGCACCGGGTTTTCCCTTCTCGCGGGCGGGGGGGGGGGGGGGGGCTTCCCCCAGGCGCAAGGCGGCAAACACCGGCCCCAAGAGAATCCCCCAAACCGCCGCCCCCGGGGGCAAACGGGCTCGTGGTTTTCCCTGCGGCGGGAGAAGTGGACGGCACCATTTTCACCTGCTGGATTAAAATGTTGGCCCGGCATTGGAATCAATTAGAAATGTTTATGTGGCGCTTTATGCACTTTGCTAAAAGGAATGCAAGCCGCGTCCGAGGAAGCGCCTTTCGCGCATTTATTCTCTGACAACGATTGGCAACCTTTTCCTTCCCGCTCTTGTTCCTGTTCTTGCTTTTCCGGTATTCCATTAAAACCTTCGAATTGATCGCTCAAAGACAAACCCAATCCTAAAAAGTTCAAACAAAAAGCAGGCCAGGCGTTCCGTGGGCACAATGAAGCGCGCTCGCACGGTCACTCTTACACCCGCTATTCTAAGCTCCTTGGGGGAGCTGCAGGATGGCCTCAACGCAATGATCGACCCTTCCTGGAGGTCAGTCCGCTCTCTGAACGACTGGGGACTCGCCATTACAATGGAATCGACAGAGCTGCTCGACTCCTACCCGTGGAAGTGGTGGAAGAACATCAATGCTACGCCCGACTTCGCAAACGTGAAGATCGAACTGGTCGACATCTTGCATTTTTCGCTCTCAGGGGCCATGCAGATTCGCTCAATGCCAGAGGACAGCATTCCAGAAGTCTCGCGCAAACCACTGAAGGATGTAATGCACGTTTTCTGTCCGTCAAAGGAATGCGCAAGCGACCCGCATGGCATCTTGTTCTTCCCGCTGTCAGACACTCAAAACACCATTGCCAGCTTCCGTAACGTGATCCAGCTTGCAAATGCATATCGCTTTGATGTCATCACGGAGAGCATTATTGCTGCGGCGGAAGACATGGGGTTTAACCTTGTGTCCTATTACGTTGCCAAGCATACTTTGAACTGCATCCGTCAGCTTGGTGGATACAAGGATGGCTCCTACGTGAAAGTGAACAACGGTGTCGAGGACAACGTTCTTCTGCACGACTGCATCAAAAGCTTCTCTTTGGAGGACGTCCTGGACGACAACAAGTACGTGGTTTCCTGGAATCAGATCATCACCCGAGTTTACGAGGCTTTTCAAGTCAAGGAGTGTGACCGCAAGGATGCTGAATATTGGTTCAGGTACGCAAAGGAGGACCGCTCAGTGGGCAGTAAGTGAAAGACTGTCGTTTCGCAGTTGCAGTGATTATATAGATAAACGACTTTTTGCGATCCAGCATCATTTCATGCCAGCAAGAGAAGCTACTCATTATTCGCAAAGCAGTTTTGAACACTCCCTTTTTAGCTGTTGAGGCCAAAAAAGGACCAACTCGTTTTTTCTTTTTCTCATATATGGGGAAACTGAATAGTGTTTTTAGCTTTTAACGATTCTATACGTACGCTTTTCGCAGTGACTCCTTCTATAGATTCTCTTAATTTCTGCAACTCTGCCTTTTTATATGCATAGTTACATTGAATCCAATAATATACCCTGAAGTCTGTCCAAGTCACCGTGATTCAACTCGCTTCTTACCGCACGACAGTTAACGCAACCGAGTTCGTTGTTCAAAAATAATAAAAAGCAAATCAGCAGCAGCTGGTTTTGAGACGTGAAGACAAAGTCAGTAGAAAGAAACGTTCTCAGTTTACAACAGCTCATTTCTCAGCAGTTAGAAATACTGGGAGCGCCTTTTCACAGCTGAGCGGGCTACTGAAGCGTTACCTTGTTTTGTTTCCTAAAAGTATCCCTTCTTCATCTAAACCCGTACATTTTCCTTCTTGATTCTCCTCCTCTTCTTTCTTTTGTTTTTAATCATCTGAAAGTGGATTAGAAAGTCGTTTCCTTTACACGAATGAAACGCAAGACATAGAGTGCTTCAACACGCGTCATCTCGCGTCGCTAAAACCTTTTTCGTAGTTGTGAATTGTAGATGCTACATTACTTCCCTTCTTAACGTCGCTTTCCATGCTAGGGAACCACGGTTTTTTTTTCTGTACCTAGCGTCTGCTTGGTTCCGTCCACGAGGTCGCGTCAACGGAGAACAGAAATATTAAAATTCGCGTCTAGCAAAGAAACGTGATAGTTCTTACCTATACCGTTTTCCAGCCTGTTCAATATGATTCCTAAAATACCTATTGAATGCTGCGGGCATGCACCTTGTCTCTGTTGAACTCCTTTGCTCCAATCGAGGTTCGATAGCCCTGCAGAGAAATCGAAATGGCATTTCCTCATTCTTTACCTGCCAACCGGCGTCATTCTTGTATATTACTCTTCACTATGTCGCTCCTCTAATTGCTCCTCTTCTTCTTTCCGACATGCTCCCATTTTCATTTCCTACCTGTTGTTTTTCTCTCACTAAACACATTTATGCATCAATTCCCATTTACGCTGTTTATTGAAAAAAGATTTAGATTTGTCATCATGCCCGCCGCTCAGAAGTCTGCCAAGAAGGCTGCGCCGAAGGACGCGAAGGCGACCAAGGTGGTGAAGGTGTCCACCCGCAAGGCGTACACTCGTCCGCAGTTCCGCCGCCCGCACACCTACCGCAAGCCTGCGACTGCCAAGCCGAGCAACCGCGTGACCGTGGAGTCGAAGGACATCGCTGCGTTCAACGTGATCCGCTACCCGCTGACGACGGACAAGGCGATGAAGAAGATCGAGGAGAACAACACCCTGACCTTCATTGTTGACGCCCGCGCCAACAAGACTGAGATCAAGAAGGCGATCCGTAAGCTCTACCAGGTCAAGGCTGTGAAGGTCAACACCCTGATCCGCCCCGATGGCCTGAAGAAGGCGTACATTCGCCTGTCTGCGGCCCACGACGCCCTCGACACTGCCAACAAGATCGGTCTCGTTTAAGTGACAATCGAATCTTTTCTAACTGCCTTTATCATTTCGTGATTTTCAAAAAAATATGAAGAAAACAGAACACTGCACCATACGTACTCTCAATCGACACAATACGATTGATTCACAACTTCGTGAAATGCAGCTTTAGTGGCCTTTCTTCAGCTGCTGCTTTTTGGCTCTACAGTTGTTGCGTAATGCTTTCTGGATCTACTCCGCAATGCTGAATGGTACTGTAGCCAAGGTGACTCATTTTGTCAATCGCAGCGAGCAGGCTACCTATGCTCAGTTGTTACGCTGGATGGGAGCGTATTGCATTGGTTCACTAGGATCGTACTAGCGCTCTTAAAAAATGCTAATTCTTTTTTTCTCTGTTTCTTCCTTCTGCCTTCATTTCATCTGTGTCCTTTGGCCTTTTCTCTCTGCTTTCATTTCACATTTTTCTTTTCACCATCGTTAACGTTCCTGCTTTGCCATTGCCTCCTTTTTCTTTTTACTGTTGCCGCTCTTAACGCTTTCAGCTTCAAGGTTTTGTTTGCAACGTATCATGCCCGCTGCTCAGAAGTCTGCCAAGAAGGCTGCGCCGAAGGACGCGAAGGCGACCAAGGTGGTGAAGGTGTCCACCCGCAAGGCGTACACTCGTCCGCAGTTCCGCCGCCCGCACACCTACCGCAAGCCTGCGACTGCCAAGCCGAGCAACCGCGTGACCGTGGAGTCGAAGGACATCGCTGCGTTCAACGTGATCCGCTACCCGCTGACGACGGACAAGGCGATGAAGAAGATCGAGGAGAACAACACCCTGACCTTCATTGTTGACGCCCGCGCCAACAAGACTGAGATCAAGAAGGCGATCCGTAAGCTCTACCAGGTCAAGGCTGTGAAGGTCAACACCCTGATCCGCCCCGATGGCCTGAAGAAGGCGTACATTCGCCTGTCTGCGGCCCACGACGCCCTCGACACTGCCAACAAGATCGGTCTCGTTTAAGCCACTGAACGTCACATCGCTTCCAGCGAGAGGTGGTCGTGTCAGCGTGATGTTGCCGTTTGCAATATTTCTCTCTGATGTGAAACGCTACGTTTATGCTTGAAGCCTCTTTCTTTTCCCATCATTTATGTTTTTTTAAATACAATAAAAACGCAAAAAAAGCACGTTTGATCTATGGTATCGGTGGCAGCGACAGATTTTGGGAGTCTAATGTGACGACCCTGAATGTGCAATCCGGTTGCACCCAGACCGCATTTGATTGTCGCTATGCAACACGATATTGGCGTTCTCTTCTCGATACTGGTGACAACAAATCGTGCTTTTGCTGAGCGCTTCTCTTGTTGTTTCCACGTTTATCGTTGAGAGAACGTGCAATCTATGTGTACTCTGCACTTTGCACGGGTTTTGGCTCCTAACCAGCTCGATTCTATGTTTATTGATGAGCTCCTTACCATCCTATGCTTGCGTAGTGAGCACAACGTCATTAACTTCTTATATTTCTTCCACTCTTTGCCGCCCACTGTACTGTCCGCAAAACATTTTTTTCTCTTTTTTTTCTTACCGCCCTATTTGGTCCAACGTTTTTCTATATGTGTTCAGAGCTTCTGATTCGTACTACACGAGGAGTATGATGAATCTGAACTGTAACTTCGCTGTACATTTTCATCGTCAAGATCGACTGATATCTTTTTGGTTTTATTACACTGAATTCGGTTTTACGACCGTCACTTAACGAACGAAGTGAGCTGCTCTCTCTACTTTCCTATAGAATTAACCCTTTGCCAAGGAGCGTTTCTGCCTTTTTTTTTTACGTTCTCCGTTTCGCAACGACATAGGACATCATATGTTTTTTTTTCTGTCTCGTATACGTTTACCCAATTTAGTGACGTATCACTTTGCAAATACAACGAATAGACAATTCTGCATCATCACTTTTTTTTTTTGGCGCTTCTCTTTGTTTAACGGCTTAGATAGAGTAGACGCAGTGCTAAAAAACAGGTGATTTGCCTTTCAGGAGAAGACCGTAAAGTGTCTAGCTTTCTGTCTTTTTTTTTTTCCATGACTTAACATGGGATTGAGACTTGTGTTGGCTGCAAAATATCGGTATTTTAGGAGTGTTGCACCACTTTCAGCAGTTCTCTTTTTCTTTCTTTCTTTCTAGCCTGACCTTTTCTCTCATGGATTCTTATCCTCACATTCTGCGCCTTCCTGGCATCTCAGCTGCAACGACGAGCTTTCAAAGCGACACCAGGCAAACCCCTTCCGTTCCCGACGACTACGTGCTCAGTGAGGCCTTCGTTTGCCCCCTTGCAACAGCTTCCGCACCCGGCGACCCGACAGCTGCGGTATCTAAGCTCAACGGTATCGCCGCCAAATACGCGCACTTTCAGCGAAGCATCGCCCCGTGCGTGCTTGCGTCTTGCAACGACCTCGCGTCGCACCCAAAGGCAGCTGCGTCGTCTCGCACCGCTGACTTGTCACGGTCGCCTAGTGAAAATGCGAAGTCCGCTAAAAATGCCGAACGACCGAAGAGCAGCGGTGCATCGAAGCCTCCTACTGCCGCCGCTGCAACAGTGTCCATCCCGACAAGCTGTGCTCCGCCTGACTTGGCGTCGTTTTGGCTGGCCACCTCTCCTTTGCCACCAACAGCGGTGTTGACAGCGCTGTACAGCCTTCTGCCACTTCGCCGAGTATCGGTCGTCGACAGCGACGCTCACGATAACAGCATCGTTAGTGAGACACGTGCTGGAGGTGAAGATAGCGAAGTAATGCGCGATCGAAAGCCTTCCACTTCACTTGAGACTTTGTGGACTCTTTGCCGATCAGCGGAGTCCGTTGAGAAGGACCAGCGACAGGTCTCCTTCTGGGAGGCGTTTTGCATGACGGCGATGACGGTTCACAGCGTTGCTGGAACGGCCACCTACGGTGGTAGCGCTGTTCCTTCACAGGAATCTTCGTCTTCGGCGTCTTCCTTCTCGCTTTCGCAGCAGCTGCGTCGTGCCACGGCGGTGTTGGGCAGTCTTCAGCAAACCAGTGCCTCGGCTACAGCAGCTACGGCGCCCGTCTTAAGCCCTGGGACGTCGGTGCTGACATGGCCTGAAGAGTTTCTGTGGAATTTGCTGATGTCGCTGCTTTCCGTCGTGGCGCTCGTCCACGGCGCGGGTCTTCACTTTTTTGGGCAGTTGACGGCGTCGAATGTGCTGTGCTTCGCCTGCGCCTCCTCCTTACCTCGACTGCTGGAACAGACATGGCAAGACGTTGTGGCGGCCAACGGGATCCCAAAACACGTAGCAAGCAGACCGGATAGCGTTGCCCTCTTTCGGCGGTTTTATTCGATTGCGGGCCAAGGTGTGCTGCTGCCACAAGCTTCGTTGACATCGGAGACGCCGTGCCACAACGCCTTTTTTGTCGTTCGGCCCTCATTGGAGTTGATGCGCAGGCGTCTGCCACAGAACGGGGCGGACGGCGTCAAGGCTGCGAAAAGCGGAAAGGAAAGCGAGGACGCCGACGCGTCTGTGGCGGTCACCTCGGCCGCGCAGGAAGCTGCGGATGAAACGCCCGCGCAGCAGGCATGCTTTCAGGCAGCCGACCTCGCGAGTGTCGGTCGTCTGCTGACGACGGTGATGGAGCTGCGCGCTCGGTGGTCGAGCGAGGGCGGCCAGAGCTTTTCTTCAGCAGTCGCCGCCGCACCCCCGAGCTCTGAACTTGTGTTTCTGGTGCGACGCCTGTGCGAGTGCGAGCTCACTGCCGGATCGGCCGCCGCAGCAGCAACAACAAAGTCTTCAAATTTGCCCCGCAGCGGCCCCACCGCACTTCAACTTCTTCAGCTGCAGGCGCTGCGGCTGCGGACCGAGACGTGGTATTACCGCCGCGCAGCCGCCGAGGCGTATGACCGACTTGCGCAGCTGCAACTGGCACAGCCCCCATTGCACCCGGTCGAATCTTCTGTGATGCCCGCACAGCGGGCAGTGACGGAACCGCAGACGCAAGCAAGAACAACGAAGGAGGGGGAAGGGGAGGAGAAACTGCAAGCGCGAGAGGCAGCTGTGGCCGAACGAGAGGCAAAACTTGATTTGATCCTGCGCGTGTACGAGCTCACGCACGAGCACCTCGACGCGGTGAACTTGCCCAAGTCGCAGACGCCTTCTACCGATCAAACGGAGTCATCGTATCGCCTTGACGAACGAGTTGATAAGACCCCAGCACGCTCACAGACGCCTCGGGACGACTCCTTGGAGCCTTCGCTACCCGCGCGAACTTACCTGCCGACGACGAAAACGGCTGCACACGCGGCAGCGCTGCGGTCAGAGAGTCGCCCAACACCCATCTCAAACATCTCGCACCCGCCGCAACGAGAGGCCTTCACTCATGCCACGGCGGACACCTCTGGAGAGATGTTACTGGGGCTGTCCCCGCTCGTGCGCATGTCCAACGCAGAGGACGCGGATGTCACGTTGCTGTCAACCAGTGCAACCCCTTTTGCCTCCCTGTACGGGGCCGATGAACGGTCTGCGAGAAGTGCGACGCACCCGCCGCCGTGGAGCGTGCCGACAACGCACCGCGAGCTGCAGGTTGGCGAGCCACCAGCGTACACCGCCGTCGTGGCAGAACAGCAAAGTACGGAGGAAGAAGGGGCCTCCGCCACCACCACGTGGGCAACGGAGGAGGCGCGACGAACGCCACAAACAGCCGTTGCTGCTCCTCAAGGCGCCGTTGCAGACAGCAACAATGCACCTCGTGTTGTAGCTCGTTTGTCGCCGTCGTTGCCTGCCGGTGAACCAATGTACACACCGTGGAATGGGTCGCAAGCGCAGACCCAGCAGCCGACCCAGCAGCAGCAACAGCATCAGAGCTTTCATCCCTGGGAACCGCAAAGGCACCGCGATCCCAACTCATCGGCAAGCGCACCTGCGCCAGTCACGGTGGTGGAGGTCGAGCTGGATGACAGCAGCGACAGCGAAGACGCTTCGAGAACGCAGCCAAACGCTTTCTCTTCTGACGCGGCACGGCGGTGGCGCACTCAACATGTTGCGCCAGACGAGCAGCAGGTGGTGCGTGCGACGCCGCATGGCGCGCAGCTCGTCGTCTCGCCGGACCCACAGCCTCCACCACCGCCATTACCGCCGTCTTTCTTCTCTCCGACCTTTGCGTCCCCCACATCGCGCTTCGCACCGGATGTACAGACACCGGTGCGTGCTCCTTCGCTGCCAAACATGGGCATCGCAGATGCAGACGTGAGTGGCGGAGGGAGAAGTCGCAGCAAGTACAGCCCCCTCGCGCAGCTGCGCTCTCCACCCTCGGCACGACGGCCGGCCTCAGCGAGCAGGAACGCCGATTCATCTCTTTCTTTGTCGCCGAACTCACCCGAGAGCTACCGGTCATCCACCATGCCGAGCGCCACGGTGGCTCCTGCTTACACGCCCACTCACCACCTACACAACTACTACTATGCCCACCACGGACGCGCCACACGCAAGCCAGCAGGAGCCACCACCGCCGCCGCAGCGCTCGTCACGACGCCGGTCCGGCTCCCGCGGCAGCAGCGGCAGCGGCGCCCCCCTTGAGCACCGTCTTCCCAGCACCTCCACCGCCGCGGCAGCATCAACGTCCGCCGGCGTCAGCAATGAAAATGACGAATGGGCCCAGCAGCAGTTGACGGAGCTGCAGAACATGCAGACGGCGTTGCGTGCCCAGCAGCCGGCAACACCGCGCAGTCGAGCCGCCGGATCGACCGGCGGAGCTGAACTGAATACACCAGAGCTTCACCGCACGCGTTCTTCTGTGTCTGCGTCTCCGTCTGCTGCTGCTGCTCTTTCTTCGCCGCCGCTGCGACCAACGCAAGGGGCGGTGTCTGCACCGCCGTCTCCTGCCTTGCAGATGACGACACCGATTCGACACTCCGCACACCTTGATCGATCGCCCGTGGGAACGGACAGCAGTCGTCGCGCCCGCTCGTCGCATCAGAACCAGGATCACCAGCATCAGCAGCAGCAGGACCATCCGCCCGGCTCCACGTACATCAGCAGCGGTGGAAACAACATCAAAGACGGCGTCCAGCGTGCTGAGAGACCGGCGCAGGTGCACGGCACCTCGTGGTCGGCCGCTAGCGCCACGAAGACGCCACCGTCCAGCCGTCAGCAACACGAGGAGGCGTGGTTGACGCCCACGGCGCATCGACCGACGCCGGTGTTGTCTGGGCGTACGACCCCTCCCGCCAAACCCGCATCCCGTCTGGGATCAAAGCCGCTCACCGTGGAGAATGCAGCCGTCGGCAGTGCGCGTGTGCCACTGGACGGACATGCTTCCTCCTCTTTCAATCCTGCTACTACGGTCACCACTAGCGCACCCACCACGTCTGCTACGGTGGCCGCCTTGGGTGCTACCCTGCGCACCCCACTGCGGCAGACCCTGCCCCCGACTACGGTGGACGACTCATCTGAGCGGCGCCGACGGGCGAACCAGTCTTACCACACCCACGTGCCTCTTGCTTCGACTGCAACTTCTTCCGCCGTTGGGTCCGCAAGGAGGCACGACGGCGCCGCCACGGCAACGCCTTCGTCGACTGTATCGAGAAGCCGACCGACGACGCGTGCGGATGGGATGACGGCAACGGCCGCATCGGTGGGCAGTGTGTCTCGCCCTACGAAGGCGATGATGGCGATCACCGCAGCAGCAGCGAGAACGACGCCATCGAGAAACATGGGAGTAGAGGTGTCTCCGCGGCACACACACGTTGTCGGCGGGCCCATCGGCAGCGCTCGAGGACGCAGCAGTGGAGCTGCACCGACGTCGGACGGCAACGTTGCTCCTCGGTGGCGCGGCGCAGCAGCGGCAGACGCGCCCTCCTCTTCTCTTTCCTTTTCCTCTGCCTCGCCGTCTACTGGCTTCGTGCCTGCGTCGACACCGGCAGCTGGGAGAGGCGCCAACCAGCCGCGTGGAGGCACTTCGTCCACCTCGGCGAAGGAGCTGCTGCGACGTCTGCGCGCGAGTTCCGCGGCGACCGTGTAGTCTCTGGTTCGATTCTTCTAATGCCAATTTATGGGGAACGCGTGCTAATGCTTGAAGAGACGAGAGAGGGCGAAAGTTTTTAAATAAATTGTTTCTTCTGTTGTTGGACTTCGTTCTTCACCGACGCGTCGCACTTCCGCCGCACGTTCTGCTGCTTCGTCGACTGTCCGTGACCGAATGCAACTGCTCCCTCCTCCCTCCTCCCTCCTCCCTCCTCCCTCCTCCCTCCTCCCTCCTCCCTCCCCCTCCTCCCTGTCCATGAGCTTCCTATCAGTCGACAGAACTTGCTTTGTTTGGCAGAACAACAACGATTGTTTTCTTCACTGGAAACCGGCAAACGCTTGGAAATGGGGGCGCTGCCTGTCAACTGCACAACGAGAGTGAATAGGTGAGGGCAAATCTGCCGTCGTTCTCCCAGCAGCTTTTCTGGAGCGTTAATGCCTTTGCCCCCCCCTCCAATCTCCCGCGTGTGTCCTCAAAGAGGCATAGTATAAAAAGACTTGCCTCGGCTGCATGCATTCTCGTGTTCGACGCTTTTTAGGCCTTTTGTACTCACCTCCGAATCTTTTCTTCTCTCTTTTTCTTTTGAGTGGCCCCCCCCCCTCCCCCCCTCCCTCCCCTCTCCCCCCGTGCTATCGCGCCCACCTATCAGAACCGGCAGTTTGCGGGACGTGCTGCGCCACACCAGCTGCAGCGTCCAGAAGGGGAGCCCATGTTGTAGGCGAGGCGGCGTGAGAATAGATTTAGCCGTGTGTTCGCCGCTTTGGCGAAGCGAGTCCCTTTTTTTTTTAAACTGGCTTACCATAGAAGAATATACGGATAACAATAATAATTATCATACACGCTAGAAGTAGAGGTAGAGGTGGAGAGAGAGAGAACTGCACGCAACCACGTCAGCAAAGGTAGACGCGCCTTGAGAGGTGTCCCTCTCCACGACGTTGGTAACTAGTGGGCGGTACTCCACACCTGCCGTACACTTCCAACAGCCACTCTTTGCATGCTTTACATTATTATTACTATTCATATATTATATCGCCTTGTAGGCCCCTTTCCATATCAAAAATGCAAGATCAGCAAGTCCGGCAGTCATGCAACGCCATCGCCGCGCAAATCTTTCACATAGCCCACAGCCGGCATGAAACTCGAACGGACACTCCTACCGCGGATACTAACAACGTTTCTGCCTCTGCTTCGCGTGATGTGCCCGTTGCCCGCCACAATGCGAAGCCGCTGCCGAGCAACATCAGCAACAGCAGCGGCAGCAGCAGCGATGGTCGGGCAGAGGCGCTCCGCCGACTCCGCGAGGCTGTGGTGCGCGACGCCATGACGCTCTACCGTCTGTGTCACCGGCCAGGCGGTGGCGACGGCATCGTCATTGTGCCGGCCGCTGCCCGCAGCAGCGGTGGTGGTGGTGGTGGAGGGGCGGTGGAGGAGGAGGCCGCGTACTGCGTCTGCGCTGCAATTATGGCTCGTGCGCCGCTGCTGTGGGCGTCGTTGGTGCGTCGTGCAGAGCTGCTCCGCCCTCGCAAGCCGACGCTGTGCTTTGTGGCGCCGGTGGCGGTGCCGCCGGTGGTGGTGAGGAGCGTTGTGATGTTTTACGGACGCAGCCGTCATCTCGTCCCCGGTAGTGGCGGCGTACCCGGCGTTGCCTCGCCGGCTGTCTCTGGCTCTCTGAACACCGCTGCTGCTGCTGCTGCTGCGGGAACAGCACGCAAGGACGCCACAGTTCTCTCTGATGGTTTATCTGCCCAACAAGCGGAGGCGGTGGCGGCCACCTTCTTCTTCAAGACGATGTCTGCGGCGGAGCGACAGCGCAGGCCGGATGTGTTTGAAGTACGTGCTCTGACGTCTGCTGCCTCCGCAATGAGGAAGCCGTCCTCTTCTACGCAGAAAGGTGTGCCATCACGCACCGCTGCGGACGCTTCAGCAGGACTGTCGTCCGGACTCCCAGGCCGTGCAGGTGGCGACGGTGCGATAGTTGCTGCGGATTCTTCGGTGTCTTCACTTTCGTCGACGCTGTCTAGTGCCCGAGGACGTGGCACGGTGGCGGGGTCGCTTCCTGGTACGCTGCCAGTTCCACCCAGTCGCCGCCCACCGCAGCACCCTGTGTCCCCCTCCGCCTCTGCCTCTTCCTTCCTTTTCATGGACGACTGGGCTGGTTGGCGTAGCGGGGGCGGTGGTGCCTCCCGCTTCAAGCAGCGCAAAGCGGACGCTACGACGAGCGCCGAACAAGGTGGCTCGGGTGACGCAGTGGGAGGCAGTGGCGATGGGTGGTCGTCGCCTCGCAGCAGCAGCAGTGACAGCAGCGACGGCAGCAGTAGCCGCCCCAGCAGTGACAGCGTTCACACCGGCGAAGTCGACAGCAGGGAGGAACGTCGCCGAGACGCAACGGGTGTGCGGCACGAGCGCGCGTCTGCGAGACCCGGGCAACGCAGGCACACACGCGTGAAGACGGCAGCCGCAACGGATGCCGCGGTGTTGGAGAGGTTGTACCGCTTGGCGACCTCCGCCGATGCCGCCGCCACTGCTGATGCTGCGTCGGCTGCAAGTGAGGCGCCAGCGGAGCAGGGCTCCGTAAACAACAACCGCACCCGTGCGTTGGGCCATCTCAGCGGCAGCGGCGGTGCGACTGCTGGCACGTCCGTCCTGTCTGCCTCGCTCTTCACGTCTGGCAAAGGCGTGGGGCTTGTTGCACTCGCCGCCATGACGACGCAGGTGCGAGACGCGCTGCACTGGGGACGACTGGAGGCGCTCGTGCGCTTTCCCATACTGTTCCGCGGGCTTTCCACCCCTCCCCCTCTTCTTTTCGATTCTTTGGCGCCCTCAGCGGCGACACGAGCGCTGTCTGCGACGTCGGCGGCTCTCACGGCGGCATCGATGTCGCGGTGGAACAACCTCCTCGGGTACTCCTACACGTCCGCACTGACCGCGTCGCCGCCGTTGCCATCCATCGCGTCTGCGGACTCCCCTGCGTCGCCGTCGGCCCTACACGCTGCGATGGATGACTTCGTCTCCGCATTCGCATCTCCACAGTCTTTTCTGTGCCCGGCGCGTCTGCGCGCGTCGTCGCTGCTGCCGCGCCCGCCAAGCTTAATCACTGACACGTTCCTCTGGACCCGCTTGCTGATCTGCAGTGCGTGGCTGAAGGTGTACGCGGACAGCCTCGTGGACGACGAATCCTCTTCCTCCTCTTTGTCCGCGGATGATGATGATGATGAAAACGGCTCTGCCTCTTCGCAGCTGGATGCTCAGAAGGAAAAGAAAGAGCGCTACGCGCAGCCACGGGTGCGACCAAGTCCACTGGTGCAAGAGGTTGTCGCGTACTGCGTCGCGATCGTCAGGGAAGCACGCGCCATCAGCGCTGGCATCACCGGCGAAGGAGACCCCGCTGCGTTTTCTGCCTCGTCTTCCTCACACCACGCGCACGGAGCGGCGCATACTTCTGCACCCAGCAGCAACCACCACCACCACCACCACCAAGCCATCAATGCTGTTTGCTGTCCTGTGTGTGACTGCCTGGTGAAGGAGCAGCAGCCGGTGCTGTGGTGGTCGACTCTGCGCGAGGACCGCGCCCAATTGCGGGAACAGCTGCGCACGTTGCTCGAGAGCGGCAGCCCAACCGACGCGGAGGCGCGAGTGGCGGCAGCGGTGGCGGAAGACGGCGTGCGGGAAGATCGCGGTGGTCGGCAGTACGCAGCACCGCAGCTGAGCGGGTCCGGCGCAGCGGGGGAGCGTGTGGCCGCCCTGCAGGAGCGCTGGGGGATGTTCGTGATGGGCGTGACAAGGCCATCCGACTCCTCCGCCGCGGCGCACGAGAGCAACAGAGTGGCGTCGGACGAGCCGCGCGACGTTGCAACCAATGCGGCAAGCGACAAGGACAGCTCGATGGATCCGGGAGACCCCGCGCACACTACGGCAGAAAGCAACGGGCAGTCAGGCGTAGATGAGCAGGATAGCATTGACGATGCGGCAACGCGCACGTTGTGGGCTGCGCTGACGCAGCGTGTCGCGGCGGCGACGGACGTGTGCGTGTTTTTGTCGACGCACCCACTTCCAGAGGGGCCCTCCACCTCCGTCACGCGCCGTCCAGCTTCCTTTGCCAAACACACCGCTGCTCGCCCTCGAACAAGCCATGCGGCTGCCACTGCTGCTGCCGGTGTAGGCGCGAAGAGGCGTCGAAGGCGCTCTACCAGCTCCGACAGCGCAGCAGCAGAAGAGGAGACCGAGGGCAGCAGCAGCAGCAACAACAGCAGTGATGAGGGCAGCGAAGCCGATCGACGCCCCCGCCGGCGCACGCACGACGCCACCGATGCCGCCGTGCAACTCCGCCGCCACCACCACCACCGTCGTTCCCATCCGCATCGTCCTACTTCGAAGCGCAGGAGGCACAGTGAGGACGATGAAAATGCGGATAGCGAGTCAGCTTATTTTGGCGATGCAGAAGCGACAACCGCAGCGGCACGGACGCCTTCGAGTGACGCCGGCGCCTTCCACGGGAGTCGTCGCGCCCACGAAGTGGCGGAGGAGTGGGAGAGGCTGCTGCGGCGGTGTGGCTGGGTAAACGCGGCCCCTCCACCACCCTCGCCACGACCCCCGACTAGACCAACTTCCACCGCAGATGCACTCGCATCGCCACCGTCATCCGACCTATCTTCGTCCTCTGCGGCCGGTTTGTATGCGCAGTGGGCCGCGTCGCTTATCCAGCCTTCTGCGATGCCGACGCCGCATCAGGCAGCGGTGCTGCGCCGACGCCTGTCTCGCTACCGCCTGGACGACGTGGTGCGTGCGCTGGTGCTGGGGCGCGGTGGGCGGTGGTCGCCGTACGCCGCGTTGATGTTCGGGGCGGACGCGCTGCCGAGACGGCAGGGGCCTACGGGAACACCTGAGCAGCAGCAGCAGCAGCAGCTACAAAAGACACCGGCAAAGCATGTTCATGACGAAGCGCATCCAACGACCGCCTTGGACGATGTGGAGGTGCTGCACTCCGCCCCGCCACCCCGAGCAGCCTCCATGTCCCTGCTAGAAGAGGAAGGCGACGACACAGATGCCCAGGTCAACGCCGGGGGTGCCCGCAAAGCAGACGGCCTCGAAGGCCACGACTCTCTTTTACTCGTCACGGGATGTGACGACGACAGCGAAGCGGCAGGAGGAGAGGACGAGGAAAGAGTGGAGCGGCGGTCAGCGCACAACTCGCCAAGTCCACCTCCCCTCACGTCTCTCGCGGCTTTCACGCAGCGTTGCTCCCCGCTGCCACCACCACCACCACTGTTATCACCTCTTCGCACCTGTACTCAATCAGCTCTACCATCATCGCCTGTGTTCTCTGCCACGAAGCACAAGCTCGCCTTGCCTTCGATTCCGCTACACGTGTCGCCACTCCGTCGACACGTTGCTGCCGGCGTTCGAAGTGACATGTCCAGGAATCACACAAGCAAGGGTCACGAGAAGCACCGCGCGAACGCGAAGGAATCGAACGGCAGAGGCCAGACTACGTTCGATGCGATCACCAGCTCTGCTTTACTCTCGAGCAACGCGGCTCCACCGTCGGCTGCGGCTACACAGAACGACCAGTCACAGCTGTCGAATCACTCGGTGACCAACACCACCGCCTCGCTTCGCACCAACTCGAAGAAGGGCACACAAGAGGAAGGTCCTCCTTCCACGACACACGACAATGATGAGGAAAGTAACGCGGCGTTGTCGCAGGGCGGTGCTGTGGCACGTTCGCAGCTGCGCGCCCAGCAGGCGGCCCTCCGCGCTCTCCTGCGCTTCCGACCTCGCTTTCCGCCACTACGCGAAGAAGACGCGGTGCTAGAGTGCGGGTCGTGCTTTGCGTGGTTTCATCAGGAGTGCATAGCGCCGGTGCAGCGAGACTTGATGGGACAGGTCTTCCTCTGTCACGCGTGCCGCTTAAAGTGGGCACGTCCGTACGTGGAGAGGGACGGCGTCGGCGGCCTGATTTCGCAAGCACAGGAGCCTCCTTCCTAACTCCCCCCCTCCCTCCCTCCTCCCCGCTGCGGTGGTGATGAAAGCAGCAGTGAAACACGAAGAGGCAACTTTGAAAGGGTCGAGCTTAACGAGCATCGATCCGTCTTATTTAATATATATATATATATATATATATATACTTATATATATATATATATATATATATATATATATATATATATATATATATATATATATATATATATATATATATATATATATATATATATATATATATATATATATATATATATATATATATATATATATATATATATATATATATATATATATATATATATATATATATATATATATATATATATATATATATATATATATATATATATATATATATATATATATATATATATATATATATATATATATATATATATTATATATATATATATATATATATATACAGTGTTTGGAAATCCACGCCGACCTGCACTGACGCAAAGAACCAATTTTTTCCAATCTCTCTTCTTTTTGGCTTTCATACGCGGTAGGAGGGGTGCTTCGCTTGGCGGCAATGCGGTACGGTACAATGAGCGGCTTGTGGGTCTTTGTGGGTGTGTGCTCACCGTGCATGCAGGTAAATGGCCTTCTTCTCAGCTGTGTCTCCATTTACTCGCTCCTCTCTTTTCGTATCCCCCCCTTCTATGTTTGCTGTCTCCGCTTCACCCACTCCCCTCCGGTGTGCCCCGATTGACGCGACGGTATGAAAGAAGACAGATATAAAAGGAAAGCCTCCACACACACACACACACACACACACACGGAAAGACCGGCAGCAATCCGCCTGGCAACCGAGAACCGCACACAGCCAGCCGCGTTGACTGGTGTCAGCGGTGTGTGCCTGCTTTGAAGTAATAGTATAAAGACACCAACAACCTCTTATAGCTTTTCTTTCCTTCTAATCTTGGGGTGACACAGTATGCGGAACGCGTCGTCCGTGCACTGTCTCCGGCCCACCGCGGCGCCGTGGACTCTGCTGTCCGCCACCGCCGCCTTCACCTCCACGTCCCCGTCTAGTAGCACGTCCTCTCCTCACCTGGGCGGTCCTCCTCGCGCATGCGGCTCTCTCGCCATCTTGACCCAACCAACAGCGACCAACACTCCTCTTCCCCCCTCTGCGCGGCGCTCAACCCTTTCGTTCTTACGCGCATCCCTCAGCAGATGTGGCGACGGTCCGACTTCGGCGGCGGTGATGCGGACCTCTCTCATTACCACCGCTACCGCAGCTGCGCAATTCAGCAAGTCGGCGATGTGCGCCGCGTACACGTACCCGGTGCGTTACGCCAGCAATGACACGAACAGCCACGACAACGGCGACAACGATGAAAGAAGCTCCACGGACGGCTCGCCGGCGGTCTCTGACCCCGTCTCCATCGCGGGCAGTCCGCGCTACACGAGCCACGCCGAGGCAGAGAAAGTTGCTTACCAGCAGGAAGACAACGTACAGCATCGCGATTTTGGACTGCAGGGTGGTCACGATGAACACTGCGGATGTGGCAGCGATGACAAAGGACAAGACGCTGCGGCAGCAGCAGCAGCGTCAGAGAAAGCGGAGGAGAAGCCACATGGCCGGCAGGACTTCAGCACAGTCTTTCATCAAGAGGTCGCTGCGTGGCGGGCGAGCCAGAAGCATGATGGCAATCTTAGTAGCGCTTCAGCAGCGCAGGACAACGCATCATCATCAACGTCGTCGCCGGCTGCTGCCTCTGCTGCTGCTCCTGTGGCGCCCCCCAGCAGTGCGCATCACCGACACCGCCACGTGGACCCAGATGATGTCCCACAGGGCATGAGCTACGAGGACTACGTCGAGCACCTGCAGGCCGAGGAGGAGATGCAGCGGTTCCTCGCACAAAACACCATGCACTCCATTCGCCGCTCCATGTCACGCGACAACGCCGCGGCGGAAGCGGAGGCGTTGCTCACGACGAACAGCGCGATGCGGACACGGTTGGAGCCGCATCAGGGCTACCGCGGCGTGCAGACGCTGCTGGACTACAACAAGCAGTGGGCCGCCGAGGTCAGTCGCTTTAACCCGCGGTACTTTATCGAGCTGGCGAAGGAGCAGAAGCCGGAATATCTCTGGATCGGCTGCAGCGACAGCCGGGTGCCGGCGAATGAGGTGGTCGGCCTGCACCCCGGCGACGTGTTTGTGCACCGCAACATCGGCAACATCTTTTCGCTGTCTGATCTTAACTGCTTGTCTGCCCTGCAGTTCGCGGTGGACTGCTTGAAGGTGCAGCACGTTATCATCGCGGGCCACTACAAGTGCGGTGGTGTCACGGCGGCGATGCGGGGCGACAACTTAGGGCTGACCGACCACTGGATTATGCAGGTGGCGGACATCAAAAACAAGTGGTGGGACCGCGTCATGACTGATATCCCCGTGGAGTACCACCTGAACGCGCTGTGCGAGCTAAACGTGTTAGAGCAGCTGAGCCACGTCGTCAGCTGCCGCATCGTGCAGCGGCGGTGGCGGGCGCAGAACGCGAATGACCGCTACTACGGCCGCGCCGCGAATAGCGTCTACGTGCGGCCCGAGTACGCAACGAAACACCTCAGTGAGAAGAAGATTCGCAACAACCTCCCGACGACGGTGGTGAACTACGAGGAGGAGCTGGAGGTGCACGGGTGGGTGTACAGTCTCGACGATGGCATGCTGCGGCCGCTGCTGAGTCTGACGCGGCACTCCAGCGTGAAGCACGAGATCACGCAGGCGATTGAGGCGCTTTTTATCCGATACTCTCAAATGACGTAGGAAGCCAAGAAGATTCGCTGTTCTTCTTCTTTTTGTTTTAGCTTCGCGCTGCCTTTGCCGGTGAAGACAAGCTTTTAGAGAAAAAAGAGAGGAGTAGCTGCAATACCACATCGCCCTCCATGCTTTTCCTCAGTAGGGGCTTCCGTATACCCACGACATCACAACCTCTTTAATATTATTATTATTCATTTGCTCGTCTTATCACCTCACCAATCTACCAACACCTCCCCCTCACACACATGCCATGGCAGTTTCTCTTGCACACTTAATGGTGCACCAAAAGTCGGTATTTGTATCGACGTACGACCTTTTACTTTTACCTGTTTGTTTTCTCGCTTCAAACGACCCCATCGCATTCCCGCGCCCGCCTTTTCTGATTCTGTGCTTCTTCTTCTTTTTGCGGTGTACGCAGCACCGTCGTGCTGTGGGTGTTCTTCTGAATAACATGTCTGATGTGCCACTTCTGTGGGAGGAAAGGGAGAAAACGTCAACCAAACAAAACAAAAACATTTGAATACTGGTCAACAGAACGAGAGCGACAGAGTTCGATGACATCAAAAAACAATAACGGAGTAACTTAATGCAATCGCTGCGGTGTTATAAAACGACTCCTTCTTACATATTTCTCTAAACATTGTTCTAAGTTATATATATATGTACTTCTCTTCTCTGCAGAGGTGTTCTGACTGGCGTTTTTTCCCGGCTCCCGTCTTTTCCTGAGGGAGGCGGAAGTCCTATCAAAAAAGAAAAGCTCCCTGGTAAAGCAACATCATCCAATGGAACAGGCAATTCGGCAGCTTCTGAATCGAGGTGTGGAAAAGAGTGCCTACAGCTGGGCGAGGTAAGTCGGAGTGCTTCTTGCCAGGTGTGGAGCTTTCCTTCTTGGATGCGCGACAGCTTATGCACTATCGGTGGCGTGGGCCATGCCTGTATGCTCTGCGGGGATGCAGAAGGCGCCGCAGCAACCCAGTTAAACCCATCGCGGTGTCTTTGCAAACGCCATGTGTGTGTATCAGCACTGGGCGGAAACAAAAAGGTATGGCTAGCGTTTTTTTTTCTGGTCTCTCATTTTCTCCTTTTCTGTTCTACGTCTGCTCTACGCTCTCCCGATGATCATTGCTTCCCCTCTTCGTCGTCCACACGCCTTCTTTCTCTCCTTGCTACCGGTTATATATATACATGCCAACGTCGCACAACGGTGTTCTTGTTTTTCCCTGCTTTAACGGAACTTCGGCCTTCGCCACTGTGGCTCGCACTGTCGCAAACAACAACAACAACAACAACACACAAAACACCGCCAGTAGATCAGCAATTGCCGTCGAACACGCTTATTATTATTGTTAATTATTTTCCCCTCTTAAAGCTACAAGCAAAACCCCCAAAAGCCCCTCATTGTACCAGCGCTCTCCCAACCTGCCTCCCCCCCTCCTCTCTCTCGTGACGTGGAGCCTACCTATTGACGCATCGTTTGTTTCCCCTTTTTGCGTTCTCATTCGTATATTATTATTTTTGTTTACACCGCATTCGCAGAGGTCATGACGCTGCTCCCGAAGAACCTCCGTCGCGAGGCAAAGGACCTCGTCGTGGAGAAGATGTGGACCGGCGCGGCGTGGACCGAAGGCCCGTGTTGGCTACCCTCGGATAACAAACTCCTCTTCAGCGACGTCATCAACAGTACCCAGTACCTGCTCGACCCGGAGACGAAGACGGTGAGCGTGCTGCGCATCCACACCGTGAACGGCAATGGCAACACCATCGACAACGTTAACGTTCACAAGCACTACTACGGCTTCTACCCACCGGAGCTGGAGGACTTGGCAGACTACATCATCTTGACAGCTGAGAGTGGCCGCCGCACCGTGTCCGCCACCGTGCCCCCGCACGCGATTGAGCGCTATATTGCGAAGTACGGCAACGACTCGAGCAAGAGCCCTGCGATGCAGACCCGCTGGCGCGAGGACGCAGGCCTGACCCGTGCCCACGCGATCATCCCGCCTTACATGATGATCACGAACAAGGTCGTCTCGGAGAAGTTTCAGACGTGCCGCTACAACTCCCCGAACGACATCGTCATCCGGCCGAACGACGGCACGATCTGGTTCACCGACCCGCCGTTCGGCATTACGTCGAACAAGGAGGGCTACCACGCGGGCAGTCAGCTGAACACCTGCCACGTGTTCTGCATCTACCCATCCCACCTGTGCACCGTGAAGAGCCGCACCGGCAAGAATGGCGAGCCGTTGCCGCTGCCGACGAAGGAGGAGTGCGAGGAGATCGGCCAGAATGCCGACGCGATCAACCGCCTTAACGAAACACGCCACGTCGTGCGGTTGGGGGTGACGGATGTGATTATGCCGAACGGCCTCGCCTTCTCGCCGGACGGCAGCAAGCTCTACGTGGCGGACTGCAGTGCCGAGGTGTACGACTTCCGCGACGGCGTTGCGCAGATTTTCGTCTACGACATCGTCGACGGCGGCGAGAAGGAGTACGTGTCGGAGCGGGTGAACAAGGAGGGTGAGATCGAGGAGAAGGTGACGCTGTCCTACCGCGAGGTCAAGGCGGTAAACCGGCGCACCTTCTGCGAGATCAACCCCGGCATCCCGGACGGCTTCCGCGTCGACGCCGACGGCTACATCTACACCAGCTCCGCGCACGCCATTATCGTCTACACGCCGGAGGGTGAAGGAGGTGAACCGGATTGAGATGCCGGCGCGGGTGTCGAACTGCTCCTTTGGCGGAAAGGACGGCCATGACTTGTACGTTACGTGCGATCACTCCGTCTACCGCATTCGCTTTTAGGTGAAGAGAGCGCAGGAAGGAAACCAACAACAAGCGGTAAAAGTGGCGTCCGGTAAAGCGCGCTTTTGCTGAGTGGATAACACCAAAACGGCGTATGAAAAGAGAGAGAGAATTCCCCCATTTTTATTTTTATTTTTTTAATTTTTTTTTTTGCTCTTGTGCAGATGCGAATGGACGAGTAGTAGATAAACACGGAGCATCCGCAGCGCACGTAGAGAGCACCTCTATCATCGTTGAGGCGGAGGCACTTGAGGGCGGTGGGTGATCTGCTCGCCTAGGCGGCGGATTCCTTTTCCTTTTTTTCCCCTTTTCTCTCTTTGTCTCTTCGCATTCCCGCCCCCTCCCCCCCCCTCCACCTTATGTCTTTCTTTGTTCTACCGCGCCTCCGTATTTCACCTCCACTTTTTTCTCATTTTTCATTTCACGCCCTCCCCCCCCCCCACCCACACACGGTAAACGCGCAATGTACCCACACTCATATATAGACAACTAAGCAGCGATTGAGCATCTGCGTGCGGTCCGTGATCTCCCCGAGACAAGCAAGCCCTCGTCCCGTATTTTTCTTTTAATGATCATTTTTATTTTTTGCTCATGAGTTCCCGTTAACTCTTCACCTTGTCGTTACCAGCGAGAACCGCTCTTCTTTTGCCTCGTTTTGTGTATGCCTCCCTGACACGATCTGCGAGGAGACGCAGCACAAGAAGAAAAGTTGTGTTGTGGCGCGACGTCGAGGGAGGAAAGCCACGACAAACAAAGAGTTGAAGAACGCCTTCTATCTGAAAAGAAATATATATTTATATTTATATAATGAAAACAGAAGAAAATGTGTGACACCTCAGAAAACGTTTCTTTCCTTTTTCTCTTCTCTTTCTCACTCCCTTCTATTTAACTTCGTTTCTATTTATTTGCTCATTGCGCATCCCGCATTGACGTCGGCGGTGATCATGGGAGCCCTACACCGACTTGACAGGAAGGAGAGGAAAAGTAAAAGCCGAGCGAAGGAGAGGCACCTGTGAAGTGTGAGCACTACGATGTAGTGAGAGCGAACAGGGGAAAGGGAGAAGCATTAAAAGAAAAGAGTAGATTTCAATTGCCAATGCTAACGAATACAAGAAGAGAGGCGCGCAGGTGAGGCAGCACGCACTGGAGTATCAGCGCCAAGCATCAGTTGATCTCCAGGAGAACGATGCAGCTCATCGATGGTACCGCTCTTACTCTCCATGATTGTCAATCCTTTCTTTTTCTCACTAAATATGCTCCTCATCCTTCTGCTTGCTCTTCTTCTTCATTTCTTTTCCCGCATAGCCTCTTGCTGATTGGCGGATGCGCTACCACTACTGATCTCCATCGTCTCGCCCTGCATACATCGGCAACTCGTAACGGACAAGTCTGCGTGTTCCGTCATTCTCTTTCCTTTTTCTAAAAGATTATATTTGTGGGTTCCACAAAACTGCCTTCGGCTGGCATTGGACTATAGCCTCTTGCAGCCTTCTCATCTTGTATTCGAGGGAGTCGTGTACGGAAAGCAAACACATAGGAGGAACACCTCTGGATCAACTTTAGCGTATACACACTCGCGCACGAGTCGACTTACTCGCTCGTTGAGAGGAAGTTATTCTCTCTCTGTTGCTAGAGCGCTTCTTTTTTTTTTGGTAGTCGTCTTCATTCATTAGAAGAGAAAAGAAATATATAATAGACATCAACGAATGTGGAGAAACGAGGGAGTACGTACTAGCTGAAATCGTTGTAGAAGTCTCTGCTCCTTTTTTAAAATAGTTATTCTTACATACACACACAAACCTTACAACCCGTCTCCATATTGTCCTCTTCCGTCTCGTACAATCTTTTTTTCTTCTTCAACGTTTCGTTTTGACAGGTGTTGTCGGCTTCCTTCACGCTTTCGCTGATCCTTCTTCTTTTTCTCTTCCGTTTGCTCGCTGAACGTTCTCACCAGAGACAAGAGAATACACACACGTACACTCACACACTTGTTCTCTTGTAATACACACGGAGAGGCAAACGTTGAACGCGACTTTCACCCGCCATTTCAACGTTCACCGACGCTTTATTATATATATATATATATATATATATTGTTTGACGTACAGTCCTTTTGAAGTCACATTAGCGAAATCCGCGAAAAAGGAAAAGAGCTGAGGAGGACCTGGAGTCTTCCGCTCATTTGTTAAAAGTATCTTTGACGGGTGTGTCAGCCAGTTAACGCTACGCCCTTCCTTTTTTCTTTCTTTCTTCTGCTCTTGCGTTTCTGACTTGCGGCTTTTGCGTTTGATACGTCTGTGTCAATCGTGTTTATTATTAATATACATCTCTTTTCGTCCTCGCTTCTTGTGAAGAGGACGCAACGAAAGGCCTCTCTCTCTCCACCCCCCAAAATGTTTGACCGCTCTTTTCCGTGCCTGCGGTCCGCCGCCATGGCCTTCCGCGGCTCTGCCGGTGCGGCCGCCCTCTACGCGTCCGCCACTTCCTTTTGGGCATCCGGTGCCCCTTCGCTGCCCAACGCCCTCGTCGAGGCGCGCCGGCATCACACCAAAGCCACGCCCCCGCTGCACCTCCTGCGCCGGCACAACGAAAAGGCGAGCATGACGGCGGGCAACGGCGGTCTGGCGGACGCTGCGGCAATCGCGAAGGGCGTGCCGACGACGACGTGCAGCTGCGGCTGCCACCATCCTACGCAGACAACGTTGACGATGCCGTCCATGTCATTTTCCACCACGCCGTCGCGCTTACCGCACCGCCGCCATCAACTCGGCGCCCCGGCAGAAAAGGTGGAGAGCGAAGTGGCGAGCTTCGTGGGGGGCCGTCTCGTGCAGTCCCTCCAGCGCGAGCAGCCGCCGCGCGGCTCTGGCATTCAGCCGCTGCTGGACTACAACAAGCAGTGGGCGAGCGAGATCTCCCGACTCAACCCGGAATACTTCACGGAGCTGGCGAAGCAGCAGACGCCGCAGTATCTCTGGATCGGCTGCAGCGACAGCCGGGTGCCCGCCAACGAAATCGTCGGTCTCTACCCCGGCGACGTGTTTGTGCACCGCAACATCGCGAACATTGTCTGCAACAGCGACCTGAACGCGCTGGCGGTGCTGCAGTACGCGATTGACTGCTTGAAGGTCGAGCATGTCATCGTCTCGGGGCACTACAAGTGCGGTGGGGTGACGGCGGCGCTGAAGGACACCCGAGTGGGGCTCGCCGACCACTGGATTCTGCATGTCTCGGCGGTGAAGAAGCGACACTGGAAGCGCTTGGTGGCCGACGTGCCGGAGCGCAACCACCTCGACGCGCTGTGTGAGCTGAACGTGCTGGCGCAGGTGGAGCACATCGTCGAGACCCACCTGGTGCAGCGGGTGTGGACACGGCAGAACGCCGAGGATGCCGCGGCGAAGCGCGAGGGCCGGCCGACAAACAACCGCCCTGAGGACGAGGTGGACATTCACGGTTGGGTCTACGGGCTAGCGGACGGTCTCGTACGTCCGCTGCTGACGCTGAACCGCCGCTCCATCATCGAGCGCGAGCTGCAGGACGCGACGAACGCCCTCTTCTGGCGCTACGGACAGATCTAATACCCCCTCTGCCCCCCAAAGAAGTGAGAAGAGAGGAACATAAGATTGAAGCCAAATTGCGACATCGCTTGTCCGTTGCCGCATGCGTTATGCAAACGGACTTTATTAGTATTATTCACTGCGCTTTCCCTTCGCTCTCCCCCTCCCTGTTTTAAAAACATATATGCTGATGTGTTGCTGCTCGTTTGAGCTGAGACGAAGCCTCTGTGGCTGCTATGCGGCCCATCGTGTGTGTTTCTTCTTTTACTTTTGTTTTATTCATATATACACAAAAACCTTTCCTGGCCTGAGCTCTGGGGTCTCACATCGACCCTTTTTTTTTTCTGAGAGGTGTCTATATGTAGTTTCGTGGTGCACGTTCGCTATATCTTACCTGTGCGTGTGTGTCTTCTTGCGTGCACGCACCCCTCCCCCTCCAACACTCACACATCCGTTGTGTGGTCCTGCGAGTTTGTTTCTCCAGTTTTCTGGCATCACTCGTGCCTCTTTTATGAGAAGATATATATAAACCCGATATTAAAACCAAATCCTCCCTGTTGACGGACACTTCCGGTCAGGCAAGAAAACAGAATGTGTTGGAGGGAGGGAGGGGGGAGGAGGGACGGGGACACGAGGCACGACGTACGCACTTCAGTGAAGCTAAATGGTGCTTCGCAGTGCGGCACTTGTGGCGTTGTCCGGTAGGTATGTGCTCGTTCCACTGCAAGAGGAGAATGAGACGAGTATCGACTTGATTCCGCAACAGGACATGACGGAGATGATAAATACATATATATTTATGGAAGTCTAAATGGTGTTTTTGTGGCGCGCTTGCACAGAATGGAAGGGGGGGGGGGACGTCGCTCTCCGTTATCTTCCATGCCTCGCTTTTCAATGCTCTTGTTAGTCACCGCTCGCGTTCTCGTACGTTGGGGCTCACACCACCACCACTTTAAAATGTTTCGTGTTGATGATGCACCACGCACGTTGGAACTGCCGATCCGCTTCTTTTCCTTCTCTTTTCCTTCTTTTTCCGCCTTTGCCTTCCACTATGACCCTCCAAAGCAACAACAGCCACCGCAGCAACTTATTCACACATCTCTCCGCATTTCTTCTTCAGCAAAAAACCCGCACTCGCGCGCGTGAGCTGGATAAACGAGCAAAGAAAAACGCAGCACTTCTTGTCAACACAACAGTAATCCAAAGGAATCTCCCCAAAACACAAGCAAACAAACAAACAACCTAACGAACGAAAATATGAAAGGTATCGGCCGTCAGTCTTTCCTGGTCGTGTTCGACTTCGACCACACCATCGTGGACTGCAACACGGACGAGGTGATCCCCACCGCCCTGGGCCGCCGTGACGAGCTGATGAGTCTGATCAAGGAGAAAGACCGCATGCAGTGGACGAAGCTGATCGACACGATCATCGCTCCCTTCTCGAAGGATGAGTTGGTGAAGGCGGCGCACGACAGCGTGACGCTTGACCCCAAGATGCCAGACGTGTTCCATTACCTGGTGCAGGCGCAGAAGCAGTACGCGCTGCCGGCTGCTGCCGTAGCAGCAGCGGATTCGAAGGATATCCGTGCGACGGCGGTGCAGGACAACATGCCGAGCTTTCTGGAGATCAACATCGCCAGCGACGCAAACCTGCTCTTTATCGATGCCGCCTTGGATGCCCGGTTGCCGTTTGTGAAGGAGCACCTCTCGCAGATCCACTGCAATCCTTACTATGATTTGACTGCCCCGGGCGTGGACCGGAACGCGGGTCTTGAGGTCTGCTACGGCGCCAACCGGCCAGCGCGGAGCACGAACGTAAACGACGAGGCAGAGCGCGACGCGACGCACAACGCGGGCCGGCAGCGCAAGTCCCGCGTGTGCTGGTATGAGCCGTACGGGCACCAGTGTGAGTGCTGCATGGCCGGCGGCAAGCCGAACATGTGCAAGTCCCGCATCATCGAGCGGCTGCTGCAGACCACCACGCTCATCGACCCGACGATCATCTTCGTCGGCGACGGCGGCAACGACTACTGCCCGATTCTCAACGTGCTGCGTCCGCGGGACTACATGTTCGCCCGTCGCGACTTCCCCGTCCACCACATCCTCTGCGGTGTGGCGAAGAACCCGGCGGGGGCGGGGGACATCGGCGGGTGCTGCCACATCGGCCTCTGGAAGGATGCGGGGGAGCTGAGGGAGCTCTTCCAACTCGCCCTCGAGCACCCGGCGGCGCGGCTGCCAACGCTGGCGCGCTTCCGCGACGTCTCGGCGAAGGAGTTCCGCTCCGTCACCATGGCGAAGCGCATCCCTGCGGTGCTGAAGCGAACCTTAGAGGAGAGCGGGAACGTGGCGGTGACCTCGGCGCAGGGACAGGCGCGGGTGCGGGAGTTAATCCTCAACGCGGAGAGGGACGGCTTCGTGCCGCCGCTGCCGGGGCAGGCGCACGTCGCAGGCTGGCTGCGCAACTACGCCTACGTGACGGAGTACGACAACGCCGATGCCGCTGTGGTGCACGACGTCGCGAAGCGCGTGGGCGGGGCGCCGGACGGGGCGCCGGCGGACATCATCGCACCGCGGTGGGGCCAGATGCCGTGGCTGCACGGGGAAATCTACTTCTACCACCTTCTGTGGCAGTATTTAATGCTGCGCGACGGTGACGAGAACACTGGCGCGAAGGCGGACAGTGCCGCTGCTGCTGCTTTTGATGAGCCCCCACTCAACGTGATTACGGCACACGCCTTTAGCAACCCCCTCTCCTCGCAGGAGTGTCAGGTGACCACCACACCGGGTCTTGTGAGCCCGCCGGTGGTTCCGCAGCAGAGCGCTCGTCAGTACGCCTCGCTGGTGTGCAACCCGGAATTGGTCGCCGACGGCGTCGTCGTGCGCCGCGTGCACGCCGATGCGAAGGAAGGTGTGCCGGCCAAGCAGGTGCCCTACGCGGACATGCTGAAGCAGCCCAGCGGATGTGTGCTGCCGCCGGTGGACGCCTTCTTTCTGCCGTACCGCGATATCTTCTCCCACGAGAAGCGCGACGTCCTCGTGAAGTTCATCCACGCGCGCGTGGTGCCGATGCTGGCGTGTCAGCCGTGGACAGCCAGCCGCGAGTACGGCGGCATCCTGCTGCGTTGGATGCTGTGGGGCAACGGCATCGATCTCTCCATGTTCACGATGGATCAGCTGACGAGCGCCCACGCGAGCGGGGACGCGGCGGCTGCGCACGGCGGCGAGGTGGCCCTGCTGCAGGAGCGCGAGAAGGTTGCCTCGCTGGCGCAGGACGTCAACCTGATCGGGAACGAGGTGGGTCGTGTGGAGGCGCACCTGCAGCGTCTGCTGGACCCGACGGACCCCGGCAACGGCTCGCGGCAGATTGACATCGTCAACGACAACGTCGGCGTCGAGGTCGTCTCGGATTTGTGTTTCGGCCTGTGGTACGTGGAGCAGATGGCGCTGCTGGGAGAGGCCGGCAAGGGCGGGCGCGTGGTCTACCACGTTAAGCCGATGCCCTACTACGTCTCTGACGTCACACCGCGTGACTTCGATCTCACGCTGCGGGAGCTGGAGGCGGCCTACACGGGTAGCGAGTTCGAGGCAGACGCGACGAAGCGGGCGGCGCTGAGGCACGTGCTGGAGCCCTTCGTTCAGCGCGTACGCGACTGCTTCGCGCGTGGCGTGTTCGCTGTGGAGGCGGATACGGTGTGGACGCAGCCGTCCGAGTACCGCGATTTACCCCCGCGCGTGCTGAACCGCTACTTCTACACCCAGCACGTTGCGACGCCTGCGAAGGCGGTCGGTGTGGCCGAGGCGCTGGCGGCGACCGGCAGCCCCAACACGCCGCAGGGATTGTACCGCATGAACAAGACCGAGGTGTACCCCCGCTCCGGCCTCGTGCTGTTCAAAGGAGACCTGAACTACCGCCGCCTCGTCGGGGACCGATACTGGGACCGGTCCGACTTCATCACGACGCTCGCCCCGACGGACAAGGCGGACCTGCACACGGCGCCGCAGGGCTACTCGGCGGCGGAGAAGGCGCTCGTGGAAGAGCTGACGCAGGACACACCGGCGTCCGCGCTGATGGATGCGCCGACGTTCCACGAGGTGATAACGGCGTACTGGCCCTCGCACGCGGTGCCGGTGTGCGCCATTCGCACCATCAAGAGTGAGTGCTGCGTTGGTGTACCGGGCGACGTCAAGTCGAGGCTGGATCAAGAGCTGGGCATTGGGTGGCGTGTGACAGGCAAGTACGGTGAGATCCTCTTCTCGGGGTAGGTCGAGCCAGTGGGAGCGCGGCTAATCGGTTTCGTGAACAGCTTCTTGATATGCAGGTTGAGTGCACACCCGCTCTTTTTTCTTTTGATTTTTGAAGCATCTGCCTTTATTTTTTTTTCCCTCTTCTCTCGTTTCACTTAGCGTCAACGTATATATATATATACATATATACACACCTACACATGGAAGGTTAAAAGAAGCTTAAAGAAGAGAACCATCTGTGTGGGTGGGGGGGGGGGGGCCAATGGCGAGTAGTCTCATGAGGGGCACGCGGAACGCTTTCTTCTCCTCATCGAATGGCAGCCGCACGCTGCATCCTTTAGTATGCTTTCCTTTCGCTTCACATTTGTTTCTTCTCTTTTTCATTTGTGCGACCGTTCTCGTAGAGACAGGCATCCGTAGGCTCGGCAAGTTGGAGAGAGGAGCCCTCTTTTTGGTTGGTTGTCTGTACCGTAATTTCCCTTGCATTCATTGTTGTTCCTTCGTTGTGCCTCGCTGTGCGCGCGCGTGGGACTTCCGTTGCACTTCGTGATCATCATCACGCATCGAAGTCAACACCCAGCGTTGCACACGGCGCACACGAACACGAACAGCACCATCAAAAAAAAAAAGGTGGCCCGAGCAATGATGCGTGGTGCTACGCACCCCGGCATGGCGCTGACGTACACTGTCAGAATGGCATGATGTTCTCTTGTGGCGCATCGCTTTGTTTTACACGCTGGCGTTATTTTTTTCCCTTTCTTTTGCTGCACGTGGCGTTCGCGGAGACGCCCCTCCGTTCGTGTGTGTGCGTGCGTTGTGCGTCCGCGGCGAAGTCGCTGCGTCCGCGAGAGAAGGAGAAGCCCACGAAGATAATAAAGCCGATATGCGGCCCCTCCTTTTTTTTTGTTGACATATATTTCTGTGCTGTTGTAGTTGATGTTGCTGGCGCCGTGCCAAGAAGAGGCGTTGCGGCACCTCTCTTCCGTGTTGATCGGTTTGCTTATCAACACACACACGCACTTCAGCTGCAGACGGTATCGTACGTTTTGGCGGCGTCAGTTGATTGTGGGGGAGTAGTTGGGGAAAACCCAAAACTAAGAAGCGAAAAAACCCCACACGTTAGACTTTATCCTTGATGCATGCGTTGTCTTCTTCCTGATCCCTTTCACGTGTGTGTGCGTGCACGCCTATCTGTTCGACGTGGAATCAAAAAAGAAAGGAAGGAGACTGAGCATGCTTCGCTCGTTCAGGTCCCCCCCCCCCACAACCAGCCTGCCGTAAGCACTGTTGTTATTGTATTTCATTATTATTATTTTTTCTTTCTTTGTATCTGGCTGGTTACTGGAGCGATACCAGGCTGACGAACCACCCGTCTCTTACCGCTCGATCTTTCTGTCTTTCTCTGGCGCTGTCTAGTTGTTAGTAGCTTTTGTTGCCCCCTTCTTCTCTCTCTTCATCCCCCCACCCTCCCTGTTTGCTACGTTTGGCGTGCTGGGTAGCGCCTCTTTTCACTTGGTCTAGTAAGCTTCTTCGACGGCGGTTCGCTCTCTCGCTGCGTTGCAAAACGCCAGACAGTTAAAGCGCTCTTCTTGTTCTGCTGCTCTTTGCTTGCACCGCTGTTGAGTTCATATATACACACACATATATATATATCTTTGTTTGTTTCCCTCCTCAACTCCCTCTCTCTCTCTTTTAGCAAAACAGACAACAAGAGAGTCTGTGGCTCACAGAGGTCGCTTCATCGAGTAGCGTGAACTCCGGCCATCACCCTCAAGAAAAGTGCGTCCGCGCTGCGCCGTGTTCCTTGCTGTCCGTGCTACTACGATCTCCGCCCTTTTCATTTCGTGCTGCTGTCGCGGCTTTGGCCACCCGGTTTGCGCCGCACTCACGCACTTAACGGCACTTGTTGAAGACACTTTAATGACGCTCGTTTGGAGCTCGCTGCGTCACCGTGCCGCTGCTGCTGAGACGACCGCCGCAAGACCGATGTCTCCCTGCTCGTCCAGTCGCAGCTGCGGGGACCACATGACCATGGACAGCAGCCCGCTCTCCCATTCTTCGATAGCATGGAATGTGCTAGATCACCACAGAGGCATACGTTGCCGATCGTTGGTGTTGTTCATCGTTTCCATCGTGCTTGTCTGGACGGTGACGTGCGTGCTCGATGACGGCAGGAGAGGCATTACGCCCCGCAGCGTACTCGGCATACGATTCGGGCTCGCTCTAGAGGACACCGCGGACTTCTTGTACGCGAGCCAAGCAGCAGCAGCTGCTGCGTCTCCTCCAGATACGGAAGTGGAACGTCAAGAAGTTGATGATCAACAACAGCTGGAGAGAGACGAGAACGCAGACGCGTATGGCGTGGAGAGTCCCATGAACGACGCGGCGTGGTCGGACCCGGACACGTTCGCGGATGTCGAGTCCACAACGGCAGCAGAGGAAGACCCCCCGGCGAGGGACTGGCCGTCGACTGCATCCGCACGATGCGGCCGCCTCAATCGGTGCCGGCCACGAGAACCGTCTCGACGATGATGAGGATCTGCTGCTGACAGCAGAAGCGGAAGGATTAAGGGAACGCACGAGTACCGAGGCAGCAGCCTCATCGTCTTCCATGACCTTTCCAGGAGCCACCTATGCCGATCCACACCGTCAGCGCAACCCACATCGCTCTCAACACGTATTTCACGAGGTGGACGACCTCGACCCGTACGCCGAAGACCTCGACGGGCTATACGGTCGAGACGACGACGTAGATCGAGACCGTTACAGCCACGAGTCAACGAACACCGTCTCGCCGAACGGGCTGGAGAACAGTGAGGTTGAAATGACAGTCCGAGGGAGGTTCGCCTCCTCTCCCACACTGCAGCATCCGCCACCGCAGCAGCCCCGCAGGTCAGTGGACTACAGCGATGTGCACCACTACACCGACACCTCGCACTCGCGCCTGGCGGCGCTGGAGCGGGACGTGGTGGTGGACGGTGAGGAGTACCTCGTGGCAGGCACCGGTGACAAGGCAGGTGATGACGGGCTGACGGCCGCCGCAGTGGAAGGCGGAGACCGTGTGGAACTGGGCTACCCCTCGTCCCCGGAGCGTGCTGCGCGGCTGCCGAGTTGGTCTGCCGGGCCGTCCGAGTTGGAGGACTTGTCGTTCACATCGCGGGCCGCGTCACAGACGTCGCACGCTGCTGCTGCAGGTGGCATTCCGGCTGGCACGGCGGCAGCGGTTGACAGCAACGGACGGACGGCCAGGCCGACCTCTGTCATGACTGAGCGGGATGAGCCGACCTCTGGCATGAAGCGCGAGGTGCAGGCCCGCTGGCGAGAGTTCCGCTGGCGCTACCCGACGCTGCAGGAACTGATCCGTCAGCTCGTGACAGCCTACAAGGAGGAGCAGCAGACCAAGCGGGCATGCTTGTCCACCCTAGCGCTGCGGCGACACAGCACAAGCGGCCTTTCATCGAGTAGTGGCCGAACGCCAACAGCGGACGCCGATGGCGCTGGGGCCGCTCCGCAGCTGCGCACCTCGCTGGATTGGGTCCGCTACCTCCCTTACGTGCCTATGTACCCCATCGACGAGGCTCTCCGGCACCTAGAGCACGAGCAGGACGACGACATTCTGCTGGCCCTCTTCTACGCCCCGGACTTGTTCAACACGCACAACTTCATTCAGTGGATGGGGCTGGTGGTGAGGGTGACGTGTTCGCTGCTGCGGGCCGGTGCGCTGGACCCCATCGCGAAGGTGCGGGAGGAGGAGGACTATTACGACCACCGCGCCGGGTTCCACAACAGCAGCAGGAACAGCACCGCAGCTCAACAAAACAATGGACAGTCCGTGTTCTGTCCGAGCCTTCGCCTTCCCAGCACTGACGGGCTGTTGTCGGCCGAAGATGTGCGACGCCTGCGCGCGAACACGGTGCGCATCGCCATCATTGACGCTTACTACCCTCTCCGCAACGCAACGCCAAAGATGTGGGACCACCTGGGATCTGACCGGTACATGGTGGGCGAGGACGAGTGGCACATCCCCTCGAGGGATGATGACAACGAACGGACAGGAGATGAGGATGGCGGTGAGCGTGAACGTAGCGGGAAAGCTGCTCACGTTCGCAATGACGGCGCAGGTCGGCAAGACGAGAGCTGCCGCTTTTCTTCCCCTCGGAACCAACCCACCGCAGCTGCGGGAGCGGCGCGGCGTGCGGACCATCCCGCGATCATCGAAGCGGCCCAAGGCAGCGCCGAGGCGCGGAGCTTCGACGCTGTTGAGCAGCGTAGAATTCTTCTCCGCCTGTTAGCGCGGGAGGGCGGCCTCGCCTCGGGAACTCAAACGACGCTGCAGTCGACGTCGCATCTGCGGCGCGCCACGACCGGCGAGCGAGCCGACACCGTGGACGCGCGTGATGAGGAGAAGCCGCAGGCCGAGATGCGTGCTGGACAAAAGGACAACAGCAGCGAACACGTGAGAAGGCTGCACGACAGAGGACAGGACCGGTCGCAGCAGGGCGAAAGGCACTTCCGTGCAGCGCAACGACAGGAGGGTGCAGAGGGTGGCGGACCCGGCCCGTTACCTGCAGCAAACCACCATGACGGTCCGCACTCGCAACCCACCGGCGCAGACCACTCGTCGCCTTCAGCTGCGGCGCCTCCTCCGCCGTCCTCGCCGCGAACGGCGGTCACCGCCGGGGACAGCGATCGGGCCGGCTTCTTCGCTCGATACATCGTCGAACACACCGACGAGTTGCTGCGCACACGTCCGCAGGCGCTGCTGGACGTGCTGCAGCGCTCGCTAGACCGCATTCGTCGGCGTCAACAGCGCCTTGTGGAGAAGATATTCAGCTACGGGCAGATGATGAAGTACCGTGTCCATGTGAACGTCTCCGCACTGCGCATTGACGAGTTCTCGTCCGAGCACGTGTGCGATGTGGGCTATCAAGTCTACCTACGCTCCCCGCAGGCGTTCGATAGGGGTAGCGCGTCGGCGAGGGAGAAGGGAGGAGTGGACAGCGGCGACAACGACGGTACGCAAGGACGGAACCGCGGAGTAACGCGGTCCTTCTGGTCAGACGACCCACGCAACACGGCCGACGACACGTACGCCGTGGAGGAAGGCGGGCTACAGCCGAGCTGTTCTTACTACCAGCAACTCCGCCTCTCCAGCACCGCGGCGGCTCTCGGCTCCGTGTCGAATCTGCGGCGCTCGTTGAGGCGTCGCACCGCCCCCCTCACCTCCATGGCCGCCACCGAATCTTCGAAGTGCGGCGCCCGACAAAGAAAAGCGTCGTCGCAGACGGAGCATCGTGAGGGCAGAGAGGACGAAGAAGAGGCGGAGGCGGAGGATGAAACACTATCCGCGGTGATGCACGCCAACAACCCCGACATCTGGAGCGACGACGCGGCAGCCAAGCGGGTGGGTCAGCTGCAAGCCGGAACGCATGCGAAGCAGTACGGCAGCAGCGGCGACGACGAAGCGGCGGAGGAGGAGGGCAGCGCTGATGTGGTCGCCGACGCCCCGCAGCATGTGATCGACGCTTCTTCTTCTTCTACCGGTGCCGGTGCATTACCTCACCGCCAGCCGTCCACCGACACGACCGCGCCTGCAAAAGCGGATGTAGCGGTAGCGCACAGGACGATGGACACCAAGGAGGGCAGCGAGGAGGAGGACGATGAGGCGTTGGGAGAGTCCTGCCTCGACGACGTACGAGCGCCGACCGATGACGGCACTGACTTTCGTGAGGTGTACGTGCAGTACATAGACGGGATGGACGAGCTTGCCGTTGAGGCCGAAGCTGCCGCCGGCGCCGTCGGGGTGTCGCCGGCAGCCGTGCCGGACAACGGGAGCGTGCTGACGGAATCGGAGAACAACGCAGCTGATGTCGCCTCTCCGTCGGAGTACGTTGGCAGCCTCCACGGCGGTCCTCCTGGCACCACTGCCGTGAACAGTCTGCGCCTCGTCGGCACCGCGGCCCGGCGCAACTATCTCCTGCGTCAGAGCCCGCCCGTTCTCTTGTTTCCGCGCAAGCAGGGCAGCCGCCCGTACGTGTTTCCGCAGACGCTTCTCCAGATGGTGCATCTTAGCTTCGCCGGCGCGCGCGGCCAGGTGCCGCCACCGGAGCACGCGCGACGTCTGCGCCACCGCTGGGGCTGTGCGGCGCCGTTGTCCCCCGATGCCTCCGCGAACCTGTCCTCCGGAAACGCCACCCTCTATGCTCGTGCCGAACCCACAAACGGCGGCCGCCCCTCGTCATCCGTCCTTTCCTCGGACTCTGACGGCCACAACAGCCGGAGCAGCACTTCCGCGACGGCGCCGGCTCCCCGGTCGACCGACTCCCCCTTCACCACCGCCTTTACCGAGCCTTCCTCCGCCATGTCGCCGCCCACCACGTCCGGCTACCGCGTGGTGAGTTTGCTGGACAACCCGTTTAGCCGCCTCGGTGTCGAGCACTTGCACCACGACTTCGTCATCAGCGGCCCGTCCTCTCCCACGGCGGTGCTGCAGCTGCTGGTGGAGGAGGCGCGGCGCGTGTCCACCCCCGGCGAGCTGGAAGCGCGTAGCCTTCGCGAGGCGATCTACCAGCAGCAGCATCGGCAATGGAGGGCGGCCGAGGAGAGAAGGCGCGGGACGCAGCGGGGCAGCGGGACTGAAGGGAGGGAGGAGGAGGAGGAGGATGGGAAGGACGACACCACCGTCGACCGTAGACGCGTCGAATCCGACACGGCGGTGGATGGCGGGTTGCCGTCACACCCCATGGCACGCGCGGCATCCGCTTCAGGCAGCGGAGCTACGACGGGCAGCAGCACCATCGCTTCTTTGCCGAGGAATTCTTCCATCTTGGGCGGCCCCACCGCGCCCAACAGCTCCCCCGCCTCCGCCACCACCACCACTGTGGCTGCTGACAGCGACGCGACACCTGCGCAGGCTAGTCAGCACGATGCACAGGCAGAGGTGACGCAGCGCGAGTACGGCAGTTATCCCATGTCGTGGGGTGAGCGCTTTCTCGCGGGCGCGGCGAGGGATGTGGAGGCGTACCTTGTGGGCAGCAGCACAGTGACGGCGTCGGGACCTGCGACGACGTCCACGCAGGCGGAGCACAATAGCGGTGGCACGTCGTGGAACGGCAATGCGACGCGAAGCAGCGTCCCGCGCACCCCGCATGGGCGGAGTAGCCTCACCGGCGATCTCGCAGAGGAAGACGCGGAGGCGGCGGAGGAGTACTTCTTCGAACACGACGTTGCCTTCCGCCTGGACCCCGACCGCGTCGTCGAGAGCGCGCCGCTGACGCTGCACTTCTTCCTGCGCACTCCGACACACTTGGCAGATAGCGAAATCATTGAGCCGCTGAAGGAGCACATTCGGGTCCTGCGTCGCCGGCTGGTGGAGGAAATCGTAGCCGACGTGTACGAGCACGCCCGGTGCGAGATCAGCGGCAATCGCTTTGTTCAGCTCCTCCGCTACGGTGCCACTGCTGAGTACGTGAACGGGACGCGCGTGGCCCGGCCAGTTGACAAGAACAGTAGTAACACGAATACGAATCAACCCAGCGGCAGTCGAAGTAGCAGCCACGCACACAACACGGCGCCCGTGCCTTACGCGTATACGACGGACGGTCTGCCGCTGCTGCAGTGCTTGCGGAACAGCGCTGCGATGTGGGTGTGGCTCACGGCTGCTGAAATGCAACTTCACGATATGAAACGGGCGGGCTCGAGCGACGACGTCGACGACGACGGTGTGGATCGCAGTGCCACCCCTGCTGCTGCTGCTGCTTGCGAGGCGCACAACCCGCTTCTTCTCCCCCGTGATGCTGCGTCCTTCATCGAGCTGTTGCGCATGCCCTACAACACGACCCTCGACCCCGCCGCCCTCGTCGAGGCGGAGGAAGAGGATCGGGTGTACACCGAGACTGTGCCTTTCTACTACCGACGCTTTAACCGCCAGCGGTGCAGCGGCGATGACGGTGGTGGCGCGGCGGCGGGGGCGGCGTCGTCACTGTTGGCCAACGTAACTGACGCAGAGCGCGCGAAGCTGCAGGAACAGCGCTACACCCGTGAGCGGCTGTTTCTCATGCAAGTCGCCTTTCGCGAGTTGATGAAGCGCTCCAACTTGCACGTGACGGACTCCTTCTTTCAGCTGTTTACCATTGACCGCGAGGCGGCCATGAAGGTGCCCCGCAGCGACGCCTCCCGCGTCGTGTATCGTACCGTGCCCTCGTCCATGAAGTCGGCCACGGCGCTGCCCGTCGCCGCGACGGTGGCCGTGCGCCCACAAGCGTGTCTGCCGTCCTTCAACAACACCTACCTGGCGGTGATGTATCTTTTCTTCAACGGGACGGCCGAGCGCTACTATCGCAATCACGCGTTGAACCACCGACGCGTGCGGCTGATGCAGCGCTTAGATGAGGCGGTGCGTCTGTCTCGACAGGCTCGCTTGATTCTGCTGACAGCGACGGAGGACGACTACCGCACGCAGTACCTCGACTCCGTCATACAGGATGCGGCGCGGCGGTACTACACGATCCAGCACATCAACCACCACCACCGTGATGCCGTGGCGCAGGAGTGGGAATTGCAAGAGCAGCAGCGGCAGCGCTCCTTTTCTCCCGGGCGTGCCGGTGCGGAGGAGACCGTCTTGCTAGCGAAGGACAACGCGGCGCCCCACACGTCGGAAGCGGGCGCGGACGGCAAACGTGGATTGGCGCCGTCGTCTTCTTCACCTGCTCCGACTCGGCCGCCTTCTGCAGGTCGTGCCAGCCCGTCGTCACCGGCCGTCAACTCGCACCACGACGAGGGTGATGCTGATGATGATGATCAAACGCGCACATACGAGACCTACGCCCACCTGTCGCCTTTTCAATTTAACATCATCAACTACGACGTCGATCTCAGCGATAACGATTCGCTGTCCTCGTCTATTCTTGGAGATGACGATCATCCTCACCACCGTTACCACAGCGGCGATAGGGAGCGACCACGAAGAAGGACGACGACATCCGCCTCCAATACCTCCGACACTCGCTCCTGTGAAGGCGAGGCGTGTTGCGGGAGCACTGCCAGGTCGCCACCTGGACAGGAGGGGTGCCGTGCCAACGGCATTGCGACGGAGTCCAGCAGCCACCGTACCACCTCAAGGATCAATCCGTACAGAGCAGACGGAGACGTCGGTGCGCCGCTGACCGGCGCGGAGGCGGACGAAGCGGCACAAGAGAGGGAGCAGATGCGTGTACTGCGTAGTGGTGATGTGGGTGGGGCGGACGAGGGGTTTGTGGACGGTGCCGTTGGCTCGCCGTCTGCACAACCGAATGAAGAGTGCGGCTGGCGTTCGCATTCTTCTTCTGATTCGAAGAAGAAGCCACCACAACCGCAGCGCCATCCTCCGGCTACGCAAGGAGAGGGCAGCAGCAGCAGCAGCGATGGCGGTGGTGGCCCCCGCGAGAATGCCGATGCAGCGGGGAGGGGCACCGCTGGACGTTCCATTGAGGAGGAAATGGCGCTGCTTGACGAGGAGATGCGCCGCGGTCAACGCACGGAGAGCAGCTTACCCAACGCCGAAGCCGACCACGGCGACGACGGCGACTATCGTGTTCCAGACTCTCAGGCCGACGTCAACAACGCAGCGCCATCGCAAATGCCGCCCCTGCCACCGCCGCGGAGTAAGCCGCCGGTGTCGCGGTGGAAGCGGTGGTTCTCCCGTCAAACCCCCACGCAAAACACCGCGAAGGACGAGCACGATCACGACGCCTCGACGACGTCGGCTTCTCCGGGCAGTCGCGACGAGGAGAGTCACAGCAAGGGTGGATATCACGACGTGGCGGGCGGTGACCGGGAAGGGACGAGTAGGGGAAGCGCTCGCTTCTGGCCGCGACCCGCCTCTGTTTCGGAGGACAATGCAGACCGTTACGACGACCACCACCACCACCGCAACGACGTGGAGGACGTCGACGCCGGCGACGCCAACTTCGCCGAACGGGAGGGGTTCGAGCAGGGCGACGACGACGACGGCACTGAGATGTCGCACGTTATTACGGGCGACAAGACGGAGTACGTGGAGGGCCTGCCCTTCCCTTTGCGCCACGGCGAGGTGCCCCGGTGGGAGCTGCGACGACGCTTGGAGGAGCATCAACGACACGTGCGGGAGCTGAAGCGGCGCCTCATTGACGTGCGACTGCGGTGGGCGTCTGCGCTGTGGAATGAGCAGGAGCGTCCTGGTGGGGCGCGACCGGCCACTCCATACAATCAAGGAGACGGCAAGCAGACCCAGCAGCCGCAGCAAGCACCACCTCCAGAGGAGAACGAACCACACCAGTAGCAGTGTTAGCGTCATGGGAATTTACGTTGAAGAGAAAGAGAAGCGTTTCCTTCTTTCTTCTTACATATGTCGGTAACTCCACATATGGAGGAAACACACTCGTCTATATAAGTATATATATATATGACATGACATGATCAAAAGGAACGAGTGTGAGTTGGGCAAACGAGGCTACGCACCTCTTGTCTTTGAGACGTCATCGAGTCAACCAAAACTTCCACGGCGGACCGTGAGGGATGAGAAGGTACATGTGTGTGTGTGTGTGTGTGTGATTGTCATTCACGCGTTAACAGCGGAGGGCAAACGACGAAGTACTTTTCAGGCTGTCCAACAACAAAGGAAAAGAAAAGAAAAACCTCTTGCGTGTCTGCGTTGTGTTTCTCTCTCAACGCTGACTCCTTCACGTAACACCTCTGTTACTCTCTGGGATCACTTTCGTATGTTCCTTCAACGTGTGTTTTCTTCCTCTCCCGTCACCCTCTTCTTCTGTGTTCTCACACCTGCTGCTACGTCCTCACGTATCGTCCACACACGCTGCAGTACAACGCGACGTAGAAAGAAAGAAAATACTGCTCTTTTACACTGCGGTGCGAAGGAGAACCATCGCGAGGTACCTTTGCTCTCTTTCCGTACGTGTTGTGTGCTGCCCCGTGGCAGATTCATGCGTTCAACACACACACACACACACACTTCCAGACTCACTTAGAATAATAAAGAAAGAAGATCGACGACGACAAAAAAGAAAGGGGAAGGGCTCTATAAATATCAACGAATACCGCGCTGTGTACTATCTGCCGAGCGTAGACACTGCACACACACACACACACACACTCAGTCTGTCGAGTTGAGCTCCTTCTCTGCGGCACGTGCGAGAAGAAGAAAGAAATACTTACCATTGTGAACTTAAAGAAGAACAGTATTGTTGTTGCGGGGGTACCGCATGCGTTTTGTGTTGTTTCCTTGTCTTTTCTTCTCTTTCCTTCCTTCCTTCTTCCGGGTTGTGCAGCACCGTCACTGGACTGCTGGAGTTACACGCGCTCCATCGTGACTTTTCGGCTCTTTCTCTTTGACTTTATTGCTGGCTGTTTTGTAAACCTACGGTTGCGTCTTAACACTTTTCTTCGCTTTTCTCTCGGCCTTTTTTTTGTTTTCCGGTGGAGCTGCTCCCTCGCACTTCTTCCTGCTTTCTTAGAACATATATATTATTATTATTAATATTCTCTCTCTGTCGGTCTGTGCATCTATCCAGAACCTCATCGCATCTTCTTCTTCAGAGAGTTCTCTTTCTCCATCTTCGGGGAGTTTCTGTGGGCGGCCCTTCTCCTTGACCGTCGCAGCAGTTCTCCTCTCCTCTCTTTCCTCTTTCTGTTTCCACACCGTCTTAGTCAAGCGTTGCCGCGAACACACGGAGTATATGTATTAGTATATGTAAACGTAGGGGAATTCTCTCTTTTTTTCCTTTTCCTTTTGTATTGCTTGTACATGCAGGAGGTTTATGATCCGAATCGGGCCGCCGGCTCCTCAGCAGCTGGGCTACGCGCGCCACACGACTCTGCAAGCGCCAGCGACTATCACCGCCGCCATCGCGGCTATACCGATGTGGATGCAGACGATAGCTATTACGCAAACGAGTTTCGCAGCGCACGGCGGGACTACTATAGAAACGAAGACAACGATCCACACAGCCCCACCTACGAACAACCGCAAGAGCGAAACACAAAAGCTGGTAGTAGTAGCACTGCTGCTGCTGCTGCTGGCACTGCAGTCGGCCAGGGCTATGGAACCTCTGCAAGTGGCGCAGGACCCGGCAGAGCCGATGATGCACATGCGGGGCCATCACCAGGCACGATACGTAATCCGACCTACCCATCAGCGGCCGCCGCCCCTCGAGCAGCCAGTGCTACCTATGCCTACGGCACTACCACCGGTAAAGACCCTCCCCCTCATGTCCCCGCGAGTAGCGGTGGCGGCACTTACTATGACAGTTATCGTAGTAATCACGGTGAAGGCGCAGACCGCGACGATGCGGACTGTGGAGGTTGTTGTAGTGGCACGCATGCAGTTTTTTGCCGGGCCTTTTCCTCTCGCACCATCGGCGTCGCGCTGAGGAGCTCGACGAGCCAGACGTCGCCTGGGTTTCTGCTGGCCCTGATCGGTGTCGTAACGGGACTGCTGCTCTTCATGCCGTGGTCTGCGAATCCCGTGCACATTGTGTTTATGGCGCTTTCCGCCGTGATCGGGTGCGTCTGCGGACTGCTGTACTGCGCGGCAGAGCGACTGTGGCGACGCCGGCAGTCCCTCAATGCCGTCCCGTGGAAGACGGTTGCCTACCCCACACCACTGCAGCCGGGTCGTGATGTAGCGCATCCGTCTGGTGGTGAAGGAGGTTCCACCCAACACGCACACCGCCGCCGCGGCCTTTTCTCTCGCCTTTGCTGTTGCTGCTGGTCTTCTCCTCCTGCTACTTCCGCCTCTTCCCGCGGCCAAATATGGAGTGAACTCGCCGGCGATGGGGAGGACGGTGCATGCCGGGGCGGGACCGGCTACATTACCCGCCAGCACTTCCGCATTGTGCTGCCCACGGTGCAGCTCTTCCTTCTCGGCGTGCTCGTGCTCGTCTCGCCGCAGGTGATGGCCACGTGGACGGAAGCAAACACCGCGCGTGCGACGGGGTCGGCGAACGGGAATGCGATCATCGCCGCCCCCGCAAGCCGAGGCGGGTCCCGCTACGGCGCAACGTTGTACCCGGTGGAGGTGGTGTGGAAGGCCTGCCTGCTGCACGCGTGGATCGGCATGGGCTTCGCCATTCCGCTTCTTTGGATGCTCTTGGTGGGCTTGGCTCACATGGCAGTTCTGTTAGCGCAGAGCCAGCACACGGGCGCCGGCACGCTGCTGACCTTGGTCGTGTGGATGTCAGTGCCGGTGGTTTGCTTCCTCTTCCTGACCTGCATTAAGGGGCCTCGCCGCACCACGTGCTTTACAGCGCACCCGTCCAACACGCTGCAATACCTCGCATCGACAGTGGCTGAGCCACCATCTATGCAACATGGAGTCAGGGGAAGCGGCGCCCCACCCAACGGGTACACGAGCAGTGCAGCCGTCTCCTTTTCTTTGATAGCTGGTGGAGGAGAGGCGCTGCCCCCACCTCCGCCTGCCGCCGCTTACGCGAGTGTGCAACAGCCACAGCTTTCGAACGGGGCACCGCAAGTCGGGGGGTACGCGAGCCTTGTTCGCGGCGGTGTCGGTGACGCCTACGGTGGCTACCCCTCTCCTAACAGCCGACAGCGTTTTCTATACAGAAATCGCCCTGGCATGCGCTACCCAGACGGCTACCACGACGGCAGCAACGGCGGGCAAGCGCTCTTGCAGCAGCGGCCCCCACGCTTTGTGCCACCGCGTCCACTAAGAGGAATCCCCAACGCGGTGGCCGTCACAAAGATAGGGCCGGGAGGACACGTCGAGACAGCGCATGGCAACGGCGCTTTTGCGGCTGGAGAGTCCTTCACGCCGTTGTACTCCCCGCCCTCCTCTTCCCCTGCTCCGCAGGCAACGGTAGCAAGAAATGGCAGCGCCGATGGCGGCCGTCCGCGCCTGTTCGCCCCACCGGCGCATTCTCCGGTAGAAATGAAAAGCACGGCGAGCGGCAATGCACCTCCGCGCGTCTACGATGGTGTGGGATACCGCCATGATGACGACGGCGGCAACGGTGAGGATGAAGAAGAACGTGGCGTGTTTCGGGAGAGGGACCGGGGTGATGGCGAAGGTGATGCTTCGGCCGCGGTGTCCCCCCCGCAGTCCCCTGCACCTCAAGCGAAGAGCGGCAACGCCGCGCCGAGGTCGTCCGACCAGCAGGCGAATAAAAGCGTTTGTCATCTGCGTGCTGGTAACCAGCATCCGCCGTTGCCGGGCGCGACAAAACCCACTACTGGTGAGCGGGGAATGCCTGCGGTGGACGCCGAGCACACACGTAATGAACGAAGGGCGCTAGAGACGGAGGCAGCGGTAGAAGGCGGCGTGGGCGGTGTAAACGACGACGACGACGACGGCGAGGATGCGATGTACGCGGACATGCCGGCTGGTGTGTCTCTCGAAGACGCTTGTGCCCCCTACCTCGTTCTCAACTCCGAATTGGTGATCGTGGATGTGAGCCCGCTGCTGTGCCGTCTGCTCGGCACCGACGTTGGCGCGCTCATGTACCGATACTTACCCGACACGCTGGCGTGGTTGGAGGTGGTGGAGCAGGAAGGCGTGCTGCAACTTGTGAAGGAGGTACGCGAGGCGGCGCTTGCTGCGAATGTCGCTGCCATTAACGCAGCGCAGAAGAAGAAAGGAAAGGCGGCAAAGCAAGATAGTGCGGAGCCAAAGAAAACGGCCAATGTGGAGGACGCCAAAGGACCAGCCGGCATGGATCCGCATGTGAGAGGAGATGCAAATCGCGTGGCAGAGGGCGCGGTGGTGCGTCGCGTGGTGCTGCGCGGACATTGCCCGTATTTCTACGCAGATGCACACAACGTTGCCGCCGCACCCACGCACGCTGAGCAGAAGGACGCAGATAGAGGAACAGCACCAGGGAAGGAGAGAAGCGGAGCAGAGGCCGCTGTCTCTGCTGATGCTGCGGTGGCGACGGCCCCCGTGGCACGAAGTCGCCCCCCGTTTGCTCTGTGCTTTGACACCTGGGCGGAGATGCTGGCCGGACCGGATCGTACGCCGCCACCCACCAAAGGTAAAAAGGGCTCCTCGAAGCTTTCCTCGCAAGCAACTGACGTTGGTGGTGGTGGTGGTGCCCCACCCATGGTCATCATCCTCCGCCGGCCGCTCCTCCACGGGCTCTGCGATGCCCTGCCGCTGCCCTTCGGCCTCGTGCATCCCAAAACCGGCGAGGTGCTGTGCTGGAATGTTTGCGCAGCGCGGCTCACCGGCTGCTCCGCGTACGACATGCTGGGCACCTCCGCGTACAGCAACTTCGTGTACGAGACACCCGCCATCACGGCCACGACGACCGCGTCCGCCGTTGCCGCGACGGCGGCGTGGCCCATCGACCTGGACAACGCGCCGCCGTCGTTCAAGAACTTTGCCCTCCCCTCGCCGTCGCTCGCGCACGAGAGCGTGGGGGTGCCGCCACCCTTGGCGGACGTCGCCCCTGGGCCTTCTGCAGGCGGTGAGGTTGCCTCGCAAGGGCACCCCGTTCCTGCCGGTAAATCAAACCGCGGCGCGGGGCAGGCGCACGAGTCCTTTTCGTTCTCCCTGCAAAATCGCCAGCACTCAGGACAACAAGGGGAGGCAGAGTCACCGACGGCGGCAGCGCGGCCGCCCCGTCGTGGTGCACCGTTGCTGGGCTTCTTCTACGCCCGATGCACGCCGGCCGCGGCGGTGAGCACGGCGTACGAAGGCGGCGTGATGGCCGGTAGCGGGCCTTTTGTTGTGGGTGGCGGAGGGGGAAATACCGGCCCAACCGCCAACGGTGGTGGTCGCGGCGGGGTTGCCGGGGGCGTAGTTAACCTCTGGGATCGACAGTCCTTGCCCTCTGCTACTCCCTTCCAGTCGGCGCTGCCCAACGCGGAAGCCGGCGGCATCTTGCTGAATGCCTCACGGCCCAACCCCCCACCACCTCCCCCTCCGCCGCCACCACCGCCGCCGTCCCTTCCTCCTTTCAGTAGCACGAAGGAAGGGCGTTCGCGCTCGTTTGGCCCAGACGAGGACGTGAACGTGGACGCGTCATCCGTCGCCGACACCTGGCACCACGAAGGTGCGGAGAAGGGGCGCGGCCGACCGGCACCGCCGCGTGAAAGCAGTGAGAGCGAGAGGGGGATCGAGGCAGAGGAGGACGATGACGACGACGCAGGGGTGTGCGTGGCTGCCCCTGCCCGTGGGGGATCCCCGGCCCTTCGCGGGATGCTGTTTCGCGCGACCCTGCGTCCGCTGCGAGGGATTTTGTGCAGTGAGGAGGGCGGGGTGGTCGAGAATCAACTGAGTGGTCCTCTGCGGCCCCACCACGGCGGACTCCACGTGCACCGGGAAGGCAGGGAGCAGCAACGGCAGCAGCGGCGGCCGTCGGACTCCACCGAGGAGGTCGTCGGGCAGAGGACGCACACGATGACAAGCGAAGGCGACGGCGCTGAGGTTCATCCGGCCGGTCTGCGCAAGCGCAGGGAGGGCGGCAGCGATGACGGCGGGGAGGCGGTTCTCTCCGGCCGTCACCTCGCCCGTCAGCAGGCACAGCGTCAGCAGCAACGGCAGCAGCGTCGACCACAACCTCCGCGTCAGCCGCGCTACGTGCACTCTCCCCATCACCTCGTCACGTCCGAAGAAGAGGACGAGGAGGAAAGAGAGGTGGAGATGAAAGAAGTAGAAGAGCTGGACGAGTCGGGGACGAACGAGGAGGATGAGGAGGAAGAGGACGGCGTCTTCAACGACGATCTGCCGGAGGCGGTGGCCGCGGCCATGATGAGCGGCAAGCCAAGTCTGGCCGCCACACTGGAGCAGCTTCTTTCCTCCAAGCTCGCCTTCCACGCGGACGCTGCGTGCGTGCAGCCGTCTGCTGCCACGGGGATTGAGAAGAGCGTTTTCGGGTCTGGGCCGACCGGCAAAGACGGCCCGCGCCTCAGTTCGGCGTCCACGATGACGACCACCACGGCAACCATGGCCGTCTCCGCAGCGCTGCTGAACGCGGACGTCACGCCACAGTGCCCCCTCCGATACGTTCTGCAGCGCCTTGTCAACAGTGACGCGCCGCTGCTGCTGACGCTGGCGGAGCCGCCCCTCTACGCAACACCGTGCAGCAACGCCGAAGCGCTCCTCCACGACTGCCAGCGCAATCTTCGCGGCGTGGCCAGTGTGTCGCCGGATGAGCGCAGCAGCGGTGCCTTCATCGGCTTCGGTGGAGACACGAATAACCTCATCAATAATAGCCCCACTAACAACGCTGCTGGTGCTGGTGGTGGGTGGCACGGAGCCAACGATATGGAGAGCTACTGGGGCACCCCACCCTCGCAGCGGCGTTCACCTGTCTTGCGTCAACAACGCCCGCAGCTCCCGGCGCTGTGGGGAGACGGGTCGGCTAGCGTGCAGTACGTTGCAGATGTGAAAGACGCCGTCGAGCACTACCGCCAGAGCATCGAGGAGGACGCCAGCGGGTACACGGAGCTGCTCGGTTTGCTGTCCTTGACCGGGAACTTCAGTGGTGGCCGAGCGTACGGAGGCGGCGGCGCACGCGCGTCCTTCGCCTCTCAGGCCTCCTCCGCCGTCTTCGGCAGCAGCGGGCTGGACCATCGAGCCCCGGTCGTCACCCCCGACGCGGCGCGACAGCTGCGGCTGCTCAAAGGGCTCTCCGATCAGCTGCTCGCGGCGACTGCGGCGTACAACCGCACGCGGCAGTCGATGGGCACCACCACTGCCGTGACGGCCGCTGCAAACAACCGCCAAGCCCGCGGCATCGGCCGCAGAAGTCGCGGCACGCCGTGGTCTTCGCTGTCCTCGCCCTCCTTAGCCCCGGCGGTGCTGACCGCCACGGCGAACGACACAAGCGGGACCACCGTTGACCAAGACCGGCACCCCATGAAAAGCTCCTACCCGTCGCTCCCCGACCCGGCGGCAGCAGCGGAGGCTGGCGGAGGTGTCCGCAGCAGCAGCCGTAATACGCACCGGCAGGCCTTCCAGCAACTATCGCGTCCCTTAATGGTGACCCCAGGCGAGTCGGCGGTGACCCTAGGGGGCAGCGTCCCATCGCCCCCTCCACCACCACCGTCGTTACAGCAGCAGCAGGGCTCCTGCGACGCCGCAGGATCACGCCGCAACGATGCACCGCATCGCCGGCAGCCCGGTGAGCCGCCCTCGGCGAACAACTCCGGCGACGGCGTCGCCACCCGCATCTACCGTGATCCGACGGCCTTCGCCGCACCCAAATCGAGTCACAGGAGCCGTAGCGAGAAGGGAAATGCGGAGGTGAACGTTTCGCCTGCTGCTGCTGTAATGACGGTGGTGGAGGAGGCGTCGATCACCAGCAACCCACCGCGTGGTGGTACTCGTCCTCGTGCGGGCCACGAGAACGCCAGTGTTCACCCCACTGCCGCCACCACCCCCACAAACACTAGCAGCAAGAGCAAGAACGACAGCAGCAGCGCACCCACGGCGGGGGTGGTGATGGTGGGGACAGCCGTCGGGCCCAGTGGCACCGACACATCCCCCTCCAGCAACGCAGGCGCCGCAAAGCGACCTGGTACACGACGCACCAGCGGCACCAAAGAGGGTCATAGCAGCAGCAGCAACAACAATAGAGAGGCGAACCCGGCCATGCCAAGTGCGGTGGGCCCGCCACTGACGGCAGCGTCCGACACCACGCCGGCCGGCTTTGCGGATCGGCATCATTCGGGTCACCCACAGTCCCCATCGCTCAGCACCCCCCGTGCGGCGACGGTGACCGCGGCGATGGAGGCCACCCCGCAGACCGACGTCGACTCCCCACCGCCGCGGGTTGCGTCGACGAGCAGCGAGGCGGGCGGTGGGGGTGGGACAGCGAAGAAGGAAGACGCGACGGCGACGGCTCCAGCTGCCTTCCGTCGCTCCGCCACGTCACCGCGCTTCGTCAGCGCTCGCCTGCTGAGTCCGTCCTTGGCTGCGGATGAAGTCCTGGAGGTGGAGTCAAGCGGCTATGGCAACGGTCTCGCCTCGAGTGTGCTGGCCAATGTCGATGACACACATGGTGTCACCACGCAGGGCGGCGGCGGCGGCGGAGCGGCAGCAGCAGCCCGCAAGAAGGGCGCGGCTGCATCGTGGCGACGCTCCACGACAGCGCTGGAGAGCTCCCACGACGCCCTCCCCTCCAGCGTGGGGCTGCTCCCGACGAGTAACAGCGCATCTCCGGCTGGCGGCAGCGGGGGCGGCAACGGCGGTGGTGGCGGCACGAACTCGTCCTCTCCGCACCCGACCCGTCCAAAGAGCCACAGCGCGGCCTCCGTGACGAACAGCACCACTCCCGCCGGAGGGACCGCAGCGGCGAACACCCGGGGAAGGTCGCACCGCGCGAGCGACGGCGCCGTCTGGGCCGTCTTGGTCTCGCGTGACGAAGCGACGATCCCGTCATGCCGCATCAGTGTCCCGCTTGGCGAAGAGTTCCGCTTGGGCCGCAGCAGCAAGTGCACGGCGGTGGTGTCGGACAGCTTCGTAAGCAGCATTCAGTTCACCGTCGTGCGCACCGTCTCGGCGGCGACGGGGCAGGAGCTGCACAACACCCCCCGCGGCGGAGAGCGCCCGCGTCGCAGTAAGACCTTCACCGTTACCCTGTACGACCGCAGCGCCAACGGCACCTACGTGAACGTGAAGAAGATCGGCAAGGAAAAGAACTGCGTCTTGCGCGACAAGGCCCTCATTACCTTTCGGCTGAGCACCTCACAATTCTTCCTGGGCTTTGTGTTTATGCTGACGGATGAGCGCGGGGTGCCGTTGAATGACCGGGACGGCACGGCGCTGCGCAGCCTGCTCGACCCGCGCCAGTCTCCGCGCCCGCACACCGGCCGACGTGCTGGTCCCGGCAAGGACAGCGGCGCCAGCAGCCAGAACACGATCATGGCCTCGCCGACAACCCACTCCATCAGCGCCGCGCGTCGGGGCACGCCGCGGCAGCTCTCGACACCCGACAACTCGAGCTTTGCGAGCGGGACGCCGAACGGGTCACGGCGCGGTGGGGCCGGCGGAGGCGGAGGAGCGCCCCGTAGCAGCCGCAACGCCAGCGGTAGTCGCCACCCACACCGTGAGACGATCGAGTGGAAGATCGGGGAGGAGATGCTAGGCAAGGGCGGCAATGCGGAGGTGTACTTGGGCATCAACCTCACCAATGGTCAGCTGATCGCCGTAAAGCGGGTGCGGCTGCCGACGGTGGCGCACGGCCACGACGCAGAGGAAGACCCGGAGGCGAAGGCTATTGTACAGCAGTACCGCTCCCTGCAGGAGGAGATCAACGTGCTGTCCAAGGCGACGCACCCGAACATCGTGCAGTACTACGGCTCCTCGCAGAACGCCCTGTACTTCAACATTCTGTTGGAGTTCGTGCCGGGCGGCTCGCTGCGACACCTTCTCGACAACTTCGGCGCCCTCAGCCCCGGGGTGATTCTGTCCTACCTGCACCAAGCCCTCGACGGTCTCGCCTACCTGCACCGGCACAACATCGTTCACAGCGACCTCAAAACGGCGAATATCCTCATTACGGAAAAGGGTAAGGTGAAGCTAACGGATTTTGGCACGGCGCGGCTGCTGAGCCGCCCCCACGCCACCGCCGCGGCGGCCGCGGCAGCCGCCAGAGGCGCCGGTGGCGACACGCACAGCGCTACGTCGCGCGGTACGTCGGCGCAGCGCAACGACGACGTCGCCTCTGGCGGTGCGGGAGGCGGTGGTACGCTGCACGTCGCCGGCACGCTCCGCTGGATGGACCCGGCGCTCTTCCACAACGCCAACACAAACCCTGATGGCCAAACGGACGGCGCGTCTAGCACCGGCAACGACGTTGGCAAGCTAGGCGGGCCCACCAAAGCCGGAGATATTTGGTCAGTCGGCTGCACGATGATTGAGATGATGTCCGGCGAGGCGCCGTGGTACGAGTACGACTTCGAGAGCGAGGAGCAGATTGTGAACCTGTTGACCTACACAGCTGACCCGCCCGAGATTCCGGAGTGCCCCGAGTGCCCGGACTTGGTGTGGATGGCGCAGCGGTGCCTGCAGCTCGATCCCACCCGTCGACCCACCTGTGTCGAGTTAATTCAGCTGGTGGAGGAGGCTACGGCACGGCTGCAAACACTGCCGATGAGTCCATCGGCCAGCCCGTCGCGTGAGGTGTCGCCGCAGCCGCCGGCGACGGGAGGGGCGGCCGCGTCTGGCGTCAACGGTGGTGCGAGTGCACACAATGGAAGCTTCACCTATGCCACCCAACCACCACCACAGCATCAGCAGCCACAGCCACAGCCGCAGCAACAGCAAGGTGTCAGCGGTGCGCAACCCGCGGCGCCGACGGTGGCGGCAACACCGACTTCGGCCACATCACCCGCCTCAGAGGACCGCCGTCGCAGCGGGCGCGTGGGGGACTCGACATCCGCCTCGATGAGCATCTCGGCGGCGGATGTCGCCAATTACGTGCAGATGTCTTAAGCACGATGCCTCCTTGTGTGTGCGTGTGTGTGTTTCGTGGCTGCGCTAAGAAAATCATCAACAACAATAAAAGCCGCGTGTTCTCCTTTGCTGTTCTTTCTTCCTCTGATTTTCCCTGTCTTTTCTGCGGCGCCGCGAGAACGCGTTGCGCGGACAGACTCTGTTCTACTCCACTGCGTTGTCTCGTATTCATTCCTTTGATGTTCGGTAGTATTTTGTTTTTCTAGAAAGACGAAGTTCTTTCTTTCTTTCTCTCCTTTTTCTGGCGTGTTGTGAGGACCTCGTGTTCGTGTAACAACGATCAAGGCGATCGACGTTGACGCGCTGCTGTAGCGTGTGCGTGGTGTGTGTACGACCACAAGTCAAACAGAGCAAAAAGGAAATAAAGGGATGGTGTAGCGAAGAACAGCGCGTTACGGACCACATGCTGTACATACCGGTTTGTGTGCAGTGGGCCCAACATGCCCCCTCTCCGCGCTCCTTCCTCGAGCCGCTTTCATGAAAAAGGGAAAGCGCGAAGCTCCCGCTTTGGCAGGTCGAGTGCTCGCGCGCGTTCCTCACATATCCGTCGCAAGAGTGGTCCCCCCCCCCTCGAGCGCTGCTTCCACGATCCGCTCCTCACACTTTCCTCTCACCGTCCTCTTCCCTCTCCTTCTGCCTCCCATTCGCCTGTTTTTTTAAATTCAATTAAATACACACCCCTATCGTCCACCCTTGATAGATGGAATTATCTGTCTCTCTTCACCTCATTTTTTTTGGTTTTGCTTATCTTTTTCCCCCTTTTTACCTGTTCCGTACACGAACTCCCCTGTCTGTCTCAGTCTCTCTCCCCTCTATTAAGATTCGGCTAAGGCAGACTATACACACACACGCACCCACACACGCCGTTTTCCCTGCCTTTACTGCTGTTATTTGCTGTTATTCGCATTAGTTTTTTGCTGGTCTTTCACTCGTTCCACGCCTGCCCATCACAATACCACCACCGCGCCCGAAACAGAAGGTGCTGCTTTGTTTTATCCTCTCCTTTTTTTTTCATTATTAGGGATTAGCGGCGTTGTCAACGTACCCAACAGCGCAAACAGCAATAGCCAAATCAAAAAAAAAAAAATATCGCGGCCAAGCAATTACCCACACGCAATTACCCACACACACTCACAACAACGAACACCACAGCATCAGCACAGCACCGGCAGCAAAAGTAAGAAAAAAAAGAAGCGATATCTGGCCACTCGGTAAGCGCCCTCTACCCCGCAACGACAGCAACCACCACCACCACAAACCAAAAACCAAGTACACGTGCTGAAAGAAGGAACGGCTACGAAGCTACCATACATGAACGGCGAACACGGATTGATCAGCGCAGAGGCGCAGCGCAAGAGCCCGCCAGCACCGGAACCCATTCCTCCCACCAAAATCCACCCTCTCCACTTCGTTAAGCTGATGAAGGACGGCGCGGACGGCTTGGCGGCACCCGTGAAACGCGCGAGCGCAAGTGATGCTGTACGCTCGACAGGCGTGTGTCGCTGCTTGATGACGCGTGCGATGGGCGTCTTGCAGCCCTACGCGGCGGAGCACGAACGCTTCGTGGAGTACCAGCGCACCCTGCCGGTGCGCACCGTCGTGCCGGAGCCGCCGAACACGCTGCGCGACTACGTCCGTCATCAGCTCTGGCGTGTTGGGCGGCTGTGCTGCCTCGTTCTTTTCTTCGCCCTCACGTGGGTCTTCTGGGTGGCCGTTCATTTTGTTTTAAAGGTGCTGGACATGCATCAGCGCCGCGTGTGGCTGAAGCATCAGCGCGCGTGGCCCTTCAAGAGTGTGCCGCACGTCCGCGAGAGCGTGCACAAGCCGTCGCGGAGCTTCCCGCTGGAAGGCTGGCACCTGCGCTGCGAGGACGGGCGTCAGCGTTGGTACTATGGAGCTCCTATGCGGGACGGAGAGTCAAACAACGAACTCGGCCTGGCGCAGCTGTGCGGGTTGCAAACTGTGGCCGACTACCACGACCTGCTGCGACGTCGAGCTGCAGCAGAGGGCTGCGAAGGTTCAAGGAATTCAACCGGCGAGGACGGGGATGCGGTCTTCGGCGAGCGCGTCCCGTGGCTGCCGGATCTATTGGAGGAGAAGTGCGCCAAGCGTGCTTTTCTGGAGCGGTATCAACTCGACCTTACACCGCCGTCGGCGCCGCAGCTGCGCTCATCGGCCGAGACCGCCATGGACGACGGCATCCGCTTCTTGTTGAAGCTGCAGGATCCCTTCTCGGGGCACTGGCCAAACGACTACAGCGGCTGCATGTTCCTCGTCGCGGGCCTCATCTACACCAAGTACATCATCGCAGACGGCGAGGCGCACCGCATGTTCCCCCCCTGCCCGGAGCACCACCACGTGAAGCTGTCAGGCAAGCGAAGGAAGGCCCAGAACGGCAATGCGAGCATGGGCGACTACGCGGAGCGGGTGCTGGGCGTGCCGGCAGCAGAGAACGGCGGCGAGGAGCCGTGCCGGTGCGGCGAGGCGACCCGACAGGAGCTGATCCGCTACCTGCGCAACTACCAGAACCAGGACGGTGGTTGGGGCCAGCACACGGAGGGCCACAGCACGATGCTAGGGACGGTGCTGAACTACGTGTCGATGCGCCTGCTCGGGGTGCCCGCGAAGGACCCCCAGGCGGCGAGTGCGAGGGACTGGATCCACGCCCACGGCGGTGCCACGACGACGCCGATGTGGGGCCGTGTCTGGCTGAGCATCCTGGGCGTCTACAGCTGGGAGGGCGTGAACCCGATCCCCCCGGAGATGATCCTGCTGCCGGACTGGGTGCCCTTCTCCCTCGGAAAGGCGTGGTGCCACAGCCGCGTCATTGCGATCCCATTTTCGTACCTGTACGGTCTTCGCTGGTCCGCGCCCGCCTTCCCGACGACGCTGGCCCTGCGCGAGGAGCTGTACACACAGCAGTACAGTGCGATCCCCTGGCGTAGCTTCCGCGGTGCCGTCTGCGCGAGCGACCTCTACACCCCGACCTCCTCGTTGTTCCGCATGGCGATGAGCTTGCTGGACCTCTACGAGCGCCACCCGCTGCCGTTTCTGCGCCGCTACGCGCTGGAGGTGAACTGGCGCCACATGGCCTACGATGACGAGAACACGCACTTTATCTGCCTCGGCCCGGTGAACAAGTCGCTGAACATGCTCGTCACGTGGATCCGCGAGGGTGAGCACAGCGCGCGCTTTCAGGAGCACTGCGATCGCGTGGCGGACTACCTCTACATGGGCCCGACGGGGATGCGAATGAGCGGGTACAACGGCTCGCAGCTGTGGGACACGAGCTTCGCCGTGCAGGCTATCTGCGCGTGCGGGCGAGAGATGATGTACCCGATGGAGATGGCGCTGGCGCATCATTATGTGGACGTCGCCCAGGTGCAGGAGGACCCGATGGCCGCGGCGGCCTTCTACCGCCACCGTACAAAGGGCGCGTGGAACTTCTCGACGAGTGCGCAGGGCTGGCAGGTGTCGGACTGCACCGCGGAGGGCCTGCGCGTGATGCTCCTGCTGCCACAGTACGACTTCCCGGTCCGCCGTATCTGCGACGGCGTCGATGAGATACTCTCCCTGCGCAACAGCGGCTGCGGCGGGGATGGAGGCTGGGCGACTTACGAGCCCACTCGCGGCCCGTCCTACTGCGAGCTGCTCGACTGCGCCGAGCTGTTCAAGGATGTCATGATCGATTACTCGTACGCGGAGTGCAGCAGCAGCTGCATCCACACCTTGTCGCTGTTTCGCGAGCAGTACCCGCACTACCGCCGCAGCGAGGTGGACCGCGCCATCAGCGAGGGCATCGCCTGTGTGCTGGGCAAGCAGCAGCCCGATGGCGGCTTTTACGGCAGCTGGGCGGTGTGCTTCACGTACGGTGCGTTGGATCGTCGCGGATGCGCTGCATGTGTCGAAGGAGCTGCCGGACATGGCCACGCACCCCCACTGCGTGAAGCTCATCGACTTCTTGATGGGTCACCAGAACGAAGATGGCGGCTGGGGCGAGGACATCAACGCCTGCGTCCAGCAGATGTGGGTGGACAACCCAGACGGCAGCCAAGTCGTGAACACGGCGTGGGCGGTGATGGCGATCATCTCTGCCTCCGGTGCGGCCTCGTCCACAGAGCCGGAGCGGCAGCGGGCGATTCGCCGAGCTGTGGATCGCGGCATCCAGCTCATCATGTCGCGTCAGCTGGGGAGCGGCGATTGGGCGCAGGAGCGCATCAGCGGCGTCTTTAACGGCAACAATCCTATTCACTACCCGGGCTATAAGAACACGATGACGGTGTGGGCGCTGGGTAAGTACAACGCCTGGAAGCGGCATTACGTCCTCGCGTCAATGTAGCTTTTTTGCAAAAAGAAAAAACGCGAACTCACCACCTCTCTCTCTCACACACACGCCATCATCAAAATACTTGGTTTTTCTATTTTTCTATTTTTGTTTTGAAAAGAAAAGATTTGCTTCGTGTGGATGGATGGATGGATGGATGGGATTCTACATCGCATCTGGCTGACCAAACGGCATCGTCGTGTGCGCCATCTTCTTGATGGGTGCGTATATGTATTTGTTCGTCTTCCGTTTGTATGTGTGTGTGTGTGTGATGCGTACCGCGCAGCCCCCGTGCTGCTGTGTTCGGTTGTTTTGAAGAATAAGTTCTACTGTGAAAAGAAAGGAAAAGGAAAAGCAGACACGAACAACAATACTCGTGCTTTAAAAGGAATAAAATAAAATGGATGACACCTGTTCGGTCACTTTATTTAGTATCGTTTTGTCTCCTCCCGTTCTGCTTTGTCATTCGGCACGCCGGCTTGACGTTGTCTGCGGCGTATTCGCGTCCGTGCTAAAAGGTCTTAGGCAGTTTGTTTTGTTTGTTTTTGCTTTGGTCATCGTCGGAGAAAAGGTAAAGAAGAAGTAGAGGAAAGACAACCAAAGAGAATCCCCTTTCACTGCTCGCCGCTTCTCTTGCTGCTCTAATGCCGTTTTCTTGTTTGTCCCCCGCAGAGCGGACATCCTTCCTCGCCACGCCTCCGTCATTCCTTGGCTGCATCCACCAAAGGAATCCTTCTGCCCCTTCCTCCCCAAACCGACAACAATTCTTCTTCCGGCATTGTACACTCCCCCTCCCACTCCTCCCGCTCCTCCTTCTCTTTTCTTCGGTGCACCTTCCATTGACAAACTCGGAAGCCTTCCACCAGCCTTTAGGAACACGACTCGTTTATCTCCGATTTTTTTTAAAAGTTCTTTCTTTCGTAGGCTTTCTTCAGGCCTTCCCGGTGAGAAGAGAAATAGACAGACCGACCGACAGTGAGACCGAGCGGTGCGTGTGTTGTGTGCTTCCGCGGACTTCACCATCCCTCTCGCATCGCTTCCAATTATATACATATACATACATACATATATACACAGCTATATACGCAGCTGTGTGTTACACACTGCAAGACACGCTCCTCAACCGTTTCATCGCCGCTACGCGCCCTCGTAGAGTATTACCCCTTTCTTCTTTTCTTTGGCAACGGGTGATTCACAGAGAAGACGAAGAAGAATTACGAAGGCAAAGCAAAGCAAAGGGGCGGCTGTGCCCGCATCCGTCTATCCTTTCCTTTTTACCAGTTTAGGCAAGGAGTCGAAGAGGAGAGCGCGCGCGGGAGAGAACGCCCTCGTCGACCTTTGGCGGTTTTGTTTTACAGCTTAAAAAAGGAAAGTAAATAAAAATACCGATAACGAAAGAGGCAAGGACCTCTGCCTACTTCACTCGCAGGTCTGCCACACACACACTCACACACACAGACACACTCAAAGCGGAAGAGAAGATTGCATTATCTATCTATTTATCGTTATACACACACGTCTCTCTCTTCCGTTGTCCGACTTTCACTGCCTGCTTCCGCTTATTTTTTTCCCTAAAGAAAAAGTAAATCATCATTGCTGCCTCATTGCCTGTACAAACTACGAGTCCTCTCCGTCACGGCCCATCCTCCGTCGTACCACTGGCGGCGACGTCGCACGTATTCTCAGAAAGGAAATAACACGAAAGAAAAAGCGCAGTAGCACGAAAAGACGTGGGTGTCTCGAAAGAAACAATTAGGCAGGCCTCCACCACCACCACCCACCCCCCACAGCTCTTCTTCTTTCCTCGATCGTTTTGCATATTTAAAACAGTTACGGCAATCAACGTTAAGGCGAGATGGGGTGCAACAACAGCAAAACGAAAAGTGCGAAGAAGAAGAAGGGAGAGAACCGGCAGCGCGATGGCACCGAGCCTGGGGAGATGATGGTGAGCGAAATCAGCCGTCCTGCCGCCCCTGAGAACGCACCGCCGCCGCCGCAGCAGAGCGACGCGCCCAGCTCGCAAGTCGCAGGGGAGACCGCCGCAACGGGCGGCGAGGCGCAGCCGGCGGACGACCACCAGTCAGCGAAACCGCCGTCCGAGGCCGCCGACCCCGCTGCTGAAGCTGCGGAGGCGGCGAAGAGGGAGGAAGAAGCGGCGGTGGGACAAGGAGCGGCAGCGGGGGAGGAACACCCGTCGATCGCCAACAGGTCGGACAAAGCGGCCGACGCAAGCACGACGGAGGCGACGGTGACGCGTGGGCCACAGCAGGACGGCACATCGGAGACCAGCGAGTTGGACTTCCAGATCGTGTCGGAGGAGGCGCCGACGTTCCGCACCGAAAACCCGCAGACGCCACCAGACGGGGGAGAAAATGAAGAACCCGAGCGGCAGCCACCGCAGCAACGAGGGGTGGGAAGTGCAGCCGCGACGAACTCCGCGGTGGCGTCAACGCCCAAGGGCCAGTCCGCGCCGGAAGAGGCCCTGTCCACCTCTCGCCGACCGCCACCACCAGCAGCGGCGACCGACGCAGAGGCGGTGACCCCTGTAGCGCAAGACCGCGCCCCCGAGCCGACGCCGCAGCCGCGGACGGAGCGCTCCTCCGCGGCGCCGTCACACCGCAGCAGCGCGGCCGGCACGCCGTTCTTGCGCCCCGCCGCCGGCAATCCGCAGCGACGGCCGTCGCACACCTCCTCGACGGCGGAGGAGGAGCCGAACCCGCGGCCGGTCGGCGGCCCACGCAAGGCAAGCTCTGGCAGCTCGCCGGCGAAGATGAAGAAGAGGCGAGCCTTCCACGAACACCCACCGTGGGTGGACATCGTGCCACCGCCTGGAGAGCAAGTGGGGGAGAGGGAGCCGGAGGAGGAGGAGGAGCGCTACAACGGGTACGCGCGGGCTCCGCCTGCCCGGAGGGCACCGGCAAAGCGGCGGTACATCGAGCAGATCGACACCGATGGACGCACACCATCGGAGCAGCAGCGGTGGGCTGGCCGAGCGCCGGTGGGTCCGCCGTCGGAGACCTCCGAAAACGAGCTGATCATCTCTGCGGATGCAATGCCGAACAGCACGCCGAAGGAGCGCGTGGCGGCGCGTCGCCGTCGCAACAGTGGTGGGCCCGCCGCCGGGGAGGTCATTGCAAAGCCGCCACCGTCACCACAGCCCCACACAGCCGCGCATGCGGAGGCGCCGTCGGCTCTGCGGACGCCCCGCTCGCAGCCCGCGCAGCAGCAGACGACGGCGCCTCCGCATACGCGTACGCCGCTGCCGGTGCCACCGCAGCATGTGCAGCATCGACGCGCTCCTGCTGCCGCGCCGCCCATCCCGGTTCGCACCTCCTACACCGACCCGAGCGCGAGTGCCGAGGCGACCGAGCCGCGTCGTGCGCTGGCGACGCAGATGCCCCCGCCCACTGCCTACTACATAGACGAGGCCACCGGTGGTCCGCGCCGGCTCAGTATGGACCCGGTGGCGATGGCAGCGATCGAGACGTCCACCGCGGCTCTCATCCGGGCCCACGCGCCGGCCGCACTCGGCAGCAGCGGGGATCGCAACATGGACCCCTCCGTGATGTCGCAGCGCTCTCTACCGCCGTCGACGATGGACGCTGCGATGTACCGCGACCCCGGCAAGGTGCCGCCCTCTCACTTGATAGACCCGATGTACGCCCCGGCCGCGGTGGGACCGTTCGCCTCGGAGAATCATCGACAGTACGGGGACGTGGCCCCGCCAGCGGATGGCGCGGCTGGTCGGTCCAGGGTGGCGTCGAATGCCCCGAATAGCGCGTCGCAGAGCTTCAACGGCGGCTCCCGGCGCAATGAAGCAGGTGCCGCTGGAGCCGCTGCACACGTGCCCACCCGGCCGCCACCCGGCAGCAGCGACTACGGCGCTCACCGCTACGGCGACGAGGTTGACGCCGTCAGCGAGGACGCACCGTCGTCGGAGCATCGCACGCCGTACGAGGTGCCGACGAACGCGGCGCAGCAGCAGCAGCAACCGTCAGGCGTGCGCGACGGTAGCGGCTACGGTGGGGCGGCCTCTGCCTCTGCCTCGCACCCGTCGAAGCCAAGCTCTGCGATGCCGTCGAAGGCGTCGTGGTCGCCCGCGGATGGGCCGTCCCTCGAAGTCGAAGCGCCGGGGGCGGAGTACAGTGAAGAGGAGGTGCCGGATTACGGTGCGGGTGGGGGTGACGATGATGCGGCGGCGGCCGACGCCGGGAGCGCGCACGCGGACGACGCGGCGACCGTCACCACGACCGCCATGACGGCGGTGCCGGCAAACGAGGGCCACGTCGTGGAGCGGCAGGACCCGAAGTGGGAGCTGCTGCAGCCTCCACAGGAGGAGAACAAGAAGCTCTATCAGCAGGCGAAGTTTGTGGCGCAGATGCGCAACGTGACGCCGATTTAGAAGCGACCTGAAGTCGGAGAGTTCAGATGAGGGAGAGCACGCCTCGGGTTCATTCGTAGAAGTTCCTCTTCGAGCTCCTGCGGGGCGAGACGGAGGAGAAGAGGCAAATAGAGCCCAAGAAGAAGAAAGAGAGAGAGAGGAAACCGCCAAGGTGGAGCGAGAAACGGTCTGCTCCACTGAGAATGAACGCACCGTTAGAGAGGGCGGAGTTTTCTTCCTTCTTGCTGGCACCGATACTTTTTATTGTTAAACCATGCGTCGCCATGAGGGCTTTCCTTTAGCACTATCATTATTATTATTGTTTTTCCTTTTTTAGCTTTCTATTGTTTTCCTGTACCACTTGTAGTTTGATTTGCTGTTGACCCCCTTTTTCATAGTTCTCCTCTTGTACCTTGTCTTTTGTTTTCGTGGTATGACGTGCTCTTTGTTGTTCATTGTTGTACTGTTAGTGACAGTGACTCGTCTCTCTGCGTGCGCGAGCATCATCGGTGATTCTTCTATTTCTGTTTGTTTTTAGCTCTCTTCGCCAATTCCGCTGTTTCTAACCTCAACTTGGCGGTCATGGTTTCTTCTCTTTTTCCTGTCTCGCTGTGTTGAGCCGTGCAAGCTGGGGTCCCCCCTTCCTCCCCCCTCTGTTCGACGTGCGTTTCTGCTGGCTCTGCTGCTTTCGAACTCTTTTTTCATTTCTCATTTTTTGTTTCGTTTCCCGTCCTTCGCCTCCTACCTGTCTGCTTGCTGGAGCGCGGGGCACGTGGAGGAGAGGAGGGGTGGTGGTGGCTGGTGCGTGCCTCTCACGTGGAAGAGAGAAGAAACCGCTCCACTGCATGCGTTCTCCGTGCAAGAGGCGAAAAGGAAAAGGCCCGTGACGCTCTCCCCCTCCAAAAACAACGCATGTGAGGCGAGTGAGTGAGGCCTTTGCATCGTATCGTTGACAGACGTGCTTCTACGGATCTACATACATATATTTATTTTAAGTCCCTTTTTTTTTGGTCTCGTACAGCGGATCTGCCGTGCTTCTCATCGTTTGTGGTTTCTTTGGATTTAAATTTTAAGTTTTCTTTCTGCGCTTGCTCGGTGTGTTTTTTGGTTCCATATACACGAATTAGAAGGAGCTGCGGTGTCTCTCCGAGGAAGGAAATAAAAGGGAAACATACGGAAACAACAAAAAACGTCTACACACGTGAGAGGGAGAGAGAGAGAGATGTAACGAGGGATTACTTCTGCGTGTGATGCTCACAAATCCGGTTAAAAGGGAGAAAAAAACGGTGAAGACAGACGGGACGAGAGGGCGGGAGACGCGTGCGGTGGCGTTCAAGATATGACAACACGTGAGCAACTCCATGCCCAGCGTTTCTCTTTCTGTTCTACCGCATTCGAAGCGGTTGGCTGTGAGGAGGTTGGTACTTCTTTTTCCTCTCTCTCTCCCTGTCAAAGAAAGCTTGTCTGTGAGAGAGCGTTGCGCCACCGCGTTGTCACGCAAAGGAAAAAGACAGGAAAACTACGGATTTAGTCACTGCAGCGGAGGGTTGCGTGACGCCCTCCTGCTGCTCCTCTGTGGTTGCACTCGCTCACGAAGACATACACCGGCACAACGAGGGGGGAAAAAGCCTTGAAAAAAAGTTCTCTGCACCCCGAGTCGCGTGCTTCACCCTTCTAATCGACCTCTTTCTTCTGTTTTGCGCTTTCCTCCTCCCTCGCTCTCTCTCTCTTTATATATATATTTTCGTCAGCCGTCCTCACATCAGCTACGTGGGTCGCTACGTCTTTTCCTTCTAACTCCTGCAAAGCTACCGTGCTTTGTGTTGCTATTATTTATTATTTATTATCATTATCCAGCTGTGCTTCTCATCAACGAGTTCCGTGTCACACAAATACTTCTACGCGTATATATACACGTGTGTGTGTGTGTGTGTGTGTGTGTGTGTGTGTGTGTGTGTGTGTGTTGTAGCTACTCGTTTTATTATTGATTATTCACGCCAGCTTATCGACAGAGTAATTCTTGTACTTTTGTTTCTATTCCGCACCTTATCGACGTGTCCGCCTCGCACACCCATCTGAGAGGAGAGGAACACGACACGGACTCATTGGCGAGCTCTCCTGCGCTTTCTGCATTCATTCGTGGATTCACCTGGCGTCTTTGAGATTCTCTTTTTATTATTATTTTTCCTTCATCACCCCTTTGAAAGAAAAGTAATCGAAAGAAGCAAAGCCAAAAGCAAAGAAAAGAAAAAAACATCCGAGGACACCCCCATTTGACTTCTCTCACTGTCCAGCGAAGGGTGGCAGTGGTGCGCTGTACTGCCGTTTTTCATTTTTGCCCGTTAACTTACCTTAGCCAACATACACAGTTTTCTATGCAGCTGTGGAGTTCCATATCCACGTACTTCCACGACTGAGATCCCTTTTTTTTTATGTCTTTTCGCTGGTGTTGTTGTGAGTGTTTTGCCATCATCATTATCTTCCTCTTTATACTAAGTTGCGTTAACCCGCTCGTATTATTATTAGTAGTATTTTTTTTTTAGAGAAGGATAAGATGGGCTGCAAGAGTTCCAAAACAAAGAACCCGGCCAAGGCCACGGCCAAGGAGCAGAAGAAGGCCGCGAAGAAGAAGGAGGAGAAAGACGCACAAGATGCCCCGCAGCGAACGGCACCGGTGGCGGAGAAAGCCGCCGTGACGCCCGCCGTGCCGCCCGCCGTGCCAGCCGAGCAAGAGGCGAGGGAGGCGAAGCCGCCGGATGACGCACCGATGCAGGAAGAGGTGCCGCTTACCGCGGTCACGGCTTCTGCGCCGCAGCAGAATGCTGGCGCCGCCCCCGACAACACGGACGCCGCGCCTGCGGCCGAAAGATCAGCGCCTCCTCCTGCTCCTGCTGTTGCGGACGAGGTGAGCGGTGCCGTAGAACCACAAAAATTAGCAGGTGACGTGCCGCACGAAGGCGAACCCAAGCCGACCGCCGCGGCGGCGGAAGATAGGAGAGAGGGAGCAACGAAGAAGGCGGACAAAGCGACGGCAACGGTGGAGCCGACGGCGAAGGCGACGACGGAGGCCCAGACGCAAACACCCTTGTCCCCGTTATCTCCCCCGCTGACGTCGACGGGCTCCCGCTCCAGCAGCCAGCGCATTGTCAAACCAGTTCCCAGTCGTTTCCTGAAGCCAAAGGGCGACGCCGCTGCGGCTGCGGCCACGAGCGATTCGCTGAAGGAGGCCCAGCAAGAGGAGCGCAAAGCCACAGCGGCACCACCACCAGCAGCAGACACAGAGAAGAACGTGTCCGAGAAGGCGAGGCAGCCAAGTACGCTGGCGTCGCAGCGCGACAACGGCGACGGCGGCGCGGCGACGGTGGAGTCACTCCCCGCCTCGGAGACGCAATTCTCGCATCAGTCGTACAGCGAAGGCGCGGACGGCCCGGCGGGGGCGGGGGCGGATGCGGTGATCTACGGAGGCAGCAACGGAGACGATGGTGACGAGGATGACGCGGTTGATCGCAAGCCGGCGGAACCGCTGGAGACGGCCGAGCCTTCCGCGGCAACGCAGCCGTCGCCCTCGGCGCCGTACAGCGTGGTGCCGATACCGCACGCTCCGACGCCGTGTGGGGAGGCGGGGGAGGGGTCGGAGGAGCCGCAGCCTCGCCCCGCCCCCACGGCGCAGCCCCAACAACGGAGCCAACAACCGCAGCATCCGGAGGTGTTCAAGGCGATGCCGCCGTCGCCGTCGGAGAACGTGTCGACGTTGAAGGTGGCCCCCACGCAGCTGTCATCAAGCGTCATGCGCCGTCAGCGGTCACCGGCGTACCGCTGCCTGTCGGACGGCCGCACCCCGTCGGTTGGGCGCCACCCAAATCACGTCCGCACGATCGACACAAAGAACAGTAGCGAGGCCGCCAGCCGCAGCCGCAGCCACAGCCAAATCGTTAGCGTGAGTCCGAAGAAGGCGTTAGCGCCGGAGTTGGAGCTGGCAGGCCCGGTGGCGGAAAAGGAGAAGCAAGCGGAGGAGCCGGAGAAGCATGTGGAATCGAATAGAGAGCCGACGCCTGTTCACGACGACGCGCGTGAGGAAATAAGCAAGGCAGCGGCAGCCAGCTCACCAGTGCCCCCGCCGCAGCCGTCGCAGCCTTTCGCCGTCCACACCCGGCCCTCCCCCGGCACCTCACCCACCGCCGCCACCGCCGCTGTGCACAATGAGAGGGCACTCGCCGTCCCGCCTCGCGCGAGCGACTCCACGCGGAAGCCGCGCACCGCAACTCCTGCAAAGGTGAGGCGAAACACCTCGAGCGCCGAGCCGCGGTCGACGTCTAACCCACCAAGCCAAGCGAGCGGCGTAGCGGCAGGTGCGAAGAAGACACCGCGGGCGGTGCATGCGAGCGGCGCTGAGGACGCTTCGCCGGCAGCTCCCGCCAAGGCGAAGACGACTCATAAGGCGGCGAGTAAGTCGAGGGTGCCGGACCACACCAACGGCGCGCACCACGCCGCAACTCCCGCTGCTGCTGCTGTGGAAACGAACGTGGAGGAGCAGCACAAACCGGAAGAGAAGAAAGTGTCAGCACCGCAGCCTGCGGAGCAGCCGCCGCAGCCGATGCAGCCGCCGCCGCAGAAAATCCGAGAAGAACCGGCGCCGCCTGCCGACAAAACCCACTCCATGGCCGCGAATGAGGCAGCGGGGAAGAGGCAGAAGACCGAGAAGATCGAGAAGGATAGCGACGCCGAGAAGGAGGTCGAGTTGCCAGCGGCGCAGCGACCGCACACGAAGGCCGCGGCCACGTCCCCGTCTCAGCAGAAGGCCGCTCCTACCGCCGCTGCGGCGACAGATGGAACCGCGGCGCAGGTTGGTGGCGACCGCACCGTTGCGGTGGCCGGCCCCGGCAAGGAGAAGACGGAGGACCAGCTGACGACGAAGCCGGAGCCGGAGTGGCACGTTATTCCGTCTGCGGAGCCGGTGGAGCGGCCATCGATGGTGAACCAAATGAAAACGGTGGTGAACATGCGCAACCTGACGGCGATTTAAAGTTGAGGCGACTGACTGAATTTCTGTGCCTGTTCTTTTTTTAACATCCTCTATATACACGGGAAGGTTGAATACCGCTTGGTGCCATCGTTTGGATGTAGTTTTCTTGTTCTTGTTGTTCTCCTGCACGTGTGCGTGAAGGCTGAATGAATCCTTGCGTGCTTCTGTTGTCCCCGTCCCCCCCCCCTCCTCCCTCTCTCGTGTCGTTTTCCCTCTGCTGCGATTACGTTGCTTCTCGCTCTAGGCGAGAACGCAAACAAACGGCGGTCACACACACGGTGATTCGCCTCTTTTTTTTAGGCCTGTGGACTTTACGCATTTGGTGTTTGTAGCCTCTCTTTCCTTTCTATACGGTAGCAATAGCATTCATTTCTTTCATTGCTTTATTTGTTTATCTGTTTTTGTTTCTATCGTTACTACTAGTGTCAGGTGTTGTTCTGCGTGCTTGCTCGTTCTTCTGGGTGACCCCGCTCCTGGATATGGCAATGCACGCACGTGCGCCGGGGTGGACCGAGGCCCGTTTTTTTTTGGGGTTTCTCTTGAGCGCTGTGCTGCGATGAGGCGAAACAGCCAAAAAACAACAACAACACGCGCTTCTTTCCTCTTGTAATGTTCCTTAATTATTTTTGCTTTCTCACACACATCGCATCATCTCAAAAAAAAAACCCCTGTTTGTTTCTCTCTTCATAATACTCGTTCTCCTCCACTGTCAACCTGTAGAACGAGTTTCTTCTTGCGTCAGCAACGTGTACTACTTCCTGCCGTCTGTACCGCTCCGAATGATCTTTATTATTGTTATTATTATTTGTCGATGTAATGCCGATTCGGATGATTTCGTTCTTCGTTTCCGCAAACTGACATTCCAGTTGCACATGTGGATGGGCGCGGGTCTGCGCACGGCCACGATGTTAGATTATGGTGCCTTCATCTCTGTATCCCTCAGCTTTCCTTCGACGTGTCTTTGAAAAGAAAAAAAAATGGCAAAGATCCATAGATAGAAAAATAGTAATGACAACAGTAGTAAACGAAGTGAACGCATCGGTAAGGAGAACGCCGCCGCTTTCTCTCTCTTTCTCGCTCTCTTGTGCATGTTGTGTGTCCGCGCGTTGTACGGGCTTCGGTCGTGAGAGAATCTGCGTTCGCTGCGTCGGCATCTCCTTTGCGCGGCACGGTTCTAGTTCATCGAATTCAATGTTGTTTTCATCAGCGGAAACGAAGCACGGCAGCCCACTTTTGTGTGGAAAGCGCCTGTACGCGCTGCACACACGTTCACTTTTTGTCTCCCCCCCCACCCCTCAGCTGACGGAGTCAAATAAATGAAGAAAGCACTAAAACTCACGTGCGTTCTCCGACTTGTCGAAGTTTCCGCGGCGCTGCATCACCGTTTTCTCCTCCATCTCTTACTCCTCTGCTTTTTCTCTTCTTGGTATTTCTACCTAAAAACATATTTTTATTGATATCAAAGATTCAGTTCTGGCGCAATTAAACCGGTGAAGCCTCCACTACTACGACTATTATTATTGTTGTCATTGCTTTTGCTAAGAAAGAGGTGCCCCACCGACCTTCCTTGAAAGCCCCCACAAGACGACCCGCTGGGTTTTCTTTTTTTCGCCACGTAAAACGGGGGCGGCGTAACTAAACGACACTACCCGACAACAATAGCGAACACGAAGGGGAAAAGCACTATTTTGTTTCTGTGCTATCACCACCACGCCTTTTTTTTTGGGTTTCTCTCTCTTTCTCATTTTCAGCCGTTTGTTTTCCTGCAGGCGTGCGTTCATATATATATATATATATATATATATATATTTGTTCGGCCTTTCTTCTCTCTTGTGGGCTGCCTTCTTATTCTAAGGAGCTGGATCACACCCTTCGCCGTCGAGGAATAGCAGTGAGCCAATCAAGCACCAACCACAGCAGCGTGAACGCGTCGCCTGAGCTGTGTGTGTGTGTGTGTGTGTGTGTGTTGCACGCGCAGTCTGTTGTGCATTCGAACGGTCACGTCAGCGAGTATCATCGGAGCTACACCCACGCACAAGGTGCACTTCCACAATGGGAGGTGTTTGCGCAAAGTCAACCACGAAAAAGAAGAGGGAGAACAAAGATGCGGGCGGTGCCGGCAAGGCCGTCAACGGCGGCAAGGATCGAGGCCAAGGTAGCGAGCAACAGCTCCGACCCGCACTACCCCGTCCACGATCCGGAGGAGGCGGCGCCGGAGCAGTCCGCGAAGGACGCCGCCGCCAATTTCACCTCTTTCGTCGCCCGTGTCGGTCGCAACGGTGCGGCGGCCAACCCGACCGGCCCCTCCTCTGACAGCCCCCACAAAACCGACGAGACGAAGTCGGGGACCATGGGGTCTACCACGAACTCTGCCGGTCCACCGCCGCCGCCGCCGCCGCCGAAGGGCGAGAGCTACGATCGGTGGTTCCCCCCGGAGCACGACGCGGGCATGAAGCTAGGGGCCGGCAAATACAACGGCGTCGGGGTCCAGTCACCGTCGTCGGACGCGTCCTCCGCAGAGCTGCACAGCCTCGCCTTGACGCCGAGTTACCGTGTGCCCTCCCCTGTCACGTCCACCCCTGCCCCTGCCCCTCCTCCGCATCGTCCGCCCCGCGGATACGATCCGATGTTGTTCGTGGACGAGGACAGCGCTGCGCCAGAGACGGCCAGCTCCGTCTTCGCCACGCCGCGGGAGCTGCGCGGCGGGGGCAGCGTGGCCAGCTTCGCCAGCTTCGCCGACAACGTCTCCCTCGTCAGCCACGGCAGCATGATGAGTCAGCACCCCCACGGTTACGACTACTACAACAGTAGCAACGCCGGTGGTCACGACGGGTCGCCAATGCCGTCCCTGACGCACCGGCAGAGCATTGGATCGTCTTCGCTGACGTCCGGCGTGGCCGCCGCGCCGCCCCCAGCTCGTCCGACCAAGACGACGATGACGGTGACAAACGTCCGCACCAATCGGCAGATGCCAGCGGGGAGCAGCGTCGGGCCGACGTCGCCGTTTTCGCGGCGGGGTTCGCGTGCGGATTCAGATCTCTTTCAGAGCTGTCGCAGCCTCGGCTCGCAGGTGAGCAGCAGCCTCACCTACCCTGCCCCCACCCCCGGCGGGGACCTCGACGACGGCGGCGGCTTCTACAGCTGTCGCAGCCTCGGCACGGCGAGTCAGCAGTCCGGCGTGTCCTCGCTGATGGCGCCGAGTGGAGCTAGCACCACCGTCAGCACGTTTGCCTCGCCCATTCACATCCGTAAGCCGCCCTCCTCCTCGTCCCTCTACGCCATGAGCCACCACAGCTCGAACAGCCTCTCCAACCTGCGAGATGTGTCGTCGCTGCCTCCGCACTCGCCCCGCGGGTCGCCGATGGGCTACCACGGCAACACCCCCAGTGCGCAGCAGGAGTTTCTGCACTACCAGGCAAGCCGGCAGTCCGAGTCGGGGGATGTGCCGGCCTCGGAGTCCTTCTCCGTTGGCGGGGCGACGCCAGGGGACGTGTTTCTGGACCTGTCCTCTGCGGCCGAAAGGACTTCGGTGTACACCTACGATGACGATCGAGATTTGCAGCTGACTCTCAACGAACGTGGCCACGGCAGCGCCGTGAACTCCGCGGCGAAAGGGCAGGCACCTGCCTCACCCACCTCGCACTACTCGTCTTCTTCCTCCTCCGTCACCGCCGCGTCGTCGTCGCCGCAGAACACGCGGACGACGGCGGCACCGGATTGCGGTGGTGGCGTCCCGGCTTCGATGGGATCACTTAGTACGAGCTCCATCTCCTCCGCCTGGCTGGCGCCGCCGGCGGTGCTGACCGAGACCAAGCTGCCCACTGACCGACAGCGGCAACCGACGGCGTCCCGCGCGGGCGGCAGCAACAGCAGCAGCGGGACCGCGCGGCGAAATGAAAAGGCAGCCAAGAAGAACAGCCTCGGCAGCAGCAGCAGCAAGAAGAAAGCGGTGCCGTCGAAGCAGTATTACACCAAGGCGGACTTCCCACCCAACCCACGCTCTTCGCTACCACAGGCAAGGACAGTCACCGCTCCTCCTCCAGCTGCTGCTGCTGCTGCTCCGAAATCCCCCTGTGCGCCACGGAAAACAGAGAACATTTCCGTGCCTCTTCCAGTGGAGACGGTGGTGATGATGGAGTCCACCTACGTCTCCCTCTCCTCGCCCAGCGAGACGAGTACGCGCAAATCCGGCGCCACACGGCCCACACTGAAGTACCCGGGCGGCGGGGACCGGGAGATCGACGGCGATGAGCAAGGCGACGCACTGCGCTCACGCGCGCTGTTGAACACGCAAGCCCCTTCGCCAGAGGAGAAGGCACCATCGCTGTCACCACCACAGCAGCCACAGCAGCAGCACCTCCTGCCGACCTCCTCGACGCCGCCAACGGAGAGCAGCAACCATTCCTTCTCTACCGTGGCCTCATCGTACCGCCGAGGAGAGCAGGAGTGGGAGCAGAAGGGTGTGGCTGAAGGTGGCACCCTTGTCCCGGCGCCGACGCGTCGACGCAGTTCGAAACCGAAAGGGCCGCCGAAGGGGAGCGTCAAGCTGCGCTCCTCCCTGCCGGGTAAGAAGGTTCTGGCCGACACGGCGAACCTGGCGCCCCTCACGACGAACCCCAACCCATGGGTGCCAGGCGGCCGGAGGAGCAGCACCGACTCCGCCCACGCTGACCCCTTTGTGCTGGACGCAGACAACCACCCACACCCTCGCGCGCACTCGACCACGGCCCCATCTGCTTCTGCGACGACGCCACGCACGGGCGGCAGCAACCGCGGGCCCGCGGCACGTCGCAGCGCCGCACCCCCCAACGCCGGGGTGGTGGCTGGTCGACCCCCCGCCGCCGCCTCTGCGGCACCGGCGACGACGCAGCGAAGAACTCAACGGGAGATGCCGCATCGACCGCGTGCGACGACGGAGGCGACGTCGGGGCCATCCTTGCAGATGACCCCCTCCCCCACCACAAAGTCGGCGGTAAAGCCGACGGCGAAGCTAGCGGCGGCGGCGAAGGCGCGCAGAATGAAGAAGGCAGCAGAGGCCGCCGCGACAGCCAGCAAGTCGTCGTCTCATCCCACCACGAACACCACCGGCGCAGCGGATCTGCCGTCGCCACCGGCGCCACCGGCGCTAACGACACCAGCAGCGGCCCACGCAAGCGACACCGGCGACTCCGTCGTCGAGTACGAGCTCTTCACGGGCGAGCTGGCGGACTCCGAGGCGGACAGCAGGGACTCTGCCGCTGCTCCACGTGGAGCGCAGACGCAGCAGCAGCAGCAACAGCCGTTCCTCCCGAGCAGCCACGACTTATCCACGCTGCGCAACTCACCCAAGACGCGCGCCGGTCACCGCCAGCGCGCGGGCTTTCACGCATCGCCGGACAGCGCGTCGAGCGTGCTGACCTCTGCGGAGGCGAGCGGCTTTATGCAACCGTACACGGATGCGCAGCTGACCGCACACATGAACAGCGGCGATGCAGACTTGACGAACGGCGCGTGGACGGCTGCCGCTGCGGCGACCGCCACCACCACAGCATCAACGACAGCAACAACAGCAGCCGCAACGGACGACGGCAGCGCCGTGATGCGGGCTGAGATGGCAAATGCACGTTCGGTACAAGAGGAGACGAACGATGAAGGCTACGATGCCGACTCCGGCCTGGCCGCGATGCATGACGCTGCAATGCCGCCGCCGCCGCCGCGGTCTGTGTCGGCGACGTCGAACGACGACCCTACCGTGTTGGGTGGCACCGATCGTGCCACAGCGGCGGCGGCGAAGGAAACCGCACCGCGGGCCAACGGTGTCATGTCGCCAAGTTCTGCCGCGTCCACAGGGAAGGAAAGGGACTCTGCTAGTGTGAATGCGGTGGTCCTGTCGAGTAGCTCTTCCGCGTCGGAGACGGCATCGCCCACGGGCTCTCCGGTCGTTGTTGGATGAGTTTTTCGAGAGCAAAGAGGAGCATAATAGATGCATACATGCTTAATTATTATTTTTATTATTTCCCCACTCTCGCGGTAAAAAAACGGTCGCCGCACGTTACACCAACTCGTGTACACTTCAATGAAAGAAGACGTTTATCATTCGAGTGGCGCGTTGTTCTTGTGTTACGCTGACCTCTTACGTCTGCTTAACAATAACAACAAATACTTCTATATCATTTATGTCTTAAACGGCTCTCCGCGGGCTGCGCCGGAGCCGTCTCAGATCGCACTGTGTGTGGGCGTAGATCGTGTATGCCCCGCAAATTTTGCTGCTGTTTTTTGCTGAGGAAGACACATCGGTTTTTCCTTCTCTTCTTCTTCTCCGCGTTGTTTGCGATTTGGTAAAGAAACCGATAGCTTTTATATACTTGTTTATGTACTTGTCGTGTGTGTTTGTTTTAGTTCGTTGCGATACGCACGTTCACCCGTGCTCGTATTTTATTTTGGTTTACTCTTCTCTTCTGCGTATCCGTTTGTTAGATTTATTTATTTATATCTAAATATCTGGAGGTACTCGCTCGTTGGGGACGAACGCGCGAAATTTTCTGTGCGTGTCTTTTCTGATTTGTTTTTTCCCCCGGTTTGTGTTGCCGCCGGTCGCGCCTTTGCTGTTGTGGGTGGATGGATTGGTTGTGCCAGGAGTGTCTCCCTTTGTTTCTCCCGCCCCGTGACGGCTGCCCTTTTTGCCATCTTTGTTGCTGTCGGTTCTTTCCTCCCCCTCCTCACCTTTGGATTGCGGTGGTGTCGTCATCGGACAGCGTCTGTCAGTTGTCTATGTCCGTTGTTCTACAACTATTATTCGTTTACCTTTTGAATGATCGTGCGGTGACTTGACTCCTTTATTTTCTTCTTCTCCTTTGCGGGTCTCCATCCGCTGCTAAAGAAAAAAAAATAACATCCTCTGATTGTGGCTCATTACGTGGATGAAGTACAAACAGACTTGTTATTATCATTACTATTAATATTTTTTTCCATTCTTCGTTGTGCAGCAGCGCTTGACGCCCCGCGTGTGTGTGTGTGTGTGTGTGTGGAGGGGCGTCAACTGCACCACTTTTGTTGCGCTCTTTCTCCTCCACAAGGAACTATGAAGAGAACTAATACAAATGAGAGCGCAAGAACCCACCTCCAAAAAAGAGGCCTGTATCCTCGCAGCGAGCAGCGGCAACAACACGACCATTCAGCGCGTTGGGAAGGGAAAAGGAACAATGGAGGGAGCACCAGAAGAGGGGGAGGAGGGGAAGAAGCCTGTGTGTTGCGGCGGCCACCCAGACGAATGATTCACGCACCGAACTGTGTGCCGCTGACGGAGCGCCTCTATCATCTTCAATTATTATTATTTATTTTCTAAATGGATGCTTCGCTGCTGCGGTTTGTCGTGTTCTTACGTGCTCTTCCGGTTCTGCGTGGAGGCGGCACATACCAATTGAAGGAGGAAACACGCGTGAGAGGCTGGTGGAGCAGAAACAACCGCAACATGCGTAAAAACTAACAGGCGCGTTCATGGAATGTAAAACCAAATAATAGTAATAATAGTTGGTTGACACCTTGACTCGCCATAGGAGTGCATCTTCGCCATTTTGAGCCTTTTTTTTCTTCATTGTCCCTCTCTTCTCCTCCTCCTTCTTCATCCACAAACCCGGCTATTGCTACAATCATTATTTTGGTTTTCAAAAAAGAAAAGGTGTTACAGCGACAGAGAAGAACAAGAGACCTCCCTCTGTTCTCGTTGTGTTGAGCTGTGTGTCTGTCAGCTATCTATTATTATTGTTGTCCTCTTCTTCTTCCTCCCCTTTCCTGCTCCTTGCCGATGGGTGCAAAGGGATCAAGAAACGTCGCCGCCGCCGACGCGGCCTCCCGCTTTGGCAACACCATCGACGATGAGGCGGAGCTCGACAGCGGCGTCACGCCGGACGCGTCCCTTAGCTCGGACGTCAGCACACCCGAGGAGACCGCCGCGAAGCGTAAGGCGTACGCCAACCTGCGCTCGCCCTACGCCGTCCAACAGCGACAAGGCAAGAGTAAGATGAACGGTACGCCGTCAGACGCTACAACACAGACGCACCACGCAAACCTGATTGAGCAGATCTACAACGAGGACTTCGACACGATCGATCACATTCAGGCGATGCGGCTGCCGCCGATGGTGACGCAGCAGCTGAAGAACGCCGTGCGAGACGAGGCGGAGCGGCGGTGCGCGGAGACAGAAAAGGCGATGGCGCGCTGCCTGCAGGACAAGATGTGGACCTCGTGGAAGTGCCAGAAGGAGCGGGACACATACTTTTACTGTGTCGAGGATGTGGAGAAGGAGAACCTGCTGCCGGACCCGAACAACCCCGGCAAGACGGATATGCTGACGGCGTTCCGCTGGAAGTACAACCTGGGCGTGTTTCATGGCGAGATTATCGGGCGAAACAACATCATGAAGGAGATCTGGCGGGAGCATTACCCCGATCGGGAGCTGCCACACCCGTGGGTCAAGGATGTGTAAGGGCAGGTCACGTTGTGCCGTGCGGGGCGTTGACGAGGGAGGGTGGCAGGGGGGAGGGAGTTGTGAACGAATCCCATTCATGCGCGAAACGCGGGATTTGAATTCGTCTTTGGAAATACATATACATATGTTCTGGCTATGTCTTCTTTGTGTTTGCGGTGCCGTCGATGCAGATGGGGGATGGCTGCGGTACCCGCGGGCTTCACAGCGACGAATACGGCGCTCTTCCACCAACAACTACACCTAAATGTGGCGGTGTCTTATGCGATTTCAGCGGAGGCTGAGCAGGGCGACCGGTGCACGCAAATTGTGTCGCATCGTGTATTTTGTCGGTGTATTTGTATTCACAAAAACTGCTGTAGCCGATGCACTGGTCGCGGAGACGAGCGTGCGAAGTACGTGGAAGTCGCTCTTTGCCACAGGTCAATCGACCATCCAGTAGAGCTCACCTTTCCAGAAGGATATGCACCACCATCCAAGCGCGTCCGCCGTTGATCCAAGCGGGCAACGCCAGCTTTTGTTTTTCACAGTGGGTTGGTATTGAAAGCAGTGTGGTCAGCCGTATGCATGTCAGCAAAGCACCCAAAGAACACCTCTGCTTCTCTTTCATCTTCGCGTCTCATATATATCTATCTATCCCTCTTCTCCGTTTCTCCTTGACTTCCAGTACTCCATTTAGGCTGATTGACCCTTCGCGGTCCTGGAGCCCAACTCGCGGCACCTCGCTGCCGCAGGCACTTCTTACTCATATATAGAAGCTCTCTTGATAGAGCGAAGGAAGCTTACACACTTTCTTTCAGCATAGAACTCAAACTATCATCTCCTCTTCTTTTAAAAAGTTTTCTGCACTGCTCCACTTACATAGATTAAATACGAATACTCGTAAATTGGAAATGGTGGTTCGTGTCTTTGCCACTCGCGACGTGCCAGTGATGGACATCATTGAACTGCAGGGCCGCATCGTCATCACACCCGAGGCCCTGGCGGATGCTCGAGCGGCGAAGGCGACTCGCCGAGCTGTGCGGCGGCAAAGGATCGCGGCAAAGACGAACGAGGTAAAGATAAAAGGCCAACCGGAGGAACCCTGCTCAGCTGAGGCGCGGCCGGTTACACAAGGAGGCGGTGAGAGTCGTCGTGCGCAGGGGACTGACGGCAGTGGTAGTTGTGCTGATGCGTCATCATCATCATCGACGGCGGTGGAGCCGCAGCCCACGCTCTCTTCGTTGACGTGGCCGCCGTTGCCGTCTTCCACCGACGCGTCTTCGGAGGACGAGGAACTCTGTGACCTAGATGACGCGAATCCAACCACGGCACCACCGAGGGGAACGAGGAGTAACGGTGTGCAGCGCACATCTGCGGACGCTTCTTCCTCGGCGGTGGTGGAGGTGCCGCTCGGGCACGTGGAGCAGGACCACCTCAGCGAGAGGAGATGCACACTCTGCATTGACACACTGCGCGTCGACGGCAGCCGTGCCACCTACAAGTACCCGCTGCTCGTGCTGAAGGAGTGCAGCCCTGCGCGGATGCGGCAGCTGCGCCGTCAGCTCGTGTCCCGCCACGCGGGGGGAAAACGGTGTGAAGGGGCGACGCCGTCTCCCGATGTTGCGCAGGCGGCGGCGGCGAAGGAGGAGCTGTCACGGCCCTCTGCGCCGGCGCCGCTGGCAACAACGACGACGACTATGCTGTTTTCGGAGTGGCTGCAAGCGCACCCACATGCGCTGTCGCTGGATGCGTTGTACTTGGACGACATCATCGCGGAGGCGTCAGCGGAGGACACCGTCGCGCAGAGCTCATCGGAGCATCGCGAGCTGACACGAAAGCGGCAGCGCGCAGGCGGGGATGATCCAGCGGCGGCGGAGGTGCAGAGAGGGGCGGGTTGTACGCCCGCTTCTGCCGCCTCCGCCCCCGCGCCTTCCGCAGCGTCAGTATATAAGAACTACGAAGTGGTGGGTGTGGTGCGCAGCTCGGTGCTCTTCAACGCGAAGCCTGCGCGTGTGTTTCAATGAGCAGAGCACATCTGCCACCAGTAGAGACACACACACACACACACACGTCGCGAAGAGACATATATGTTAGTTTTTTTTTGTCTCTTTTGCTTTGGCTCGTGGCGCCCGCACGCAACACAACTGGATAGCAGCAACAACTGCAATATGAAAGCTTCATCAAATGCACAAGGGCATGTGTGCCCTTTTCGCGCGAAGGGGCACACCGCGAAAACAAAAGCACCCACAAAGGTGCCTCGGAAACGCAGAGAAGACAACGCAGTCGTCGCTCCGAACCCCAGGTCGGGTCGTGCTGATCTCCTTCCTTGTCTTTGATCTTCTGTCTTCTACTCCCCCCTCTCTCTATTCTTTTTTTCCCCTTTTATACGTGTTTATGGTTGTGTGCGCACTGGAACACATGCGGCGACAGTAGCCGTAGAGGGATAAATCTCACACTCCGGAAGGTGGGCCACGGGGTTCGTTTGACAGAGAAGAGAAGGCGCCGAAAGAAGGGTTTATTAAGGAAAAGGAAACTTGTTTGCACCCAACTCTGTCTGCTTAAAAGACCTCGCCCTCCTCTTTCTCTTTTTTTCATTCTCTTTTGGAAGCTTACGGCGTGTGTTGAGGTCACGAGAGAGGCGTTGGAGCAGCTGCTGACACAGCTCACTCTGAGCAAACAAGGATATTTTATAGGAAGTAATTAAAAAAGAGGTGTTTATCGTGAGTATTAACGTTTCATATACATCTTGTCGCTGTTTCTTTTTTAAATTTGTTTTTGTTTTTTCTGTTGTTGTAGCCGCACCCGCTTTTTAGGAATAGGAAACTTCTGAAAGCTCGTCCGTAACGAGGCTGCTGCGTCACATCACCGCTGAGCAGTTCAGCGCCCACCACACGGACCTTTCAAAATCTACACATATATATGTATATATATATCATACGGTTTTTGTTTTTTCTTTGTTTTTCATGCTTTGGAGTTTTCCTTAACGCCGCTGCTCCATATCTGTTGTCTGTTCTCCCCTTTAAAAGGCCTCTTGCTGCTGCTGCTGCAGTAAAAGTCGTCCTCCGGCGTGACAAACTGGCGTTGCCCCTTTTTCTTTCCTTCTTCGAAGTGTCTCATCCCCTCCTCTCTTTTCTATTCTTTTCCTCGGTTTGTGTTGGTGGTGTCCCGCTGCGTACTTCCTGCTGTGTTGCCGTTACAGTTTCTCTCTCTTATATATATACTCATTTGCTCTGTTGTCCTGGGTGCCGTTTTCTTTGGATAAATCAGCTATCTGTGATTTCAGTTTTTTTTTGTTTCTTCTAACAATCAAAAGCCCACGTACGGCCACCATGCGGCATTCCTCGCTGCTGTGGCGGGGAAGAACACCGCCACCACGGCGACTGCCATCGTCTGTGCCAGCCGGGGCGGGGCATCTGCTGCTGCCTCGCCGATCCCTTCATGTGACCACAGCGGCGTGTGAATCGCTGAACGGTTCATGTAAACCGCACACGCAGACACCACAGCGGCGTTCTCCGCGTTGCACGCTGACCCTTTTAGGGCTCCGGCAACGAAGCAGCAGCAGAAGAGGAAGGAGTGCCTCGCCTGCAGCGTCTTCCTCGGTGTTGCTGCCGTCGCCAACATGCGCGGAGAAAAAATCCGACACTGCGCTACATGGCATCCGCTTTGCCCGAGGCGGGGGCGCTTCCATGAGCGCTGCCGTTCGAACTCCTTTAACGAACTTTTTAAGCGCCGATGTGGCCCGGGCGGCTTCCGCGCCGCTTTGCATGAGTGTTCGCCGCGCTAGCGAGGCCGCCAGCGCCGGTGCCCCTCCTTCGACACACCTCACGGAAGGCAGCAGCGACCAAGAGGAAGTGCTCACATCCTTCGGTGCCGACGGCGCACCATCTGCTGCGCAGCGTTCACATGGCGGCTCCCACGGTGCCCACCGCCGTCCGCCACAGCAACAGCGACACACATCCTCTACGCAGTTCTCGAATCGCGGCGCGGACTCTGACCGACACCAACGCCATGACGGCACCAGTGCGGCCCCGGTCAGCAGGGCGGTACTCGCTGCTCGTCTCATGCGACGACACCGACTGCACACCACCCAACCCTACCTCGTTCTTTCCTCCGGCGAGGAGGTGCCCGGCTGCAGCGGTGGCGTATACCATTTGCAAGGGCGTCTTGACGCGCGTGCCGCGGCAGGCGGGGCTCGATCGAGCGCCTACGCCGGCCGCGTGCGTGGTGGCGGCAACAGCGTGCGCATGGCTTCATTTCCTTACCGCGACGGGTCTCCAGCTGCTTTCACAGCGGCAGCGGCTGCGGCGTCTCCGCAGGTGTGTGGGCACGACGCCGCCTACCGACGCATGCAGGACTTCGAGCCGTTTGAGCGCCTGTTCCGCCGCTACCTCGAGCGTGGGCACGTTCTCTACGCCACTCAGCGCCTCCTCCACCACCCTAACGCACCGGCGCCGGTGGTACTGCTGGACCGGATTCTGCGGCACCGCGTACCGGCCCCGGCGTTCGTCTCGCAGGCGCTGTTGTCCTCCATGCACGGCGCCCGCACTGATCGCAGCACGTCGGCCGCCGCGACCTTTGCCCTCCAGCGCGTGACGGCCCGACTGCGAACCGACGCCACGTGCCGCCCCCTCTACGACACCCCGGACATCCGTGCCCTGCTGCTGGAGGCGACGCTGCGGGAGGGTCTCTTCGATGTCGCCACGGAGCTGGTGCAGGAGACCCCAAACGAGTGGATCACCCCGCATGCGTGGTCGCTGCTCGTGCAGGCGGCCGGGCAGGCGAAGTTGCCACACTCACAGCTGCTGTGGCGGTTGCTGAGCATCCGCGACGGATCGTCGTCATCGTCACCCGCTGAAGCGGCGGAGGCGGCGCGGATGCCGAGCTCAACGGGCAGTAGTAGTAGTAGTAGTAGTAATAGTAGTAGTAGTGGGCCGATGCAACGGGTGCTGACCCGGGCTGGCGAGAGTGCGCTGCTGAAGCGGGTCCCGCTGTGCGGATTGCCCTACCCGATGTCCGCTGGGGCACCGCCGGCACCCCCGCCTCTTCCTCCGCCGTCTTTCCCCACGGCGTCAGCTGCAGCAGCTGCTGCTGTTGCTGCGTCGCAGGGTACGGAAAGTGCACAGCGCGGAGAGGCGTCTTTGGCGTCTCCCTTTTCCGCTTCCTCTGCTCCTCTTGCCGCGTCACCGAGCGCGTCGCGGTCCCCTGCGCCGTCCTCAAGGCTGCCGCTCGACGCGGTCCACATCCCTGGCTTCGCCTTCGCCGCCCGCACCTGCGGCACGGTGCAGATGCCGACCTTTCCCAGCATCGGCGCCCCTCTCTTTCAATCGAATGCACGCCTCTCTGAGAGGAACACATCCGCGAACGGAGAGGAGGCGGCGGCGGAGAAGGATTCGGCAAGAAGCGCAGCCCCCGCCCTTCCTCCTCCTCCGTCGTCTGCCACCTCCGCATTAGTCCCCAGCACCTTCAGCACCGAAGGAATGCGGTGGTGTGCGCTGGGTCCGGTGGATATGGGCTACGCCGCCGAGCACTACAACAGCGATACCGCGGCTGCTGCCGGTGACTTTCGCGCTGTCGGCGCTGCTGGCGCGCTCTTCGGCTTCAGCTCCTTTCAGTCGTTGTTTGCGGAGGTGGAAGAGGAGGTGCGGCGGACCGCGTCAACCGAAGGCGCCCCGTCGTCGTCTTCGTTGCCTCCGCGTGCGAGTCGGCGTGTGCTGTGGGAGACCACCGCACTCCGCATGCTGCACCAGCAGCACGGCATCGTCTACGGACTTGACGCGACCACGACGGCGCGTGTGCTGCTGCGCTGCGGTGTTGGCTTTTCTGGACAGGCCTCCCCGCTGCTGGCCCAGCACGTCCTGCGCCGCTACCTGCGCAGCTGTCATGTCCTGCGGGATGAGGTGGTGCGAGCACAAGAGCTGATTGAAGCGCAGATGGACGCGGAGGAAGAAGAAGCTGTGCTGGGCAGGCGAGATCGCACGCCGCGGTCAACAATACCCCTTCAAAACGCGTCGGAGACGGCAGCGGCAGCAGCAACGGAGGCTTCCGCTGCCACCACAACGACGGCGGTGACGACCGTTTCTCCGCGTCGATCAGCGAAGGAGTTGCTGGAGCTGTACCCTCGCCTCTCGCGTGCGGTTGCCCCACACCCTTCCCCGTTTCTCGTCTTCTTCAAGGTCATGCGTGAAGCACGCGAGGTGCTCTCGAACGCGGTGGACGAGGAAGTCGCCGCTGCCGCTGCCGCTCGCCGCTCTCGTACCAGCGGCCTGCGTGCGAACAGCTCGCTGCCGATGGTCCACTGGGAGCTCGTGTGGCACGCCTTTCAGCAGCTGAACCGCGAGAACCCGCTTTGGTTTACGCAGATGACCGCACAGGAGGCGGGCGACTTGTGCCAGGATGTCATCGAAGTCCTTTGCCACGGCGCCGATCCGTGGCTGCCACTCAACGTGGCCCGCCGCGTCTCGCTCCGGCACGTCGTCGACGGGGTGGAGATGGCGCTGTGGCTGCTGCACCGTCTGGACCCGTCGCACCACACGGAAGAGGCACGCGAGGTGGCCCGCAAGCTGTTCCGCTGGCTGCTGGTGGATGTCGGACTCCATCTCCAGCCGTCGCTGCATCACCACCTCATCCCAGCCGCGCGGGCGCTGATTCGGTTGGGCCTGCAGGAGGAGCTGCGCGTCCTGTACAGCGCCGTGCTGGATAACGTGTACGTGTTTCTCCCTGAGCACCGCGACGCGTTCATTCACGTGCTGCGGGACTTGATCTGCCCCTCCTGCGCGAGTATTCTGCCCGAGAGCGACGTCTACGTGGATCGTGCGTGCCCAAATTGCATGGCGGTGGTGCCCGCCAAGGACGCCGACACGATCCCGAGTTTCCGGCTATCGGCGGAGCATGTGGAGCGGCTGCGGGAGCGACGCAAGCAGCAGCGTCAGCGCACGCGTCAGCGTCTAAGCGCCAGCGTCCATCGTTTGCAATCGGAGGACCACGACAGAGAGCGACGCCCTGCTCGACCACAACGTCCGTATCACCTTCGAGGCCCACAGGACGCCGCGGACGTGCTACGGCGACACCTGCAGAGGAGCAAAGAGGCGGAAGAGGAGGAAGGGAACGAGGACGGCGGCAACGTGATGGCGCTGCGTCTCGCGGAAGCCGCCACCCTGGTGCCGGGTGTGTCGGTGGGGTCGGACTACGCCTTATTTCCTGTCGCTGGTGGTGGTGATAGCGGTCATGCGGCGGTGATGGACGTACGCGCAGCAATGGAGGAGTCCTCGCGTCGGCTCGAGCTGCAGCGGGCGGCACGTCGGTACGCCCTCGCTCAGCGCGGCGACACAAGCGATGATGCTCAACGTGAGGCGTCTTTCAGAGATCGCAACAGCAGCAGCAGCAGCGGTCTCGTCTCCCCCTACCGCACCTCAGCAGCAATGCCGACCACCCTGCCCATATCCGCGCAGGAGTTGGATGCCGCGACGCTGAAGTACCTGTCCACGGCAGCGAACGCCGGCGCCCGCGCGTCTGCGGCGACCAACGCGGCGCACGACGGCGTGTGGGTCTGCGTGTGGTGTCAGGCGGAGAACACCGAGTGGAGCAGCCGCGTGCAGTGCAGCGCGTGCGGGGCGGAGACCGGGCCTGCAGCCCCGTGGCGTCACTTCGCCTACGCCGATCCGGTGACGGGCGATGTTATGGCAGAGCTGCGCGGTCGCATGAGCAACTGTGAGGAGCGGCCGGTGGATGCGATAGTGGCGGGATACTTGCTCATGGTGTACCGTCGCACCTTCCAACTGCGTGCGACGCCAGCTGATCAGGAGCGGCTGCAGCGTCTCGTAGCGATGCTGTGCCGCCTGCAGGAACGTGTGTTGGCGGGCTACGTCTACACTCGCCTCGTTCCGCTGCCGCAGCGACACGTAGGTGCGCTGCTCCATCTTCTCGCGCAGACCTACGGACAGGAGAGCGAGGCCCGCTATCGTGCCCTGACGCAGGACGACCTGACACGACCAGAGAAGGAGGGCGTGTTCTTTGAGGCGGTCTTCGGCCCTCAGACGTGTCGGGTGTGCTTCGGCAGCCACGACTGGCACCTGTGCCCCATCGTCACGCGCGACTTTGCCGGCGCCGCGGATGCGCAACATGAACAGCAGCGCAGTCCCATCAGTCTCAGTCCTGAGGAGAAGCAGCGGGCGGTGCTGGAGAGGCTGGCACAACGCATTCATGAAGCAGCGCAATCTGCTGTTGCTGCCACCGCGCCGGCAGCGACGTCCCCCACCGCGTCCTCTTCAACCGCACGAAACCCAGCCGCGGCAGCAGGAAAGCCCAACGCACAGCTGGTGGTGAACGCGTACGTCGCCTTCGTCTCTTCTCCATTCCGTGAGATTTTTGCCGAGCTGCACGCTGACGACACAAATGAGCTGTCGCTGCTGCTGAGCAGCCTTCAGCAGTACCGCCGTGCCGCCTTCGTGCTGTGCCACATCCCCCTGACCCAGCGCTCCACGGCGGCCTACCTGCGGCTGGTGAGCTTCTTTAACGTAACAGAGGAGGAGGCGCTGACGCTGCTGGATGCGAAGACGAAGGCACCTCACCCGTCGGACCCAACCGCAGCATCAGCCACATCAGCGACTGCAGCAGCAGCGCCGAATTTTGTGCAGGTCACCAAGACGTGCTGTATGTGCCTGGATCAACGCCACGCCTCGCATGAGTGTCCTCGACTGGGGGAATGGTTGAGGGGCGTGCAGCGACTGGCGAGAGAAGAGCGGGAGTCAGCAGCAGCAGCAGCGGCGGCGGCGGCGAAGTCATCCACATCCACCACTACCGCGTTGGTGGACTCCGTCGGCTCGGCACGGCTGCGCCAGCGGCTGCGAGCACAGGTGGACGGCTGGACGACCGCCGGGCCGGAGCGGCTGCACGCGTTTTATCGATACCTGGTGGCCCACATGGAGTTGCTTGGGCCGTCGAGTCGTGATCGCCCCTCCGCCGCATCGCCTTCTTTAGCATCGTCTTCAACGGCGACAGCAGCTGCGGCGGCGTCGTCGTCACCGCGTCGAATGGATCTCAACGATCCGCTGGTCTATGCGGTGAACAAGACGGTGACGAAGCTGGCCATGTTGGAGCGGCGCAGCGAGACCTATCGCCTCTACGCCCACGCCCCCGTGGAGTGTGTGTCCGCCGCCACCACGTCAGCGGTGCTACGCATGAATGGGTTTGCGGAGGACAGCATCCGCGCACTGCTCAAGGCGGACGATTATGATGACGCTGCCGCGTCCTCGTCGATGGACGACGACAGCATGAGGGCTACGGAGGCGGAGTTGATGATGGCCCGCAGTGGCAGCAACGTGCATGCAGTGTCGGCTGCACGTCAACGCGCGCCGCTCGCCGCCCGCACCGCTGCCGTCCCGGTCCAGCGCTGCTGCCTCCTGTGCTTCTCGTCTGCGCACGCCTACGTGGACTGTCCGGAGCTCGCCGCGGCGGCGACAGAGGCGGAGAAGCTGCTATTAGTCGTGCAGCAAGTCGGCGGGATCAGCTGCGTGCACGACGGCATTGGCGCCGCGGCGGCGTACGTTTACAACGTGTACAACCGCGGACGTTTATCAGGCGGAATGGTGCGATTGAATCCGGCGTTGGTCACAGCGCTGCTGACGCTGGCGCGGCGGTGCTTCGCAACGCATCAGCTCAGTCACGGCATGCGGGTGCTGCGGCGAATTCCGGTTGAAATGGTGCCCCCCGCCACGGCGTACACTGACCTCTGGCGGGCGGCGGGCTTACCCGAAGAGTCGGTGGAACAGAAGCAGGCCCAACTGCTCGCGCTGTACGACGCGGAGGGCCTCGTCCCCTCGGTGGACTCGCCCCCACCTCGTCCGACCTTCTCGAACAGCTTCCTCTCGCAGCTGAGCCGTGTGCTGCACGACGACGTCTGCCGGCACTGCTACGAGCACGGGCACACCATCGCGACGTGTCCGCTGTTCCACGCCGAGGTCAGCTTCGGCCGAGACTACGTTGCCGCCTACCGCATGAGTATGATGTCGGAGCAGCTGGACCGCGCGTGGCAGGAGGCCTACCTGCTGAAGTTGGTCGACTTCTTTCGCACGCACTATTTGTTTATGCCGTACCACATCGCCGGCGTGGCGAACGCGTTGAACGCTATTACAGCGATGTGGAGCTTCCGCGGCGAGCCAGGGATCGCGCTGCGCAACCTACTGATGATCCCTCCCGCTTACCGCCGTCGACAAGCCTTCAAGCACGTTCTGCACGCTCTGCGTGTGCCGTCGGCGGACATCACGCGCTTGCTGGGTGACTTCTACTTCGCACCAGAAAACAGCGGCGTGGGCGGCGGCGGCAACGGTAGCGGTCACAACAGCGCTGGCGGGGGAAACCCACAGCAGCAGCAGGAGATGATGATGGCGCAGCACTTGCTGATCCCGAAGCCGGCCATTCGGGATCTGGCGCGGCGGCAGATCTTCGAGCAAGTTCCCGCGGCGATGGTGGCCTTGACGGAGAGTACGGAGCGCATGGCGCACATACGCGCCAACCACGAGCGCCGCGGTGGTGCGGCTGACACACTTTCCTCGTCGTCTTCTGCGTCTGCTGCATCTGAAATGAATGCTGGTAGCGGCATGGGTGTGGGCATCTCCGCACGCATCGCGCAGTCTATCCGACAGCAGCAGCAGCAGCAGCAGCAGCCATCGCCTGACATGGATGGCGTCTCAGCATCGTCCTTCAACTCACCCATTCTGCGACGTGTGATGCAGAGCGGCGACATGGCGCAGCTGCGCGAGGACTTCGATCCCATTCTCGCTGAATTGGAGAACGCCGTCGGCATGCGTCTGGGCAGCCGGCACACGCTGTTTACCAGCGCCATAGACATCGTGGGCTCCGCCGCAGCGTCCACGGCGACGTCAGGCACGGCGGGCGCGGCGCGTCGCACCCGTGCGCCTTCCCCTACGCATCCCTCAAGAGATACATCATCCCCGTCATCGTCATCGTCATTCTCAGCAGAGGTGAGCACGTCGTCTACCGGTCGCGGTGTATCGGAGGCGGAGGTCGTCACGGAGGTGCAGACGCAGCCCGTCCAACGAGGCAATCCCCAGCGCTCAGCGACACCCCGTTCTTCTTCTTTCCCCTTGCCCCCAAAGCCGCTCTCCGCCGCACAGGAGCCGCCGTTTTCTTCGTTTGCGCGTCAGCTTCGTGAGCAGCAGCAGGGCCAACCGCCACCACGCAGCCCAAGAGGCACGCAGCCGGTAAACGAGACATCAGTGACTGCGCCGCAGGTTGGTGATACCGCTACTACAGGAGGAGAGCGAGCGCCAGCAAACAGTGGTGCGGTGCCGCATGCTGCGTCTCGCATGAGCGAGGATGAGGTCAAATCTTCTTTCTCTGAGCCTTCAACACGCACGTCACGCGAACGGCAGCGACAGCAGCAGCAGCAGCAACAGCGATCACAGGGACCAACGGATCACCGCAGCCGCAGCAACAACCGCGACTACCGAGGCAACCGCAGCAACGCACAGCCTTACCGTGGAAGTAACCGACGGCAGACGCAGCAGCAATCGCAGCGTCGTCACGATCGCAGAGACGGACGAGGGAGTAATACAGAGGCGCAATAAGGCAGTCGAGGAGATAGATATGTTTAATGGTCAACAAGGGGGATGTGGAGCCACACATTGGAGCGGAACAGCGCTGTGGCCGACTCGTTGTTGCCGTGTTTGATTGCATCTGTTGCTCATGGCGTGTTGTGTGTGTGTGTGTGTGTGTGTGTGTGCGTTAGTGGTTGGCGTATGTGACGTCTCGAGCCTCTCCTGTTGATGTGGTGTGCCTTCACCACAGTGGAGAGTGGTTTCTTGCGACGTGCCTTTTTTTTTCCTTTAATGCTGTTTTTCGCTGCATTACATGTCATGCTTTGCGTTGCGAGCACCGCTTCACCCCGGTAATACGGCGGAGTTGTGGGAAATACAATATAATAATTAACAATAAAAACTCGGTAACCGCAGCAGGAGTGCACCTTCCGGTTGCTATTGGACGATGCGTGTACAGAGAACACGCACCCTTTTTTTTTTAAAGGAGGTTTCTTTGAAGAAAAAAAGGTATATTTATTTGTTGGTGTCTGTTCTTGCCGCGGGGAACAATATTCTCTGTTTTATCTATCCGTTGTGGCGGCTGTGGCACCAGCTGAGCCACGCTAACCCTTGTCATATTCCTACTTTAACGCACGAAGGAGCGAGAGCAACTGTCGGGGGGGGGGGGTGAAAGTGGGCGAGCATGTTTTCAAACAATGTCGGAACTCAATCTCTTCAATCTCCAACAAGAGAAGAAATACATATCTCTATGAAAGGAAGAAGAAGGCGAATCGAATCGAAGCTGCTGCTTCGTATCAGAAGGCTTCTTCTAAAACCGATGATTACGAGAATCTGTCTTGAGGACACCATTCTAGATATATATATATATATATATATATATTTGTATTTGCGACTTCACTATGACATCTCTCCAGTGCAGTTTTCGCCTGCAATTCGTTCTTTCCCTTTTTTCTCTCATCCTTCTTGTGTTTTCTTCTCTTTACCTCTTACTCCTCTGAACTTCTGGCCGCCACACCCGATGCTGAACACCACCGACGTTTTGTAGCCGTGCGTTCTATTTCTTCTCTCTTTGACAAGCCATTCACCTTTCCTGATTTGTTTTCTTGTTTTCTTTGTTTTCTTTCCATCTACGGACAACGCTGAAGGACCCGCCCCTCCCTCCTTCCGTCCTTCCTTTCTCTCCCCCTTACAGCATTCAAATGCAGAACTCCGTTATCAAGCTCACCATTGAGAAGGCGGAGGCCCTCCTCGCCCTCAACCCGGGCGGCACATCGAACCCGTACATCACAGCCACCATCGGTGCCCAATCGGTGACGACGCCGGTGCAGAACAAAACGGTGAACCCGGTCTTCAACGCGACCTTCACCTTCACCGACTGCCCCTTGCCCTCCATCGTGACGCTGCGCGCCTTCAACAAGATCCAGTACGTCGATGTCGAGGACCCGCTCGGCACGGCCACCGTCACGCTCTTCGACGTCCAGCCGGAGGAGACGACCAAGACGGTGCAGCTGAGCCACGGCGGCAATGCGGCGTTGGCCCAGCGCGCGCCCAACGGGTGCGGGTCGGTGCAGATCCGCTACACCGTCACGCCCATGCCCGAGGCGGCCACCGCCGAGCACCCGCCGATGCTGGTGTCCAAGAACGCCAGCGTCACGTCCGCCGGCGGGGCCTCCACCCCGATGCCGGTCCCGGCGGCCATCAACATCGACGCAAGCGCCCCGGCGGCGATGCCGGTCGCCATCTCGCCCAAGGACAGCCGCATCAGCACGCCCCGCTCCGGCGCGCGGTCGACCAGTACGGCGAACCTCGTTGCGTCGAACCCGAGCGTGACGAACCCGGCCGCCACGACGCCGATGCTGCGGCCGGTGGAGGTTTCAGGCAGCGCGCCGCTCGGCAGTGGCGGCGCTGGTGCTGCGGCGGCCGTCGTACCCGTGTATTCCTCCTCCGCCGCGTTTGGTGGGATCGGCGGGCAGAACAGCCAGCTGACGCCGCCCAGCCTCACCCCGGCGAAGCCACCGGCTGTGTCGACGTTCCTCGTGCCGCAGGTGGCACCCCCGCCTCCCGCGACGACAGGAATGAACATGTCCCTCAACACGGCGCCAAACAACGGGTACACGAGCTACGCCGTGCCCGGTGTGCGGATCCCCGCGCCGGTGGCCGAGCTGGATGCCGCTGCTGCTGCTGCCGCTCCCGTGGCGGTCTCTGCGGAGTCCTACTACGCAAACAACAGCGCCTGCCAGCCCGCCTCCACCCCGCTCCCGGCGGTGAATGCACCGTCGCCGAACAGCGCGTCGATGCTGCCGGTCGCGCCCAGCGCCGTCGCGGCGGTTCGCTTCGCCTCGCTGCAGGAGACCACCAACGCGGCCACCTCGTTTGATGCGCAGTACTCCGCAAAGGCCCTGCAGAGCGCGTCGGCCAGCTCCCTCTTCACCGCCGCAGCGCAGGCACCGCTGCTTCTGCCGCAGCAGAAGTTCCTGTCCGTGCCGCCCAACATCCACGGCACGCCCTTGTCGAACGTGCAGTCCCGGGAGGGGTCGCGGCTGCCGTCGGCGGCGCAGCTGCCCCCGCCGTCGGTGGCGGTGGCCGGAGGGGCCTTCCCTGCCCAGGCCCTTCCTGCAGCGCTGGAGGCCGGTGCAAACCCAGTCGCCGTCGCCCCCCGCACGCCGCCGCTCAGCTCCAGCACGTCGAACAGCCGTCGCTCCACCCCGTCCACGCTGTCCTCGCACGGACGCCCGACGTTGTTTTCCGCCGCCGCCGGTGCCGCTGCGGAGTTCCCTGCGCAGGCGTCACTGAATGCGCCAGGGGGTCAGGGCATGCGGCGTGGTGTGGCGCCGGTGCCGGCGACGGCTGGCGTGCCGCTGCAGCAGCAGCATCGGCCCAACGTGGGCGGCTCCGCCTTCCCCTCCCCACCGCACCGGACACGCTTTTCGGTTCCGTCCACGTCCGCGTCTGCACCCGCGGCGGCGCTCGACGGCACGCGGTCGCCGAAGCGGCGGAGTCCCAAAAACGAGGCGCCGTCGGACGCGGCTGTGCCCTCGGCGGAGGCCCTCTACGCGGACCCGGACTACCTCTTCGAGGCCGCTGCGAGCGGGATGGATGAGGCCATCTTCCGTCAGCTGCGCGACGTCGACCCGTACCTCACCAACGGCTTCCTGACCTGCCTCGACTACTCCGGCCGCAGCCTGCTGCACATCGCGGCGTGGAACGGTCAGCTGCGGGTGATGCAGATCCTGCTCGCGCCGGAGCCGGCCGCGCCGATGATCGATCTGCGTGCCCTGGTAGCGGCGAAGAGCGGTAATACCATTCTTGCACGCCGCGGCCTGCAGCGGGCAGGCGGAGGTGGCGCGGTGGTTGCGTTACTCGCACCCGTCGGCCGGTCCGCTGCTGCTGTCGATGCACAACGCACGCGGCATGACGGCGGCTGAGTGTGCGATGGAGGCGGGCTTTCCGCAGGTGGCGCGTCTCCTGATGCCGAACTAAAAGCGGTAAAGAAGAAGAAGAAAAAAAAAACAACGACCCATGCCAACGGCGAAGGAGGACGGTGGTGTGTCGGATCGTGTTTGGCGGGTCAGTGCGATTCTGAACGTCGACACGTCGCACGGTGCTTCCGCTTCTCTCCGCATCGCCACTACGCGCCGATATGTTCATGTGCAGGTGTTAACAGATGCGCGTACCTTCGTGCGTACGAGCGCGTGCACACCTGTGCTTCCGAATGTGCGTGTTTGGGCTCGAGTGCGGATTACTCGTGAAAGGTGCCGTGATGCTGACGCACCGGGAAAGTGCTGTCTGAAGTGTCCGATGGTTTCTATGTTGCCTTGATCTTTTTTCTTCTTCTTTGTGAATGCTTCGTGTTCGCTGGCTGAACGTGCGCGTGCCTCACAAACGGTGTTTTTCCCTCGCGTAGTGGTTTCCGTATACGGTTCTTTTGTATTCCGCTTCTTTTATTTTTATTTCTTCCTGCGCGATGGTCACGTTCTTGGGGCGCGCTGACCCGTGCATCGCTGTACTCCGTTTCCCTCGCATGGGTGCTTCGTCTTCTGTTATTATCTATCTTATCTCTTTTTCTCCCCCCTTTAGCCGGTCGCAGGCGAGGTGGACGGCGTTGATGTGGCAATGCAAACTGATGATACTTTTCTTTCTTTGGCGCTGCACAAAAATCAGTTTAGGTATTTATTATTATTATTTTCGTTTGTTGGTGCTAGTGCGGGCTTTCCTTCTTTCCTATTTTTCCCCCTTTTTCACTCCTGTCAGCGGTTTCTTTTGGTTTGTATTATGTGTGGCGGCGGAGAGGAGGTGACGTCGCGCGTGCCGAAAGGGGGGGGGGGGTAGCCCTTCGCCGCACCCTTCACACGTCGCTTCGCCTCTTCAAAAGCTATGAAAGAAACCTCCCCCTCACTAACACATTCACACACACAGAAGGAGTTTTTATCCGCCGTGAAGCCGTCGTGAAGCCGTCGTGAAAAAGAATCTTCCTTTCTAGACGGAGCAGCAACGGCGGAGCGGAAAAATATGAAGACGGAGTCGACCGGCGCCGCTCTGGTGCGAGCTGAACCTGACACATTCTCGATCATTAACAATGCACACCTACGCACACACACACACACTCACCGCAGTCGCACGCACGCAGAGACAGACAGGAGGTGGGGGTGGCGTGGCGACACTCCCCTCGCCCCTCCAAAAAGAAGACATCGTTGATACGAGCGCAGGACTGCATAATACTCAGAAGAATGAAGGAAATAAATTAAATGTAAGAAAAGCGTGCATGGACTGCGCTACGAGAGCTTGAGGAGGCCTGCGTTCCCATCGGAAAAAGGAGAAGAAGAAGGTGAGGTCTCAAAGATCTTCTCTTTGCATTGTTTACTGGCATTAGCGAGCGCTTCAAATAAGCGTTATTCATTCACACACAGAACTGTATCACTTCCTTCGATTTAAAGAGATGGAATGGTGCAGTGAATGTAGCTGCTAAGAATCACGGAGAAGCCTATTAAAAAAAAAGAAAGGCTGAAAAGAGTTGATTTGAAAACCGGCGGGTTTTTGCAAGCCGCTACTTCATCTCTTTTCTGCTTTTCTTTTTCTTCCTGTGTGCCGTGTGATGGTGCGATGGAAGCCTCCTCAGAGCCTCGCGTGCTTTCGTCTTCGCGCTTTGGACGTCCTCGTAGCCTTTTTATATTTCACTTCGAAGAGAGGCGCCCTCTGTGCTGTCCATCGGTGCTTGCGTGTGTGCCTGTGTGAACGTGTGTGTGTGTGTGGGTGTGTATATCGAACACCTTCGCTCGGTGTGCCTCCCTTCTCGCGGCTTCCTTCCTTTCAAAGTGTAAGCTTTCCTGTTCCGGTAGGTTGCACACGTTCGTTGCAGGGGAAAGAGCAAGAAAGAGAGAAAGACCACAAGAAGCTGCGAGAAGGGGATGCGTCGTTTACGCGTTGCTCCGTGGCGGTGAAGGGACTCAACGGCTTTTTTTTGGGTTTCTTTCGGTGAGTCTCTGACGGATCAAATACGGTATAAGAAGAGAAGAGAAAAAGGTATGCTGCAGCTACCACGACTACGAGTGGTGTGCGTATTTGGGTAAGGGGGCGTTGGTGCCTCTCATATTTTCTTTGTTTTAGGTATTTGTTTTGGTGTACAAAGGAAAAGCAAGTGCTGGTCGTGCTTACGGCTTTCACAATGCTTTGCGTTCTATGTTTCCCGTTCTTTGTTGTCTTCAACAAATTCTTCCACCTCGATGTATTGTTATGAAAACGTATTCCTTTAAAAAACGAGTTAAACTCCTGCGATCAACGAGCAAACAAACAAGATATATATATATATATATATATAAAGCCTGTGAGCGACTTTCTACGTCTTTTCCTTCTTGTTTTTCCTCTCTCTTCTCCGTGCTTCTTCATGCTTCACCTTGTCTTTTTTTGATTTGATTTTTTTTTCCCTTTAAAGACGACTTCTTTCTTTTTATCACTCAACCTCCTCCCTTCCCTCCCCCCAAGAAAAACTCCTTCGTCCTCCCCGCATCCGTTCACTGCAGGTGTGTGTGGGAGGCTCTTCCTCTCTCTTCGTGTTTTCTTCTTTTTCATGTTCTGTCTTCACGTCTGCACGTGCGTTCTTCCCTCCCCGCTGCTCACCTCCTTCTTCTCTGCTGCGCGAGAAACAGACAACTACAGCCACGATGAACTCCTTTGATCAATAACAATAACCTCAGGGGGGTTTTCTATATCGAACTGTGTGTTGAGCAGCGTGAGAAAGTACAAAGAAAAGAAAAGGATCGCAAGGGAAATAACGCTGCTCCGTTATGCTGGGATCCAACCTGCGTGTGGCGATGACGAAGTGAAAAATTGTTAAAATAAGAAGAAGATAAAGTTCCTTTCCCGATATCTTCTTCCCTACGTGCTGTCGCAAAATGGGAAGAAAACGAAAACTCCAAACTCTCCCAAAGAAGGCGTCCTTCACAGACAAAAAGAAAAGAACAGGAAAACAGCCGTTTTTTGTCACTAGGAAGGGAAAAGTTGGTGCTCTCATCGAAGCGATCCGTTGTAGCGCGAGCAGCGATAATCCTATGAGCGATATTGTAGGCCACTGCGTGTCGAACGCGTTGGGTAGCTGATGGAAGGAGCACTTACACACACACCCTTGCTGGTTCTTTCCCTCTCCTCTTTTGACATGGTGCTTTTCCTTTTATTATTTACTGTTGTTATATACGTCCCCCCATGTGTGTGCGCGACAGTTGCTCTTTTTTTTTTTGGTTTTACCGTCTTCTCTTCTTCACGTTTTCTTTTGGATCCTGGAAAGAGGACGAAAGGAAGAAGAAGAAAAAGGTATAACTGAATAACCCGCTGTCTTTTTTTTTCTAATATTTGCAGCACGGGGGGCGCGTTGTAGCGTCGTTGCTACGAAAAAGGCGCCTCTGCTTTTGCGTTCTTTGGGGTTTTCTCTTTCTCCTTCTTTTTTTGTTATCGACAGGCACTCAAAACGGGGGCGTTGGTTGGTTGGTTGGTTGGTGATGGCGCTTTGCCTTTCTTTCTTGTTTTGTCGTCTTTTTATTCGTACTCTGCACGCGTTTCTTCTTCTTTCTCTTTCCCCCCTTCCTTTCATCTCTTATTCTAAAAAGAAAAAAACCGTTTTTGACCTTCTTTTGTGTATTGTGATCCTTGATGATGCCACTTTCTTCTCTCTTCTCTCTTCTCTCTTTGCGGTAGCGACAAAGGCCCCGGATGAACGCGTCGAAGTCAACCGCAGCAACATCAAACAACAAAGGAAAAGCGGTTAAAGAGTTTTCTTGTGTGATGTATGTGCGACCTGCGCTTGAGGAAGCATCGTGAGAAGTTTAAAAAGAAAATGGGATAAAGGCGATGCATCGGTGAGCAAAGCTGGGTTGAGGGACTAGCCACACACACACACACACAGGCCCAAAAGAAGGCAGCCAACTATGCCACAAGTAGCCGAAGCGCAGAGGATCACGAAACAAAGGGAAACCCATCAACGTAGGGGACATTTTTTTAATTATTATCTGTTCTGTCCCGCGCATTGTGATTGCCCTTGTCTACGTAGTTGGTTTGCTTTATCCGTTTTTTTCTGTTTGTGGATAACGCATCTGGGGTGTCTAGGAGACATGTGTTCTGCATCGCAGCCGCATTCCTAAATCAGCTCTCGGTGAACGAAAAAAAGCTCTTCCGTGCATTCCCCCTCCCTCTTTGTTTTTCTTCTTCTGCTCTCCTGCATACGCACACAAAGTCACCGACGTGCGACCTCACGCGCACGCGCGTCTTCCGCCATTTTTGTGTCACGCTCCTTCTTTTTTTCTCTCTTTCCTTTTTATGGATGGTCTCGAAGCCATCGCATCCGTGCTTGTGTGTGAATTGCTGTTATCGCTGGCGGCAGGGGGAAAAAGAAAACTATATATAAATATCTATAAGTACTTTACTTTGTTTGCGCGTTTCCTCTCTCCCCCCCTCTTACTCTCTGATCTTCGACCACGGAGCTGAACGACTCCCTTCCTCTTTCGGATTCCCGGAGAGGACGAAAAGGGGAGTCGGGGAGGGAAAATCAAAAGACCCGCCTTCTTATTCATCTTCCAAAAAAGAAAAAGAAAGAAGAAGCAGCTGTCAAGCAGGCCGTAAAGAAAAGGAGAGAAGACAACCGACGCACAACCAAGCAAGCGGCCGACCCCCCCCCCAAAAAAAAAAATTGTTCTTATGAAAAGCAATAAAGCCTCTCCCCCCGTAGCGCCGGCCCTCTTTTTTATTTTTTATTTTAAACTCTCCGTGCAGAGCAACCAAAGGAGAGAAGAGAGAAGAAGAAGTTCTCTCGTTGGGTTCGTTGCGCGATTATTTCTTTGTTTATGAATTTCTCGCCAATTTCACCTTCCTTTTTTTTTAACATTATTTTCTTTGAAACGGAGATGGAAAGGGAAAAAAATTAATTGCTGTTGCGCGACAAGAAAACAACGGAGGGAGAGGGGAGAGGGGAGAGGGGAGAAGAGAAGGGCCGTCCCCTCCCCTCCGCCTCCACAAAGAGGAGAGAGGCGCTGTCGTCTCTCTTCTGTCGTTTTTGTCGATGATGTTTTCGTTCACCCCGCACTGCATATCTATTTATATTTATTTGTTTCTTTTTGTTTTTATAGGAAAAAGAGAACCACGACGGCCAAGAACGGCTTCATTCCAGGACTGCTGCTATGCATACCTGGCGTTGAGGGCAACTGCCGCAGCTTCCTTCGGTTGCTCTCGTTCCCACGAGACGCGTCCCTCAGCGAGGAGGGCGAAGGCGTGATGGTTCGTGGAGCCTTAAGAAAGGGGAAAGCGGCTGTCCGCACCTCTTTTTTTTTTTAAAGTGGCTTTACGCATTCAGCTGCAAGCGGAGCTGCTGTTGTTCCGCACTGGAGAAAAAAGAGAAGCGAAAACTGGAATTGGTGAAATGCGGGTTTGGCGCTACGAGACGCACTTCATTGGAGAGTCAACACCGTTCCCTTTGAAGACGAGCTGCCTCTCTTCCTCGTGATCTCTCTATTCGCTTTTCTTCCTTTCCTCGCTCTCCCGTGTCTTTTTTTGTTTGTTCTCTTCATCCTTGCTTCCTCTTCAACCCTTCACCCAGCATTCGTGGAAGATCGTGTGTTTCTCCCCAATCTTACGAGATCCACTGTCGCATACTTCTCTCCTTCAATAGTCGTCGGTGTGATAATTATTTGGCCTTTTCCTCTTGCTTGCTAGTACCACATGGTTGCTGCGCGGAGTGTTGTCGTCTGCTGTTTTTGAAAGTTATCCCCTCCCTCCTTCCCTCCCCTCCTCCTCTCCTCTCCTCTCCCGCCTCGCTGCTGCGGCGATACGCATCTGGAAAGCGAGTTGCCTCCCTTCTTCCCTGCGAGAGAACCAACTACACCCGAAGAAGAGAAGGAGAAAAACACAAAAAGTAATTCCCCCGAAACGACCGTCAGAGAAATTCGTGTACGCCGCGTGAAGAGGGGCTCCTCCGCCCTCGACAAGCTCGCAAAGGAACATCGTCAACAACATCAACGACATAAGAATAATAATAGGAATAACAACGGATCCGGGTGACTTGCTTTGGAGCTTTTCTTCTTGTTTCTTCTGCCTTTTTTTTTCCTTCTTTAAGCGATCACCGACTTCACGAGGGATCTGCATCGCGGATATCACCCTTCCTCCGATTCGTCAGTTCCACTACCTTCAAAACAGCAGCAGCAGCAGCGTTATGGGCGGTCTCCATCGACAAACCTCTGCCCTCTCGTCTCCTCTCTCCTGCCCCTCCTCAGCCGGCGCATTCTCTGCAGTTACACCTAGTGGAATGTAAGCGAATTGTCTGTTTATTATTATTATTGTTTTGGATTTGCTGTTACGCAGAGCTTTTGTGTGATTATCTTTTATATATATTACATTTGTTTTTACCGTGTAGCTCTCCTTCCTTTCTTCTATATATTTATATTTGACTGCTCTTTGGCCTGCGACGTTGTGTGTCGACACTTTTCTTTCTCCCTCTCATCTTGCGCTTGGTACGCTCTTGGTTTTACTTCCCTTTTTCCCTTTTGGTTATACCTCAGCCTTTGTCGGCGGTTGGGGTCCATCGTCTGCTCTTCAGATTTCTTTCTTGTCTTCCTTCGCGCTTCTTTCACACATTCTTTCGCTTGTAAAGCTCGTCTGCGCTGTTGACGACGTCGCGGGTCCTTGGGCGGCAGAAGGGAAAAGAAAACGCTTCCTCCCTCCCCCCCCCCCGTTGCATGCTATGGTGATCGGCGAAACACAGATAATTATATATATAAAATTTTTTCGTGTTCATCAAGGAGAAGAAAGAAGGAGGGAGTACAGCCGTCCGACATGTTTTCGCTGGGCCTCTCCGGGGGGAAGAAGGCCGATCAGCTGCCGCCGCTCTCCCCATCCCCGCTGCGCTCCCGCAAAGATCGTGACACACACCGCACCAACGAGGAGGCAGGGCGCTTCTTCCTCTCTCTCCCGGTCACGACAACCCGATCAACGGACGGGCCGAGCAGCAACAACAACAATAACAGCAGCAGCAGCAACAACGCCAGCAGCACGGAAGCGAGCGTGACAGCGCTGCGTCAGCAGACGACCACGCGGACACCGCCGCCACCACGCGACGACACCCGAAAAGGTGCGCAGGCCCCACCCTTGTCGAACACAACGTTGCACCTCGCACTGACCAGTACGTACACGAGTGAAAGCTGCAGCAGTAGCAGTAATAATCTGGCGTCCCGATCGGTGCCGGTGTCGGGAGCCAATAGTTTAGAGACGCCGTATGTGCGTCGATGGCACACCTGTGCGGGGAGCACAGCTGGTGAGAGCCAACACACCCCACTGCAGCAGCGTCAGTGCAGCAGCTGCAGCATCAACAGCATCAACACCACCAACAACAGTAGTAGCAGCCCCGTCAATATGGGTGCGTTGGGCGGTGTGATGGACCCTCGGCCTCCTCCGCAGCTCACACGCAGCATCGTCTTCAGCAGCCGCGAGAGCGAACCTCGTGTGACGCCGCCTCAGCTGTCTTTCTCATCCGAGTCGAAGGACAACAGCCGCAACGGCGGAGCTGCAGATACGGCGGCTACACCGGCGCACCCCTCAACAAATGTGCCGGACAGCGCGCCCCGTCCGTCTGCGACGCTGCCGCTGACTGGCGTTTACCTCCAACCCTCCACCTTTCGCATTGGTGCGACGGGCCGAGACGTGCTGTGGGCCCTGTACAAGACGAATGGTGTGATTGCGAACTATCTCGATCCGTCGTACTCGGCTGGGCAGGACAGCACGCTCCTCTCCGCACCCCCACCACCGTCCCTCGCGACGTTGACGAATGCAAGTCCGGCGTCCGCCGCAGCGGCATCATTAACGCCGCTGTCATCGCTCGCCGCCACGGGAGAGAGCTATGGGGCGTCAGCAAATGCCTTACACAAAGCGGCGAACAGCAGCAGCAGTAACAACAAAAGTATTAATCATAACCCCCCTCACGGCGGCAGCGGCAGCTCCCCCGTAGTGAGTCTTGCCACGACCACCCTCAGCATGCTTGCAGAGGAGAAGCAGCGCAGCAACCACAACAGCTGCAGCAGCGGCGGCGGCGGCAGCAACGGATCCAACGTCCCCAGTTGTAGCAAAGTGAAGGCGGAGGTGATGCGGTGCCTGAACGGAGCAGGCGGCAGCACTCCGTGCTTACTTTCGTTTGATTACGTCGTCAAACCCGCGCGGTACAAGCAGCTCTCCGAGGAGGAGGCGCGTCTCCTGCGGGAGAACCCCCTCGCCACGCAGCTGTGCGCGACGGGCGTGAATGCGATGGAGGAGGTCGTGCCCGGCACAGCGCGACACGTCGTGCGCGCACCGATGCCGACGACGACGACGACGGCGGCAGCAGCAGCAGCCACAACGACTGCAGGAGGTGAGGCGGCCGAAACGTCTGAGGGCGGTGTAATGGAATGCAACACGGCGGCAGCAGAGGCGGTGAGCGCCGCAACGCAACCACAGCAGCAGCAGCAGCAGAAAGAGCTTTGGCTCAACGAGATGTCCGACACGACTGCGCATCACGAAGCGACGGCAGGAGGGATCTCTGCGGCGCCGCCGCTGCAGCCGCTACAGCGGCGTCGTGCGTGCGGCGAGGTGGTGCAGTCCTGTCTCCACGCCGCGCGTCGTGCCGGCAGCACGCATGGGCAACTTTTCTACTGCGAGCCGCTCCCGCCGAATGCGGCCGGCTTCTTTGCCGCCCACGGCAGCATCAGCCACCTACTCGCCGGCTCCACCGTGGCGGAGGGCGGTCGCCTCATGCCGTCGCCGTTGTGGAACGGCGTGCAGGTGGCCCTCGCCACGATGGCTGTGGGCGAGGAGGCGACGTTTGTGATGGGGCCCGAGGACACCACGCGCTTCTCCGCCCCCCTCGACGGGACGGCATACATCCGCGCCGGCACGTCTGCCTTTTCCTCTGCTGCCGTGGCTGCTAGCGTGGCCAACGCCAGCGGAGGCGCCGGCCCCTCCCTCGGGCACGGCTCGATGGGGGAGCCCCCGCTGCGCTCGCCGATGGTGAACTTCGTGGTGTCTGTACAGGAGCCGCGTGCCATCACCTTCAACACGCCGCACTCACGACACCGGCCATCGCCACACCGCACCAGTCACCCTCCCAGCCTCCGAGCGGGGGACGGCGGCGGCGGTGACGGCGTACGCAGACGGTCACGGAGTAACTCCACTTCGTCGCACCGACGCAGCTCGTCAGCGGCGTCGTCGCCGTCGGCGCAGAGCTCACCAGCGTCCTCGCGGGCCTCGTCGATCGACGCGGCTGCCGAGCGCGGTCGCGGCAGCGGTGGGGCACCACGCGGTCAGCAGCCACCACCGCCACCACCACCGTCACCGCAGCAGCGCAAGTCGTCGCGGCTCTTCCGTGTGCGGGATTGGGGCAAGAAGGGCCGTAGCTCCAGCGGCGACAGAAACGGCGAGAAGGAGCGGAAACCATTGGCGGGGTCGGGGGCGAGCACGCCTTCCTCTCAGCATCAGCAAACGTTTCCAGCGCCGCTGCCACCGCATCCCTCACCCACCCACACCTATCCCCCCCGCCGGCGACGCGGCAGCCACACCGCGCCGCTTTCCATTCCAACAACATCGACCAAAGCAGTGGTGCCCGTTACGGCCGGTCTTGGCGTGCTTCAGCCAACACCGCGGCCGCCCCAGCGAGTCTACTCCCCCGCGCACGGCACCCCCGTGACACCGCCGTCATCGTGGGGTGACGGCGCCGCCGTGTCGGACGACGTGCGTGCCTACGAGGCGGCATCGTACGGCGCGGTGGAACCGGTGGTGGTCGGCCTGCGCCTGCGCGAGCGCATTCCGCTGCTGCCGATCCGGTTCACCAGCGCGCAACCCACGCTGCTGATCAGCGCAGAGCCGGTGGCCGAGGACGGGGAGCAGCAGACAGGCGCGATGGCGTGTGTGCGTGAGGCAACAACTGGAAGGGAAGGAGGTGTGGGGGCGGCGGAGGAGTCGAGCAGCGGAAAGCCTGCCGCGCCTACTCGGTTGCCTGCCGCAGCGCCGGCTGAGAAGAGCGACCAGCGCACCACGTCAAACATGTCCGCCGGTGCGCTCAGCGCGTGCACCACCACCGCCGCGACGACCTCCGTTACGTCGGAATCGGTTAAGCGTCGCGGCATCGTGACAGACGCGCTGCTGTGTCTCCGTGCGAGCAACCTGATGCGGGCGGAGTTGGCCACCTCTTTTCATTATTTAACGCACCGAAGGGGGAAGGCGGAAGGTACAGCATTGAATGGGAAGGAAAGAACGTCGTCGATGCCTGACGGCCCTCGCGCTTCACCGCCTACGATGCACAACCGGAGTCTTGCGAGCACGATGCGATCTGTGCTGGACCGCGTGGAAGTCCGCGACGCTGGCCGCGCTGCGCTCTTCGCGGCAATTATGTACGTCATTGATGGCAAGCTGCTGAGCACGCGCGATCACGCCCGTGTACTGGAGGGCGCTTGCTGTCGCGGTGCTGATGCGAACGGGGCGAAGGCGCGCAACAATGAGCTGCCGGTTGCCGTTGCTGCTGCTGCTGCTGCTGCTGCTGTTGCCAGTCCCACAGCGATCACCCTTACCGGCGCAACGACGGCAGAGGGAAGCGCACGAGGGTCTGCAGCAGAGGCGACATCGGCACCCGCAACGCTGCCGGTGCCTACTCGGTATCTGTGGATGCCGCACTTCCGCGTAAGCGACGCCGTCGGTGCGTTTGCGCGCCATTGGCACAGCGGCGCCTTCAACAGCCGCTGCACGAACAGCAACAGTAACAGTACCAGTCGGCGAGGGACGAGCAGCAGCCAAGGAGCGTCAGACCATCCCAAGCAAACATCCAGCGTTTCTTACCGCACGTTATGGCGCACCCTTGACGAGTTCACGCACTACCCCCACTACACCGCGACCGTCTCCTACACCGTGTCCGTCTTCAACTCCGTCACACGTGCGTACGAGCCCTACGTGTCCCCGGTGCACGCGGCGGGTGGAGCTGCCGCTGATGCTTCTGATGGTGATGGTGTTGGTGGTGCTACGACGCCTCTTATACGCAGCTGCCTCGGCTGTGTCCTGCAGCCATGTTGGCTGGATGCGGTATTGCGGGCGAACCGATGCCCCTGCGGGACCGACATCCACGTCGTCACGCGTGGCCACGCAGCGGAGGCCGAGGAGCGTCTTTTCGTCTGCTCCGTGTTGGCCGACATCACCGCCGCCTCTCAGGAGGCCGCAGCCGCCTTCGTGCCTCCGCACTCCTCGACGTCGGTCGAAGGGGCGGACGTCGGCGGCGAGATGAACACACCCGTCGGCGCCACCGCGACTGCAGGGAAAGGGCGGTGGACGACGCCAGCCGCAGCACCTGGCGCGCCCACCCAACCCACGAACACGACGACGACGACCACCGCAACTGCGTGCTTGACAAGCGCCAACTACCACCACAACCATGCGGACACGGTGACGCCGACAGCGCTAAAGACACATGGCAAAAGCACGCACAACGGCACGGACGAGGCGGCCGCCGTTGCGCTGCGCAGTCTGGCAGCCAGCACACAGCTGCTGAAGCGACGCGGTGGCGAGCAGCGGTACCGTGTACGCGTCTACGCCTACGAGCCGGCCCTGACCTCGCAGAGCTTCTTTGCGTGCTCGCCGAAGGACGGTCTCGCTGCTGCACAGTCTTTATTGGTGGACGCTGCGGTGCTGCTGGGGTATTACTTCAGGGTCTTGGATGGCGTGGCGGACCCCGCGTTGTTGCGGACCGGCGGTGGATTCATCGACGGCTCCTCGCCTACGATGCGGATGCCTCACCTTTCCTGTGCCGTACCACCGGTGCTGCGCAGCAACGCACGCCTCGTCAACCGTAGCGAGGACTCCCGTCAACGTCTGCTCTATCTCCTCTTTGGCGACCAAGGCACCGACGTCCTTGCCGCCGCAATGGAAAGCGCACAGGCCATGGGATACACCTCTCCTTCTTCCACACTTATTGTGGGTGCTCATGCGCACAACACGTCGGCGAACAGGACAGATACCGTTGTCAGCCCCCCAATTGAAGTCGTCGCCGCTGCGATGATGTTCGTCTCTCCGTCCGCGGCGAATGCGACCCCTACGCTGGCGAGTCGTGTCCCCCTCGCGCTGGAACGTGTGCTGCTGAAGGCGCTGCCGATGCTGTACCTTGCGATTTGCCTCTTGACGTTTGGCGCCGACGAGGTGGACGCGTCGCCGGCTGTGCTGTTGGAGCGGTCATACGGGCCGTGGTGGGAGCTGATCAGCTCCCCACAGCAGCAGCAGCAGGAAGACCATCGCCCCTCGGCTCAGGCAGCCACCACACGCAGTGCAGCCACGCCCGCCACTGCTACTACCCCGCCAGCACCGACGGATGAGCAGGCGCAGCTGCTCTTTGGCCGCTACACGGCTCTCGGAGAGTGCTTTCACCACCTGGCCCTTCTCTACGCGGAGTTGCCCGGATTTCATTCGCAGAGTTGGGAGGCGTGCAGCATGGCGCTCTTCTACCTCCCCCGTGCGGCGTCCCTGTGGGCACTGTGGGGTGAGCTGTCGAGGCGGCTGGGTCACACGAAGGAGTCAAGCACAGCACTGGGAGTCGCGGTGCAGCTGTTGACGACGCCGGCGGACGAGACGGCGGACCGCAAGGCCGGTCAGGCGCTTCCGTCGGGACGGCTGACGGAGGCGTCGATCTCGCCGGAGGAGCCGGTGGATTGGCGGAGTCGGGCCGCACTTCTACGACACCTGCGCGAGCGGGTGTAAAGGAAAAGGGAGAAGGGAGGCAAACCAACAGACAAAGAAAAGAAGCAGCAGAGAAGAGAGAGTCGTGTGTAGGCAGCGAACAAGCAAACAAACAAAGCAAACACGACAGGGACGCTTTTATTATTATTTACGTTTTGAGGTATTTGGTGTTTTCACGTTCCCTCATTTATTTATTTCTCTCTCTCGCTCTCGCTCTTTAAGATTCTGTTGTGTCGTCACCCTTTGCGACGGTGGCGGCGCTCATTTTCTTTGTTTGCCCGTGTCGTTGGTTTCGATGGCTTCTTCCTTTATCCGGCCGCCTTTCCTTCTTTCAACTCACGCGTTCTTCTCCTTCTTCTTTCCAGATTTGCTTGTGCCTTTTCTTTCCTCCTCTGCTGAAAAGGACAGTCAACATCCATCAGGGGCAGTACGTGGATCGTTACACCACCACGGTAGCGAAGTGGCTCCTTAACGGCTCTCCCCCATGGCGTGAGCGTTCAGCCCAAGTCTTGCAGGCGATCAGGTCTACTGCACACACAGGAGGAGCATCCCCCAAAAAGCATCTATCTTCTCATCGCGAAGTAAAAGGTGGCTGTTGTTAACGCTTAGCAAGAATGAAAGAGGAAAGGTAGTGCGCATGTAAGCTCTTCCTTCTTTTTTTAAAACGAAAAACTGGTTTATCGATCAATCGCACATGCTGTCTGATGAGCACCATGCCCGAGCGGCCCGACGGAGCATTTCCCATCCCAGTGAACGCCTTCACAAAAGCGGAGAGGGAATTCAAGTCTCGTTTTGCGGCTTTTCCGTTTCACCTCCGCCTCCCTCTCTTCTTTCGCCCCTCCTTTCTTTCACGGATCAATTTATTATTATTATTGTTTTCTCGCTTCGGATGGAGCGTCCTCCTTTGCATATCTTATCCGGCCTTTTACACGGACCTTCTCTTCCAGTGCGTGTACGCGTAGCTCACTGAGACTGCCGAGGTGCTGCAGCGTCGCTTCACGGGTTTGCCGCCCCCCTCCTTCTCCTTCTCTCCCCTCCATCCTTCACTTACGCATCGTTTTGTGTGTCTGCACTGTGCAGGGAAGAGTCTCACACCGTCGAGCGACAGCATTTTTTTCCCCCCAAAAGAATAAGAACAATAGCCTCCTCCGCAACCAAGAAGCGGGTTGGGGAGTGGGGCGGGGGGACTGCGCAGCCTCTCTGTTTCCAGTACGCTTTTTTTTTAATTCTTGAGGGGTTCTCCTCTCTCTTTCGAAGACGGCACAACTACTCGACTGAACTCGCTGCGCCCTTCTTTTCCCCATTTGCGGTGTTCAACACCCTCTGCGCTGAGCGACTTCATCCTTGGTTTTCTTGAATTCAGTCCTTTCTCTTCCTCTCCGCACGCCTGAGACATGGAAAGGGCGGCGACGACGTCCAGCGAAGGCAGTTCCACGAGCATCGAGCTACACCTCGGTGGTCGCGCCTCACACGTCACGCTGCACGCCGCCCCGCACGCCACCGTCGCCGATTTGCTCTCCGCCGCCATCGTAGCGGCAGCTGCCTCCCCGGCCGCCGTCGCTGCCGCCTCGCTGACGCCACGCGTACTCGCGCGGGACTACGACTGCGTGGACACGACTGGAAATCAAATTGCCCTGCCCACGCTGGCTTCTGCGGCTCCTGCGTCTCTCATCGTGACAGAGAAGAGCAGCGGCCGTGGCAGCCACAGCAACCCCCACCACAGCAGCAGCAGCAGCAGCCGTGGCAGAGGACGAGGTAGAGGACGTGGGAGAGGGGGACGCGGAGCCGCTGGTGCTGGTGGTGGTCGTGGCCGCGGCGGCGCTGCCGCGAGGGCGCGACTTCCTCGCGGAGGCAAGAGCAGCCGCCACAGCAACGATGGCGGTGACGAGGAGGACGGCACCGACGCGAACGGTAGCCACGCGGACCGGGATGCCGAGGACGAGGGAAGTGGGGTAGAGGATGGTACGAGCAGCGTCGAAGAAGAGGAGGGCGATGACGAGGATGGCGTGGCGGGGCAGGAGGACAGCAGCGAGGACAGCGATGACGAAGACGACGCAGCCGAAAGCAGCGGCGAGGACGAGGAAGGTGCGAGCGACACGGAAAGCGAAGAAGAGGAGGTCGTAGACGAGGAGGAGGCGAGCGACGGCTCGTTCTCCAGGTCGACCACCGCCAGTACAGCGACGACGACGACGACGACGACGACGCGCGCACGACGTGGTGGACGCGGTACAGCAGCAGGATCGTCAACTGCTTTGCCCGGGCGCGGTCGTGGCCGGGGTCGTGGCCGGGGTGCCGGCCGCGGGGGTCGGCCGCCTGCCTCCGCGCCGTCCGCGTCTTCGCTTCCTTCCGTTGCGCCGGTGAGCTCGGCTGGGGGTGCTCCCACTGCCTCCGCCCAGCCGCCTCGGCGCACCCGCCGCGCCGCCGCCACTCCGCTGCTTTTTACACCCGACGGCCTACCTATTAAACGAAAGCGCGGGCGACCCCCGAAGAGTCAGCAGTTGGCGTTTGCGGCTGCCGTCGCGGCCGCCGCTGCCGCTGCGGCGTCTTCAGCTGGTGGTGTCGGGACGACCTCGCAACCCACCGAGAAATCCGCGCGACGGACGCGGCGAGGTGCCACCTCGGATGCGCCAGCAGCGGAGGAGGTGAAGCCACGCCGTGGTGGTCGGCGACGTCGCGTAGACGTCATTGCGGAGGCCCACGCCACAGCGCAGCGTAAAGCGGACGCGGCCGCACCGTCTATGACGGCAGCAGACAAGGAGAGCGTCGTCACGGTGACCGGGTTGGAGGAGATCGGCGTGTCTGCGGGCACAACACGTGGCGGACGACGTGCAGCCGCCGCCGCTGCAGCAGGAGGAAGCGTTGTGGAGGCGACGTCGAAGCGCAGCCGCTCGCCCTCCTCGTCATCGCTCGCCGCCACTGCCGCTGCTGCTGCGGGTGACGTCGCGGATGGCGCGATGGGCGGACGGGCTGGTCGGCCGTCGCGTTCAAGCAGCGCGTCTCCACATTCTACGCCGCCTACTGTGGGCGCCGCAAAGGCCGTCGCGGGAGGTGCGGTGGACGATTGGTCGAGGCCATCCGAAGGAAGGCCCGAGCTCTCGGCGTACTCGCTGCGCGCGCAAAACCTGGCGTCGCTGGAGCAGCAGCAAAGGCGGCAGCGTCTACACGAGGAGGAAGAGCTGGCCTTGCGGACGCCACGGCGGCGGGTGCGGCTGACGTACAACGTCTTCTATCCAACGCCATCGTTGTTTTCGCCTGCTCCTGCCGCCGCTGAGGCCGCTGCCGGCCAGGATGGTCCTGTGACGCCGGCGTTGTCGCGATACGCGTGGAACACCGCCCCGACTGCCTTCTCTGAATTCCCGCAGGTGCAAACTTCGCTGTCGGCGCTGCTCCAAGAGGTTTCTTCACGTGCTGCAGCTGTCGTCACTGCTGTTGGAGCGTCACCCGCACCCACAGCAGCCCCGGCAGATGTGGCGGATTTGCAGGTGTTGAGCACCGAGGCGTTGCGCACGGTGGCGGGGTGGCGCGCCGGTGCGCATCGCACCCCTTCACTGCTGCTGAGCCACCCGTACGCACCGTGGCTGCTGCCCGGCATACGTCTATACCGTGTCTCTCCGTGGAAGGCTTATTGCAGCAACAGCGAAGCCGCTAACGACAGCGATCAGCTCGCCATAAAACAGCGCCAAAGGTTGAAGAGCGAGAACTTGCCCGTGAAGCATGAAGTGGACGACGACGACGACGAGGAGGAGGAGGGCGGCCGTTCCCCCTTACTCCTTCGCCCCCACCACCACCACCATAATCACAAAGCTGATCACGCGACGTCGACACCGCGGTACTGGTGCTACGCAAATCAATCGCTCGTTGTCCCGCTCGTCGTCGGCGGGTGCGTGCAGCTCGTCAACCCGGAGAGCAAAGACAAGAGTCACCAGTGGACCGTCTACGTGCGTGGGTTGTGGAACGGACACCCGGAGGAGGTCGCCAATCCGAATCCCAGCTCGTCATCCTCTCCGCCTGCCTCGCCCTCCACGGTCACGCAACCCGCGCCACTGTCAAAGGGGAGTGCGCCGGGCATGAGCGAGTCGCAGACCTCGACCTTCAGCACCTCCGTCGCGAGTCCGAACGACTACTTATCCGACTTCATTGAGAAGGTGGTCTTCGTATTGGATGAGAGCTTCGTGCCGTGCGTGCGCACCGTCGCGTCCGCTCCATTTGAGTTAAGCGAGGTGGGGTGGGGGGAGTTCATTGTTTCCATCCACGTACATCTGAAGCTCCCCGCCCACACCCGCGCCGCGAAGCGGACGCGGCGCCAACTTCTCCAGTACTACTGCGGCTACAACGGACGAACGGTGATGCAGACCGCAGACGGGCGCGGTACGAAGCCGCAGGACCCTGTCTCCACCTTCATGGGAGGCGGGGCGCGCGATCCGAACAGTCTGTGGACTGCCTTGGCGACACCTCTGCCGACGACTGCGGGATCGATGCCGCCGACGCCCGCGCGTCCGCTGGCCGATCTGCGCGACCAACTGCAATACGACAGTCTGCTCGACATCAACTCCAACAGCGGGGCGCGCATGACGTACTATCGTGGCCCGTATTTGCCCCCGCACCTTGAGTCCTGCGACGTCTCCTCCGCGAGCGAAGGCAGCACGAGCGAAGAAGAGGCGGAAGAGGAGGAGGATGCCACGGACGGGAAGAGGACGGCGAACTCCGCAGGCGCCTCCACCGACGAAGGAGGACCGGAGGCCACCACTCGGCGAAGTGGAGCTGTCGGAGAGAGCAGGCGCTCGAATGACGTCATACTCGGTGGCGCGGTGAGTCGAGACGCGAGTGAGGAGAACCGTACGAGCGCCGTCGCTGCGGCTGCCACTGCCATCGACTCCGCCCCGACATCATTCCCCGCCCAACCGGAACTGCCGCCATCCAATCCGTCGGCGTCCTCTTCGCCGTCGCGCAGTGGCAGTGCAACGCCGAATGCGACCTCGCAGGACGCGATGGGTACGCTCTCCCATCGAATGACCCCTTCCAACGGCAACCACAGCAACAGCAACAGCCTCAGCCCCACTGGCGGAGCGGCAGAGGTGGACCCCGACGCCCTTCTGGAAGGAAACGTGGGGTGCACCTCTCGAGCAGCGACCTCACCGTTGTTGCGCACCGTCGGTGCTCTCCCTTCCTCGCCGCCGCCGGCTGCCCGTCGTGGCCCGGGCCGTCGTCCGCGTCGCTTTGGATCGGCCGCCTCTTCACCTTCAGCGTTGGGCGGACGTGGTGGTACTCCTGGCAGCGCGACGGCGACGACGACAGGAGCTTCTGCACCTGCCGTGGGGAAGAAGCAGTTTGTTGAGGTGCACGTCGGGCACGGCAGCAACGCCGTGGTGCTTCAGCATTTGCTGCGCTTCAGCCACCGCCCCCGCTACCCAGCCGCCATCCCGCCTGCACGGGATCCGCGCACGCAGGGCCCGCGACCGGAGCTGCTAGGCTACACGATGGTGGCGGAGCCGGTCGTGACGGAGCAGTACGATGAGCTGGTTATCCCATTGGACGTGTTCTGTGATGCCGATGGCGATACACCGAGGAGTGACACGACAAGCGACTGTGCCGCGGCCGACGGCGCCAGCTCTGCGCCGATGACGAGAGCGATTTCTCAGCCCCGTGTTCAACGAGTTCTGGAGGCAGCGAGCAGACTGGAGGCTCGTCTTCGCGCTACGCTGCGCCGCCAGCTCTCCCTCCACCTCCACGCATCATCCGCAGCCGGGCAGCCCAGCAACTTTGTGCTGCCGCTAAGCAACGTCGAGGCGCAAATTTTGGGTCACCCGGGCGGCATCTCCGCCTGGCCCAACGTGGTGGACTACGGGAACGGCATCGAGCGCGACACGGCGTACACCGCCGCCTACCTCAGCAGCGTTGCCCGCAGCGCGGAGGAGGACGGCTGGCTGTCCGCGTCGCTGCGGCAGACCCGCAAGGACTTGTTTCGCTCGCCCACGCAGCTGTGCGCGCTGGTGCCACTGCTGTCCGACGGCGGCGACGCAGAAAACGATGCGCGTGTGGAAGAGGAGCCTCACGCGTCGAGCCGCCGCCGCAGCAACGACAACGACGACGACGACAAAGGCAGCGCATCGAAGGGGGTACCCACCGTCGATCCACCCTTCTCGTTGGCCAAGAACAGTAGCAACATGGCGTGGGTGACGGCACTCGAGTATGACCTGGCCGCGCTACTGATGCGGCTGCCGTCTGCTACAGCACACAGCGTCTTCTTCGATTTGCTGCTGCCACGCGCAGATGAGCTCGGGGCGGCAGTGTGGACGGATGTGCGTCGTGGCATCGCCGCCTTCTGTAATCAGCACCAACACCAGAGCAGCACGAAGTCGGCGGCGACATCTGCCTCCTGCGTGAAGGACGAGCCGCTCTGGGGGACGTCGGCGCTGCAGCAGCCGGATAGCAACGGCGAAGAGCAGACGCACGTCGGCGTGGGTGATGGCAGTGCACAAGGAGGGCCGCCGCCGCAACACCAACTTTTCTCGTCGTCTAATGCAGCGGTGGTGGACGAGATGCTGATGTCGTCCCCCGCGCATTTGTCGCGCGCCTACCCGCTGTGCACCTTGCGCAGCACCGACACCGGTATCGCCGCCCTGCGCAGCAGCCACACGACGGCCGCCTCTCGTGCCCCATCAGCTTCCATACCCTTCTCCACTTCTACTCATGCCGCTGCGAGCACCACCGTCAACGCGCAGGCTGGCTTATTGAACTTGGGCGCCTCGGCCGCATCGGCCACGGCGCACCATCCCACCCACGCCAGCGTCGCGGCAAAGACGGCCGCATCGAGTCCGCTTCTTTTCCACGCCAGCGGTGGCGGCGGCAGCAATAGCAGCAGTCACGGGCACGCACAGCAGGAGGCATTTATGGCCTCGCTGCTGCGGGACGGCCAGACACGCGGCAGCTTCGGGCACGACGGCGACGTGGCGCAGCTGCTGTCGTGGCGGACAGCTTTGGAGAGTTCGATTGACGCGATGCGAGTCGAAGTCGCGCGTCGGCAGGCGGCGTCGGTGCTGGAGGAGCTGTAGCGGCGTCCTCGATGCAGGGGCGGCACCCCCAAGGCTATTGGCCTTTCTTTTCTGTTTGTTGTTCTCTTCACCCAACGCGAGCCAACGACCAGTGACGCGGTCGGCGCGTCGTGCTCCGTGTTTCCTTTTTTCTTCCTGTTGCGTATCTGTGTGTGTGTGCGGGTGTGAAGTGTTGGATGGCTTTGAATCGTTATAAATATATAAAAATATATATATATATTGATTTGCCAAAGGAGAAGGGAGCTGCGATGGGCCAAACCAGAGGGCGGACGAAGGGGGTGAAGAGGGAGGACAAGGAGGGGAGGGAGAGTATACGACACGCGTGGATCTTTCCAGCATTCCATTACCGCGTTATGGCATGAGCTTGCAGTCCGCCCCTCCCACACATTCACCCCCCCCCCCCCCAAACCAACCAAGTAGCTGACTCCTCTGCTCGTCGTCTACGTGCGGCTATGCTTGCAGCTACCACCACGACAACTAAAAAAAAAGGGCATCACGAGGCGGGTGGTGAGTGCACCCTTGTTGCTGGCGGCGTGTTTTGGCGCCTCCGCAAGGAACTCTAACGCTTACTCTCTCTCTTCACCGTACTCATCTCTCCCCGCCTCCCTTGCGCTCTTTGCTTTCCGCAACACCGCCGAGTGCTTACGTCCCCTTACTAGATATTACTTCTGCTATTGCCACTGGTACTTTTCTCGTCCATCGCCTCTGTACTGCCTTCTTTTCTTTTCCTATTTGGTTCTCCTCTCCCCTTCTGCGTGCGCCGCGCATTGCTCCTCAGAATTCCACTCATATATATATATAGTAAGTAAGTAAGTAAGAAAACACCGCCCCCGAGGAATTCAAACAGAATAATAATAGTAATAATAATAGAAAAAGGAAATGCCGACTGTTGGTGAGATAATGTCCGCCCGCAAGGCGCTGGACGGCTACGTCTACGAGACCCCGATGATCGCCAGCAACGCCCTGCGCGGCAAGACCCGCCACGAGAGCGTAATGCTCAAGTGCGAGAACCTGCAGCGCACCGGCAGCTACCACATCCGTGGCATGACCTACCGCGTCATCCGCGCCAAGGAGGCGGACCTGGGCATCAACAACTTCATCACGCACAGCAGCGGCAACGGCGGGGCGGCGCTGGCGTGTGCAGCGAGCAACTTCCAGAGCAAGGCGCACGTCGTGGTCCCCGAGGACACGAACTCGCTCATCACGCGCAGCATTCACCACTACCAAGGCAACTTCTACTACTGCAAGCCGGACCTGAAGAGCCGTGTGGAGGAGGAGGCGAAGCTGCTCGAGGAGTTCAACCGGCCGGCCGGTAAGCAGCAGAACCGCGCGATTGTGATCAACCCATACGATGACGAGGCGGTCATCACGGGCCACGGCACGGCGGGGATTGAGCTGATGCTGCAGACCGACTGCGCGGTGGACTGCGTCGTGGCTCCTGTCGGTGGCGGTGCTCTCGTATCGGGCGTGGCGATCGCAGTGAAGGGGATGAAGCCGCACGTCGGGGTCTTTGCGGCGGAGCTGGCGGACCCGCCAAACCACTACACCGACTTCAAGCGCGGGGAGTCCTTGGCGGCGCGGCAGCAGCGCCACGGCCTCTCGCACCACGAGGCCGCCGCGAAGGGCAACCGGCATGGCATCCGCACCCCGCTGACGGACTTGGCGACGCGCTACATTGACCGCTACGTGGACGGCGTGATTCACGTGACGCCGGAGGAGATGAAGTACGCCTTCCGCTACGTGTACGAGCGGTGCAAGCTGGTCGTGGACACGAATGCGGCGATTGCCGTGGCGGCTGTGCTGTCGTGCCCGCCGGCGCTCGACAACTACCGCCGTGTGTGCGTGGTGCTGTCGGGCGGGAACGTGGATTTGAATGACATTCCCAAGCTAGCCGTGTCGCGATTGTAGGCGCTGCTGAAGAGAGAAAAGGAAGAACGTGCCTCGGTCTTCAAAAAGACCAAATAGGAGGCCGCGTTCCGTGACGTAGAAAGGAGGTGGGGAGAGGGGAGGTGGGGCGGACCCATGCCTATACACGCACCCCTACACGTACACATGGTATCGGTCTCCTCCCCACCCCGATTCATTAGCGGAGTGGCAGCACAACGCGCCGTGGCTCTTGCGGTGGCGCGGTGGAACGGATGAAGGAGCCACAAATCAACCACGTTGCCGTTTTCTTCGCTGTCAGGCATTTTTCTTTCTTTTTAATTCCACCGAAGAAGTGCCTTTTTCAAAAGTCAGTAAGCTAAAAGAAAAAGTTTTGTTTTGAGTCTCCCAAACAACACAAGAGAAAGAAAGAGAAGGGAAGAGAAAGAGCCCTTAAATGGGGAAGCTGGTGAGAGACGAAAGTGTGATGGAAGCAGCTACGACCGGAGCAGAAAGAGAAAAACCAACAACTGAAGTGTACTCCCTGCGTGGTGCTGCACTGGTGTCATCACCGTTTGTATTCCTTTAGCATTGCGTAGAAAAGGCAGTGATCGAATAGTTTTATCCGTTTTTGTTTCGGCTTACTCGCCTTTTTCCCTTTCTTTTATTTTCTAAAAAAAAAGGATAACGGATTGTGCTGCAGAACAAGGGAACAGTGGAAAGGGCGTAGGCCAATAATGGTATACCCGCATCTCAGACAGATGCACATCGTTGCTTTCCGCCGTGGTTTTTCTTTTCTTCCTCCTCTCTTTCCTCTCTTGCAAGAGCAAGTATCTCGTGTGTGAACTTCGTGATACCCCGCGTCCACCGATGTGTTTTCTTCTTGTCCAAGTGGGCGTGTAATGCTGCATTATATTTATTTAATCCTTTTCTTCTCTGTGTGTGTGTGTGTGTGTGTGTGTGTGTGTGTGTGAGACGAGGCTTCTTGGAGCTGTGCAACTCATCGATATCGCGTCGCGCATGTGCTGTTATGTAAAAAGAAGGAAAGGAAAGAGATAACGAGCAATACAAGTGAGTTTTTGTGGTAGGCGGTGCCGCGGCGCCTGCTCCTAAGTGTTATTCTTTCTTTCTGCGGAGCTCCAGACCTCGATAGTGAGAGAGTGAAAGGAAAGGGAAAAGATGGTACCGCGAGGTCGTATGCGCGTCAACGCGTCGTGCCTCGAGCGGCTCATCTTTTCAAACAAAAGAAACGACATCTTCAATTGCAGCTGCGTCGACGCACTTTTCTCTTCCCTTATTCACTGCGGTTTTTTTCTTCTTCTTCTGGCGTTTCAGCTCAGGCCTTTTTGCGTGTTCAAGCAGATAGGTCGAAAAGCCACTCTGAATGAATTGATCCGTGAAGTTCTTTTTTATTCTCCAACGCTAACACGTACTCCTCCGACTATCGCATACAAGTTTGGAACCCAACCGACACATCATTGTTGTCGCTGTCTCATAGAATCTTTGGGACTCGCTGCATAGAAGTACACATAGAGCCACTTCATTTTTTCTTTCAATCTTATTTCGACGGGGCCATTGCTGTTCGCTGTAACGCTCTCAGTCATCCATACAAATACATAAGCATACACATACACATACCTTTTTCTGAGGTCTGCCGTCCTTCTCAGCGATGCCGTTCGATTCCTCTTCCTCCTCCTCCTCTTGGGCTGCGTCCCCGGCGGTGTCGGGCAGCGGCCAGCCCCGAGGAAACGCCCGCTTCAGGACGTCGATGCAGATGGACGGGCAAACGTGCATCCTTGTCGGCAGCGCAAAGCGTGATGCGCCGCCCACCGGTAAAGCAACCGATGGAAGGCAGGAAACAGTAGGACTCCCCACAGAAGGGAACATGCCTCCGCCAGTATCACCTGCTCGGCGACGTCGCATCTATTCCTCTTTCTCGTCTTCCTCGGCTACGTATTCGGACTATTCCTACTCGGCATCATCTGACAGGTTGAGAGGTACGGAGAGGAGGAGCACGGCGACGACGATGGGTGCAAACGCCGTCATAACGGACACCGGCGCAGACGGCAACGCTGGGGTGCTCACACACGGAGCAGGGAGAGCATCTTCTGCTGCTGCTGCTGCTGCTCAGCCCGCCCTCGTACCGAGCACGGCGCTCTCTCCTGACCCCTATGCGCAGGTGCAGCAACAGTTGCATCACCCACGCCTGTCTGCCCAGCAGGTGCGTCGTGGCGGTAGCGCGGAGGCAGCGTTGCAGAACCCTGCGGGTGTCCCCGGCTGGTGGTCGTGTGAGAGCTCTGTGCTTCCTGACGGCTCCGCGGCGTCATCGTCGTCGGCGTCGTTGTGTGCCATCGGCGTAGCTGCAGCAGCAGCGGCGGCCAACACGCAAGCGGCGCTGCCGGGGAGAGAAGTACGTGTAATGGAGCCAAAAACAAAAGGAGGCGATCGCGTCCAACGAGGGGACCTAACTCTGCTATTGAAGAAGACGAAGGCGTCTTCAGCTGATGTGGCGGTCTTGCCGTCGACATCGTCATCGTCGTCGTGTGGGTGCGCAACGAGCTGCTCGTGCCGCACAGAGGAGGATAATGACGATGATGCCTCCGACGCCGGCACCACCCCGACCGACACGAGCCGCAGCAGCGATGACGGCTCGGACTACCCATACAGCGCATCGAGCTGCAGCTGCTGCCGCCACCCTTATGCCGCCTCTTCCGCGCACAGCCGCAGCACCCCAAGCACCACCACCGAGCCGTCGACGTTGTGTAGCTCCTGTGCGGCAGCGGCCCGCACGCACGTACTTCACTTCCCTTCTACGCACGACAAGAGACACGGAGGGCGTGTGTCCCTCACCTCAGCGGATCGACGCCGTCCTGCACACCGAAGCACGCCGTTCGTAGAACAAGATGTTTTCCTCGACGCCGTGCGCGGCAACACGATGTGGGCGGAGGTGCCACCGCTGCTTCACCTTTCCATGCCTGCCAACACGTCTCGCGGGAAGGACGACATGGCGGTGCGCGCAGGGCGGGAAAGGGCCGAGCTGAGAGCCGAATATATTCGACAGGCTGCCCTGCTCGCGGGAGGTAAAACGACGACGACGGCGCCAATGGAATCCGCTGATCTCGCTACAGCAACGAGTGCGACGGCCCTGCGGCTTTCCTCCAGTACGCAGACGGACGAGGACACGGAGGAAACGACGACCCGTGCGGCACGAGAGGCCGCCGAAAAGCAGCGCGACGCCCTTCTGGCGGAGGAGCGCCTCCGCGGACTCGCCGCGGCGCAGTGTGCGGAGGTGGCCCTCCCCATGATGCAACGTGAGCTCGAGAGCTACGAGACGCGCGCGTCAGCGCTGCAGCAGCACCAACTCGATGTGCTGCGGCAGCAACTACAGGACTACCAGACACGGATCGAGAACCAGCGGAAGGAGTGGGCCGCGGAGCTGGACGGGCACCGTGCGCGATGGGAACTGGAGCAGCAGCGCACGCGAGAGCTGGAGGAGCTTCGGCAGAAGACAGGTCGCAAGGATCAGGCCACTTCTTTCGACAGCGACAACGAGAGAGCTGCAACTGACACGGCGAAACACGCCGTGGGCACGCAGCATTCCGACGGGTCGCTCGAACGGCTGGCCGCCGTGCAGTCGGAGGCTGCGGCCTGGCTCACGAACTGCCTGCTCTCCTTCGAAGAAGACGCCCGACGGGACGTGGAAGCGACAGAGGAAGAGGCCCGTCAGCAACTGTGCCACGTGCTGGAGGGACCGTCACGGCGGGTGCTGCTGCGGTGTCAGATGGAGGTACTTCAGTGGCAGCAGCGGTGTGTGGACGAGCGGCGGACCGCGGCGTACACGGCGGAGTTGCGTGCACTACAGCTGCAGGAGGCAGCTGAACGACAGGAGGTAGCGTCGCGCAGCAGCGATGGCCTGCGTTATTTGTGGGACGAGCTGCAAGAAAGACGACGCCGCACCGATGCTGCGGCGGTGCAGCGCGAGGCACAGCAGACGCGTCAGCGAGCGCGACACAGCCGTGAAAGAGCTCGCGTCTTTACGCGAGGCACACGCGGAGACGGTGCAGCACGTCCAGCAGTTGCGCCTGCAGCTTCTGCACGCCCTGCGCATGCCGACCATCACCCTTCCCGAGGATCCCGCGTCGACACGAACACCACCGCCGCCGGGAGCACCTTTGATGGACGCCGCCTACGCCTACGCAACCGCCACGGCTGGCCACGAGGGCTGCGAGGAAGGACAGCACCGCAGCGGAGCAGCGGAACACGTCGCTAGGGAAGCTCAAGCGACGGCGACGGCGCGGTCGTCTGCGGGTGCAGTTCTGTGGACCGTGGACGACGTACCCGTGCATCGCCGCTTTGCGCGCGCGCATCAGGAGGCGCTACGTGTCGTGCGTGCCCAATGCCGTACGGTGTGAGTGCACTGGAGAGTCGAAGAAGGGGAGGGGAAATATGGTCACCGCCGAGGTGTCGTGCAACGCTGGGGTGGAGAAGAAAAGGGGGGGGGGAGCGGGTAGAAGGGGGCACGTCTACCAGTTTGATGCTTCTGAAACGAGTAACAGCAACCCGAAAAGAACGGCCAAAGACGGAGAACGACGTGGCTTGCTTGTCGAGTGAACCCACGGCGATGATGTGTGCATTCGCGCTTCGTGGCTGTTTCCGTAGACCCCGTAGCGCTGCGACGCGGCTATGAGGGGGTTTCTTCTTTGAAAAAGCCCTTTCTATATTGCTTTCTTCTTTAAACGTTTACCTATAGAAATTCTCTCTCTGTTTTTTTGGAGGATTCCGAAAGAAAGCGGCCGTGCACTTCATTTCTCCTTCTCCTCCTCTTCCCTCTTCTATTGCAGATGTTGCCGCGTACGGGCCCATCGGGATAAGCAAAGAGGAGGAGTGTGTGTGTGTGTGTGTGTGTGTGCCGTACGGTGCAGTCATCGAGCGCAACCACGAATTCGCACAGAAGGGAAAATTCATTGGGCTTTCGTGTGATATTTCTCTGCGTGGCGTTGTGGAAAGGAAAGGAAAGGAAGGCTTTTCTTTCCCTTCTCTACC